ACAATAATTAAGGCGTGATCCAGAACTGACATCACTAGGTAGCCCTTGATGCATTGACCTGATCCAAGTTCATTACCAACTAGCTAGTTACTTTATGTGGCCCAATAATTATTTTGAGATGGACTCATTGTCTCTTATAATTTGCCTTGCGTCTTGTGCATGGGTGTGCAACGATATGACTCACTGCTTTATATTTGGTTCGGTATAGTTGGATCCAAGTGTCAGTTTGGTCTCATAAATTTTCTGAATATTGAATAAAATATTGATCGAGTTTATACTTGAATCGAACAAAAACAATAATGATCATATTATGGTCCTCAGTTTCTCTGTTTTCTACTAAATCTAACAACGTAGACATTTACCAAATGACTCATCCATTCCATAATTCTTTCCCATTAGGATTTTAGGGCATGGAGAGTGTGATTGCTCCACACAATTACGTTTTTCATTTTGGCTAAACATACGTGATAGAAGTATTTTCTTTGCTAATTTGGTGGCCAACATTAGCTTGAGAATTGAGATGGTGCACGAAACCTAAAGCTACAATTAGTCTCATGGGTCTAAAAATAACTTACCTAACTTGTACCCTACCCACTCAAGTGGGTGAGCTTCCAAACCTAGCTAGCTTCCTCCCCCCACCATTTATTTGTCTCAAGACTACATCAATTAGTTAACACTAGATATAATGTTGACACTTTGCTGCCAACTCAATAAATACAACAATTATGTTTTTGTACGCCTAACCAGGAGCTTGTCAAATTCAACATGATGCTCAATTCGAATTAACAAAGAAAAAAAAAAGTTGGTCTAGTTGTAACATAGCCCAATTTTTTGCACGACCTATCGTGACATCTCTGATTCGTGATCGAATTGGCACGTATGCTAATCAGCCGTGGCTCGAGTGATGAAAGTTGTGGACAAAAGTGTGACACAATCAACTACCCAGCTCGAATATGAACCAACTCACTTGCATGTTTTAGCACATCTAGAGGGGGGGGGGGGGGGGAATTCAGATAATTAATGTTGCATGTTAGAGTTTCCTATGGCATTCTAGGGAATATGCTCCACCAAATGAAGTGATTTGGTGGTACATCTTCACCAATAACCGACATTTACATGTACCTCTCATTGTTGCTTGGAGAAGTAAGATACATGTTTGTAGTTTTGGATGAAGATTTGGATGAAGATGGGATGCCCAATTGGAATACATGTAATCATTTATGGGCAAAACAATGATTGTGTATGATTATGCCTTTATAAGACTTGATAGAGCAAATCTAGTTGTCCCATGATGTATAATTATTGCATTGCCTTTCTACCTACTCATACATATGGGCTTACCTTATGGGACACATGAAAAAAGGTGCACTCTATTTCCCTCTTAAGCTCCATACATGAATACATGGTTCCTAAGGTGCCTTATCATCTAGAGTAACAAACCACACACATATTTTTTTATTATCTGCATTATATTTTCGTTTCCATTAATTTTGACCGGGGAGATATGAATTATTTAATTGTGTTCATACCTATTACCGATGTACCTGATTGATAGTGTAGTTAAACTCAACTACAAGTCTACAACCATGTCCGTTCATACTAGCATCTCTTGTCAATTTATTACCAAACCGCTACTATAGCTTGTGTTAAAAATTTATTGACTGTTAAAGTCTTCATATAATATAGTAGTGTATTAGGATGCGGTTTTTCTTTACGTACTCCGAAAACACCTATTATTTTTCTAAAAATATTATCAAACACATAATCCCTTATCCAGCTACTATTACTAATTGTGAAGTTGTAAACCACCAAACCATAACAAGTTTTTATATAAGAAAAGTTTGCCATAAACCATCAAATTAGGTCACCTAATTTAATGCATACTAGCACCGGGCCCGGCCCCTTGGCCGGGAAAGTCTAGACAAAAAATATGTTCATATAACATGCTTACAATATAATAGGAAGATACGACATATCACTGAAAAAAGAAATATAATTGTTCAAAGAAGAAAAGAAAAACATACAAAATAATAGGTTTTCAATACTTAAAAATGGCAAATAGTTCAAGATTAGAGTTGTTTTTCCTAAAACATACATAATGAACCCTCAGAAGGAAAGAAAAAGATTGGTCTCTAACAGATTTTAGGAATGAGATCATTTGTAACCCTAATTAATGTCTAACAGATACACCCATATTATTCCTCTTCATAGAAAGTAGAATAAGGATCAGCTGGTTTGGAAGCATGCTAGTCGTAGTCCCCGAAGATGCCTAGAAAATAGTCCGGGTTCTCAAGAGAGCTTCAAACTTAAGGCTGAGTGCAACTAATTTTGAATTACATATGTTTGTCTTTGTCAGTGTTGCTGATACTTTCACTGACTACTTTGATTGGTAAGTTGACCATAAATAATAGGGATATACCTTATTTTGACCTTGAAGTTTGTCGTAAAAGCCAAACTTGACATGAACTTGCAAATAAGACAGTTTTTCAAAATTTTGAAAGAAATGGACAAATTTGGACTGAAATTTATGTTGTTCGTTAATATTAAAAGTTAAAAATTTCTTCATCCATTCAACATACAATGCTCAGGTGGTTGCGATTGCGATGTGGCTTCCATGTCATAGGGATGATACCTTATTTTGGCATGAACTTGATGTAAAAGACAATTTTGGCTCGAATTTTCAAATAAGATAGGTTTGTTTGCACTTTGAAAGAAATGAACAAATTTGGTCCGAAATTTGGGTTGACCTTTAATATTGACAGTTGTGATAGAGAGGTTTCGGTTGCGATGTGGCTTCCAAGTCATTTATTTATAAAGTCTAAAAAAGTGAATTTTTCAGAAGAAAAAAAGACCACAAAATAGGACCCTTAGTATATCCTAATATTTTCATATTTACTTGCATAAATCATATTAAAAGGAAAAAGAAATTGATTCAGGCCCCCAAAAATCCCAAAGCACGAAGCTATCTCTCTTTGTACCCCTCTCATCAATATTAACGGCAACCTAAATTTTGGGTCAAAGTTATTCATTTCTTTGAAAATTCGTACAAAACTGTCTTATTTGAAAGTGTAGGGCAAAATAGCATATTATACCTATGACGTGAAAGTCACACCACAGTCACCTTAACATTGTATGTTGAGTCATAAAAAAAAGAAATGTTTGACCCTCAATATTAATAACCGACCAAATTTGTTAATTTCTTTCAAATTCGGACAAAACTATCTTATTTGAATGTTCATGCCAAAATTGTTATTTACATCAAAGTTCAACACAAAATAGGATATTATCCCTAAATAATATAGGAGTACTAAAAATATTGGACTAATGAAGTTCAAAATGTTTCAAACAACATACAACCCTGATAAAACTGCAGTCCAACCAACTAACATTTAGAACAAATGACTTTCCAGCAGGATAACACAACTATAAGTATGGGTGGTTCTATCATATTTTGATTAAGAAAATGACATAAGGAAATGATATATAGACCTTGAATGATATACTTTGAGTATGAAAATGATGTCTAGTGGCCGGAGCTAGGGACATGGTACTATACCTTAAGCCCTTACAGATTAAAATCTAGGTCTTAATTCTATGAAGCTCATATACTAAGATCAATTTTATTAGAAACAATAATCGAATGTCGTGTTTCATCAAAATACATCAAAAAAATTATGTGCATAATCTTAGTGTTTAGGGCAAGGATTGAAAACCCTTAACGTACCGGGGGTTCGACTAAACCAGTAGGCACTATGTAGTGTTGTGAAACGACTGAATCACGGTTAACCACAGTTTTCGCATAAAATACCCTCCTGCCGACTTTTTCGGTACAACCTCTTATGAGGTTTTATAATCCTTGGTTTAGGATCTATGATTTAAATAGTTAAGACCTAGAGTTCACTCGTCAAGGGTTAGAATATAGTGTCTCGTCTCGAAATCAGGTTAATTCAAAGTCTAGATTGCCATTTCTTACCAAGGGTATGAGTTACCTTTTGATTTTACTCAAAATATGATAGAAAACACTACACACACATACTGGTATACTACAGGAGTATAGTATACTGGTATACTCCAAGAGTATAGTATACTCCACATGATCTAGACATTAGATGTACTTTGTTGAGCTCCAATCAATCTCAATGGTCAATTATAATTTTCCATTAAATTAAACTTTGGGTTTGAGTTTAGAGAATCGGGGCCTGGGGTTTATCCATTAGAGGTTAGGGTAGAGTATCATACCCCAAACTCGGTTAAAAATCATGGTCTAGATAGAGATATCTCACGAAGAGTACCTGAAGTATAATATACTCCAGGAGTACACCAGTCTGACCCATATATATGTGGTTGTGTGTGCACATATATATTTAATATTGTAATTTGATATGCAATATTCGAATAAATGATATTTGGATTGCGGTTTTAAGATTATCCTCCATTTATAAGATAGACTACCATTATTATTGAAGTCAAAATAAAATAATAATAAATGATAATCAAAGATCCAACACTAAAAATGCTTAAGAAAGACTTAGTGGGGTAGCTAACCGTGCTGGAAAAGTCATTTGATTTTCAGAATTTTGCCTCTTGTATATTTTTTTTATAAATAAATGCAACAAATTTGTTTAGTCTTATTGGTTATGACTCTTGTCCTTGTTAGAAGAGACCCGGGTTCAAATCTTGACACTGATATTTTTTTCAAATAAAAAAATAAACAATTGCAATGACGAAAGTACCCTTCCTACTTTCACTCTCGTTGCAGAAAATTTGAAATGGAACAAAGTTGAGTCATGAATCTCCATCATATATCTTATAGATATCTCCCAAACAAATTTGCAGAAAAATGGTTTCCCCGGGAAGGAGCAGCAATCACGTGCGGCCGGGACCAAGTTCCTAAACCTGAACCCGCCAATCACACCGCGAAACGTGGCGGATCGGCTTCTGGTTTGACCTTTTTTTTTAAACAAGTCACGCGGCTAAATCCTGCCGGTTCATTGTAAAAATATATATCCAAAAACGGGAACCAGAAAGGCGAGAAAATGGTAAAGCAGCAAAAGCGAAGAAGAAGCTAAAAACAGAGCGAAAGCAGAGTGGAAAAAGGGGAAAAAGGTTTTTTTTTCTGATCAGATCCACCGCCGCGTCACTCGCCTGAAACCGGGATACTCATTCGTTTCCCTGAGATAGGATAGAAAGAAATGAGCGGCAACGTAAGGAGGAAGACGAGCGCGGCGGCGATGGCGGAGGAGGAAGAAGAGGAAGTGATTGCTACTTCGTCTTCCTGCTGCTGCGGCGGCGGCGATGGAAGGAGGAAGGAGAAGGAGAGGAGGCTGGTGAAATTCAATGACCTGCCGGAGTATTTGAAAGACAACGAGTTCATCCTCGACCATTACCGGTCGGAATGGCCGCTCCGGGACGCGCTGTGGAGCGTCTTCTCCTGGCACAACGAAACCCTCAACATCTGGACGTACGTACGGGAGCCGGAGAAAAGCTCAATTTTGAAATTTCCATTTTCCGATTGGTGAATGGTGGCAAGGTTTTGAATTCGTGGATTTTCTCCCTTTTTGTTGTTCTGTTGTGTTAGGCATTTGGGAGGGTTCTTGATCTTTGCTGGACTGACGGTGATGAGCTTCATGGGGAAATTGGACGAGCTAGGAGGATTCCTCACCGATTTATCGAGGTACGCCAAGCCGAATTCCACTTCGTCTTTTAGATTTCGATTCTCGATTCAAGTGTATTTTCTTTGCAACTGTTTGATTGCAGAGGTCAAGCCTCTGGACCGTTGATGGCAATGATAATGAAGAACAATGGCAGTGATTTCAACGTCTCTGATAACAGCTTGGTTCCTGTAAGTTGCATTTCTTCATCCCTCCCTTCTTTTTTTTATTTGTCCGAAGTTACTCTCATCGATCCAAGTCGACGAGAGTGAGCGATTCGAGCTTACAGCTCTGCCGGTAGCCATGATAGGAAACGAATTAGTTAACTAGAAAGCTTGATAGCCTTGGTTTTAAATTCAATTTGAATTGAAAATCAACAGTATATGCAGAAGAAGAGAGGATATTCTGTGTGGCTAAAAAGGTAGAGAGGGGTTTTCAAGAAAGTGCAGGTAAGGGAATCATGTGATGGCTGATGACTTCCTTTTTTTTTTCTTCTAAACGCCATGTGAATTATTGATGTCTGCTGGCTCTGGCTGATGGCTAAAGGAACCTCTGTTTGGTAGCCAATCAAAGGTTTTGTCTTTTAGGTTGTTTTTCTACCCAATGAATTTGTCTGCAGAATCTTATTGAAGGAGATATTTCTTCATCCCATTTGGATTTTGCCACTGAAGAGGTCTTGTGAATGGTAAAAATGGTTATGGGGATGCTTACTTCTCCTGTTTAATGTGATGCCTTGAAGAAAAGTTTCAAACTTTCTTAGAGGGATGACACAATTTTCCCCTTCTTTTGCTCCATACTCTGTTTTCCTTCTCTCGACTCTGAGAAATGAAGTTCTGATTTCAATTATAAACTGTAACTTTGTTGCAGGACCACCATCTCCGGCGAATCCCGGAGCTGGAAACCGGCTCGGAACCCATCGCACAGTGGCCGTGGTTCGTCTACTTAGCCGGAGCAATGACCTGCCTAACCTGCAGCTCGCTCTCCCACCTCCTCGCCTGCCACTCCAAGGCCTTCAACCTCTTCTTCTGGCGGCTCGACTACGCCGGAATCTCCGTCATGATCGTCTCCTCATTCTACGCACCCATCTACTACATCTTCCACTGCAACCCGATCTCCCGCTTCCTCTACCTCACCTCCATCACCGTCCTCGGCGCGATGGCCATCGTCACCCTGCTCTCCCCCCAGCTCTCGGCTCCCCGGTACCGCAAGTTCCGGGCCACCTTGTTCCTCGCCATGGGGTTCTCCGGGACCGTGCCGGCGGTCCACGGCGTGTGCATCCACTGGGGCCACCCGCACGTGTTCGTCTCGGTCCTGCTCGAGGTGATCATGGCGGTTCTGTATGGCGCCGGAGCTGGGTTCTACGTCGGGAGGATACCGGAGCGCTGGTGGCCCGGCATGTTCGATATTGCTGGACAGAGCCACCAGATCTTCCATGTGTTTGTGGTTATGGCTGCTGTGGCTCATAGCCTTGCGACGGTTATCATCATGCATTTCCGGCAGGGGACGCCTTCATGTTAAGAGGGAAAATGTTTGCAGTAACTGTTTGTCTGTAACTGTTTGTATTGGTAATGTTATCTGACACTAAAGCTCAGTAGTAGTAGAGCTAGGAATGACAATTCGGTTTAGTGCGAGATGCATATCTGAACATTCATACTCATTCTACATCATCCGATAAAAAAAGGTTTCTTCAGCAAATGAAGAAAGAATAAAAGATGGAGGTAACCCAAAAAGAAGTAAACAAAAACGAACGAACATATGCCGAAAAGTTGTCAATGAAACGATACCAGGGATTATCTGCAGCAGCAAAACCTGCCTGCCGGCGGTGAGTGAAATGCTCGTCGCCCATCTTCTTTGCCAGAATGCTGCTATTCTAGGCTTGTTTCTCTTCCCGACTGGTTACTGCATTTGCACCCCTCTCCTTCCCTTCCGTCGCTCAGACATATCAACCTGACAATCTACAAAATGGATCAAGGGTTTCGTGGTTGTTCCGAATTCGGATCCCTTCCCTTCAACTTGAAACTTCGACAACAGCCTCGGCTTCTCTGTCACTGTAATCAGCCCACGACTTGCCCCGGTTTCTCCTGGACGATCGGATTCACTGTGATGTCAGCAGGAGGGGAAGCTGAATTAGCCGACTTTTCTTCTTCCTCTGGGGAAGCATTCTCAGCCACCGCCTCATTGTGATCACGATTCTCTGCTTCTGCTTCTTGAGATGAACTCTCGACACTATCGTTCTTCTCCGCCGGGGTTTCAGTTTGTCCTTTTTCAGCAGTGGCAGTGGCTTCTACCGGACTAACAGGAGAAGACTCCTTGAACCCGTTCATCGGAGCAACCGGGTATCCGTTGGGGGGAGGGGGAGGAATACTGGTAGGGGAAACAGGGAACCCGTTGGCAATCATCCTCGTCGGAGCAGCCAGGTAGCCGTTGGGCGAGCCGGCTTGGTAGCCATTGGGGAGCCAGGGTTGGCCCGGGACGAACTCAACAGCGTGTGGGTTCATGATCCTGGGCGGGTTCAACTGATTGCCATCTCCGGCGGGAACATGTTCACCGGTAGTGTGGAAATGTTTATTGTTTCTTGGCACCCGATTATTCCCTCCGGACCTGTTATACCCACCGGACAACCTGGGACCATAGGGCACTCTAGCCGTAGCCGACGACTGGTGATGAGACCTCCGTATGGCTACCGGGTTCACCGGAAGCATCGGAGGGATGTTCACCGGCGGAGGCAGAATCCCACCGAGGTCCTTAAACGCCAGAACCCCAACAGAACCGAAAGCTGGAATAATCGCTGTGGGAGATGGATTAAACGGTGGTGCAGCTGCTGAGAGCTTCTTCGTTCCATCCTTGCCATTCTGGGCTTCATTCTGTTTCTCCCCTGGTTGAAGAACCTCCTCTGCTTCTTGCTGCTCTTCATCAGTTGCAGCAGCAGGTTGGGGAACTCCTACATTGGTCGATGATACTGCTTCCTCAACTGCATTTCCTGATTCCTGAATCCCAACTTCGTCAGCCGCAGCGGCAGAAGCTCGAGTTTCAGCAGGGTTTCTTTCTTCTTCCTTAGTCTCGGCCGATTCTTCTGTTTGTGGTGGTGACTTTGTTCCTTCCTCTCCATTTTTTGAACTCGCCGAGTCAGTGGTAGGAGTGAAGACCTCAGGACTCGGTTCTCTCGAACGCTTCCCCTCTTCCGGCGGTGGCTGAACTTGAACCTGTTCGGCCACCGCTTTCACAATCGTCCCTGGAGGAGCCAGAGCAACTTCTTTGTATGAGAAAAGCTTCCCAGCTGCTTGAACGCTGATCTGGTTTCCCGCCGAAACTGGTCTCAAAACTGCGTCGTTGGAAGCTGGAGTCACAGGAGCAGATTTGGGATTCATCACCACTTTCTCCGGTCCACCACCGGTGTGGTTGACTTTAGGGCCGAAACTCGCGTTCTTAACGAACTTCTTGGCGGGAACAGTAACTGCCGCAGGTGAAGCAGCAGAGTCGTTTGGACTCGGCTTCCCTCCGCGAGATCTCGACTGGGAAGAAGCATTGTTCATGAAGTTGGTGTTGAGCTTCGCGAGGCTCGGCCTCCTCGAACCGCTACCTGCAGACGGTTTTCGGTTCGCAGGGGAGCGGCCCTTGGGGACGGCTTCCTGCCACCCTTCGTCGGGGTCTTCCTCCAGTGTAGTAACAATGACGACTTCGGTCTTGATGGATATAGACTGCTTCTGATCGAACTTTTTCTCTTCCTGTGGAGCATTGTTCTGGGTCACGGATTTGTTCTCCTTGTCGCTGGAGCTATCATCGACGTGGGAAGTAGTTGGGGATGGTGTTTCTTCGTCCTTCTGGTATTTGTCTGAAAAGCCCGGTTCCCCGTTCTGGCCTGGTTTTCCTTTAATCAGCTGAGAAGGGAAGGAGATATAAACAAGTTCAGGAAATGGAAAGATTTGCTGAAGGTGGATGAATGGTAGAATGGAGAACAAATGCATACCTTTGCGCGAGCTTTCTTCTGGGCTTCTCTAGCTTTAAGATCCGCGTCTGGAGTTATGTAATCCAAAAGGTCCGACACACTGATCCAGTACAGGAAAATTGAGGAATGGGTGATGGTTTAGTTCTCTCCACGAACACTTTACTTATGGATGGTGAAGGGTAGAGGTACTCTCAGTTCTTTGAAGAACACTCCTTTACCTCAAGTGTCCTTTACTGGAGATGGAGGCATCTGGCTTGGGAGTGCCATTACGGGCAGCTTCTTGCTGCTCAAGAGCCTTGGATTCGAAGTACTCGAGCCAAGCTGCAGCATCCTGCAAACATGGCATAACATAAGCGAATATGAGAATTAATCAGTGGTTAAGAACTTAAGATCACTCCTCCGCTAGACAGTAAACTTAGATCCCACCTGAGTGCGTAAATCTTCAGACCCAAGCTTCGCCTGCAGTATTTGTAATGTTGTTTGCTCATGCTGAACACTCAATGAATAAGCTTCCATCAATGAAAGAGCAATCGCAATGGCATGGTAGCTGGCAGCAGTCTGAAAAAGGCCAGATGTAAGTCCGGTATCTTTGTGATTTATATTGCAATCACAGAGAGAGGGAGAGAGATAGAGCTACCTGAATATGGTCAGCTCCAAGTAGTCTCTGGTTACACTTCAGAGCCTCGTGAAGGTACCTAAGAGCAACATGGGCGTTTCCCAGTCCTTCTTCCATCATCGCCACATTGATATATGTGGCAGCTGTGTTCGGGTGAGATGGTCCACATGTAAAGTGCAAGAGATAGAGTGCCCGGTTGACATACCTGAAAGAACCAGTGACAACAATCAATGGTAGGTGCTAAATGATAGCCAGTGACAACAATCAATGATACGTGCTAAATGATAGGCAGTGAAGTTAAAGTGTTATCATTGGAAGCATGAAGTGAATCAAAGTTTAAGTTTCGTAGGAATGTTTAGGAAGGGAAAAAGGAAACGTACTTCAATGCTAATTCTGTATGTTGAAGACGATAATAGAAGACGGCTAGATCTCCGTAGCTTTTCATTGTATCAGGATGGTCAAGTCCAAGCTCCCTTTCATTAATGTCCAATGCCTTCTGCTGATAAAGGGTTGCCTGGACAACTCAAATGAGTTAGTTTGAGTAGCAAGCAAGTATAATACTATCTCCCGGAGAAAAGCAGTTGAATTGGCCCGAGGGTTGCCAGATGATTAGGTTCAGGAACATAAAATAACTTATTGATTAGCAAAGCCAGAGATGCATGAAACTGTCTGAGATGTTGTACCTGATTAAAATCGCCCGTATGATAAAGAACTACAGCAAGCAAACTGTACGCTCCAGCAGTCATTCGATGATAAGGGCCACAGACTGAAACCAGCTTCGAGAGTGCCTTTAAACATATGAACAAATATATCAATTCACATAATCCACTTTTAAATATTATATCAGCAAGAGGCACAGAGTACACAGGTAAAAATGATGAGCTAATAATGCCCACCTTGGTGCCATAGTTAACAGCATCTTCCAACTTCCCCTTGTCCAAGGAAGTTTTGGATGATTCCAATAATGTACGGCCATCTGCTGATGAACATGCAGCATGCTGCAGAGTACGAACACAACAAAGTCAAGAAAATGAGCTAATAGCTAAACTTCCACGGCCCGGTTCTCAGAGTATCGCCTTACCTTATAGACAGGGATCATACTTATGACATCAGACTTCCTAAAAGGAAATGCAATATCCACCTCGTAGTCTCGGGGAAGGAGCTCAAGCCCAACCTGAAAATAGAATGATCCAATGATAGAGTAAGAATGTAATTCTAAGGTATCGGAGAGCAATATCTAGAGAGTGGCATGAGTGGTTACTTTATGGGAAAGTCCACGAAGTATTGTGAATTTTCTTAGATCTTGGCAGCTTTCATGCTTCAATTGCCACCCAAATCTCTTGGAAAGGAAGGTTTCCACCCATTTCCACTTTAACTTATCATCCTCAACAATCTCTGCATCCTCTGTTTCAACTGGAGGAGTTCCCAACAATATATTTAAGCATGCTGAAATTAGTGCAGTCAGCTCAGAAGCCACGTTTGCAACAGCTACAACAGCTTGCAATATGTGCTTGTAGGCTCGAACAATCATTTCATGTATACAGAGTGATTGTACATGAGGGAGTTTGTCTGCAAGTTCAACCTAGAATACAGGAAACCAATTAACAAAATGGTAAGAAATGAAGCATCTAAGAGATAGTATAGCAGAGAAATTTTACCACACGGCCCAAAGAACACATCTGTAAACCCCTAGTATGCATAAACTCTGTCAATGTTCTCCCATCAACCGGTGACAGTTCGAGAGAGCCAAAATCTGCTACCTGCGATTTACGCACATATGCAAGTTAGTTTTAGGAAAATTTTAACAGGGTCAAGGAAATCTGAGTGGTTGAACAACTGACCAGTTTCGGAAGAGCGGTATCTGCATAGTATTTATGTGCCATTTCAATCAACTCTTCAGGAGACTGCAAGACAAAAAAGAACAAGAACAAAAATTAGAATGTGAACTTAAAAAGAACAATAGTGTAAAAGGAAACTTTAAGCAGATGGGTTTTCCACTTAAGATATGGAAACATACCTTGAGATGAAGACCAGTTTCAGATTCTTTAAGCCGCAGATATGCAGCTTCAGGAAGCAATCTTTTCCATGTGACCTCCATATCCTCAAGTTTATTCTCCTCCTCTTTCTGATCCATGCCATCTGATATCCTCATAGTCTCAGTGTTGTTACCTTGAGAAATATCTTTTCCATCCTTTGGTTTGCCATTTTTTACACCCAGTTTTTTCTTTATCTCCTTCAGCAGGCCACCCTGCTTTCCCAGTCCCTTGACGGCAGGTTCAGGTTTTTTCTCTTCAGGTTTTTTAGGATCGGTTTTACCTGAAGCCTGATTTTGCAAGTGTTGGACCCAACATGCGCCTAGTTCCCATCTGATGGACTTTACACGTTTACTGGGTTCTTCATGCAACTTCTGTAGACTTTCCTCTAGTACCTTCCTGACAAGTGCCCTAGCAGAACGTGCATTTTCAGCGTCTCCACTCTGTAATCTCTGGTTTGTATTCGGCAATTGAGATGTTGGATACTTGTGCAATAGCATCCTCAAGCTGAAGAAAGTTAAAGAGAGAATTATTAGGAAAGTAAGATGATTATGATATTCTTGAATGTATATGGGCCATGTCAGACTAACCTATTGGCATTCAAGGCATTGGCCCCTCCTTCAGGTTGGTCTTCAATATCAATGTCCTGAGGAATTGGACTCCCTTTCCAGTCCACTTCTCCCGAGACTTTAACAACAGCTGTGTATCCGCAATGCCGGATAATCACAACTCCTATGGTAGAAACATCCTACAGAAGTAGAAAATCGAGGCTTCAGAAACCAATTCAACATGTTTAAACTTTCTATATTGAAAAATTCGAGAGGAATGTCAGAATCTCACATGAACAGCCGCACTTTCATCAGCAGTAATGCCCTTAAGCAGATTTCGATGAGCGAGTTCTTCCTGTGGCAGTTCAAGTACCAGACTACCATCATTCTTACGATCCAACTTGGTGCTTGCATCAGAGTCATCTCTTATCACCTTAATAAGTAAATCCCCAACTCTTTCCTCGTGGGGAAACAGGTCAGTCTTGCTTAGAGAAGACTGATTATTATCAATGATCTGCTTGATTGCTCTCACAGCTCTGAGAACGGAAACATCGACGAATAAACTGTGGAGTAGAAAGGCTTTCCTATCACGGATCTGTCTCTCTTCTGCAGTTTTACAAGGCATTGCTGCTAATATTGCAAACTCCTTTGCCCATGGCCTGTGATCATGTTTACCATTCCTTCCTTGCCCGCCTCCATTTCCACCCCAGTTTTCATCTTCCACTGGAAGTGGGGGGAAAACAGATGGGTTTTCAGAGACAACTGGTGGCACAACCCATGTATTTGCCCGAAAACCATAAGGAAGATTGCCAAACTGAAATGAAAAATAAGTGACAATTCAACAACCTTCAGTTGACAATGACTATGGAGAAGAATCAGAACAGAAGAACACCAAGAAAAAAGCTATTCCTGACCTTATTGTGTTCTATAAAAGCTTTCATAAGAGCTCGGTAAGCCTGCAACCAGCTCCAAAAAATGGCATAAGAACATCACCACAAACAAGCAATGCTTTCGATGAATTCAGTGAAACTTACAGTATCAAAAGGCCGGCTAATCTGTTGTAGCAAGCCAACCAATGAATGGCAAAGAAGGATGCGCTTTCCAGATGGATAAAACCCTTTCTTCGAAGCAACAATTGTCATTGGCTTCCCACTGGAAACCCTAACCTGCAAAATTCAAATCCATACTGCCGATTACAACGTCTGCAGTTCACAATCCAAAATTAAAACCTAACAAATCGATAGAAACCTCACATCTAATTGGAAAAAATCGTCGTTCGTTTTATCTTCGAGGAACGGCCGATCAGATCTTCGAATGTCTGAGAAAAAAATCCAGAAATTCCATATCCACTCAATTTCATTCGAATTCCAGCACTACACTACATTCCAATAGCAAATTCGAAACGGAGAAAGGAAAACACCTACAGTGAACCGGCGGCGTGAGGTTTGAGAACGAAAAGAACTCGTAGAACTGCCCTAGCCGCGGCGGCGGGTACATGTTAATCGCAGCCGCAGCCGCTGCCGAATCTCCCTTGGGAGACAGATCCGTGTCATTTCCAAAACTCTTACTCCTGTTGACCGCCGCGCCGGCCTTCTTATCTCCTCCTCCCGCGCCTCCTTTTGACTTGGCGACTCCGGCGTCATCGCCGCCGTTTCTTTGACCCGCTTCCGATTCCGTCGAACTAACATCCTTCCCGGCGGCGTCCTTAGTCGTACGGCCTTCGGCCGGTTTGATCGGCGACGAGCCGAAGGAAGTGGTGCAGGCGACGATGTCGAGGAGCCGGCGGATGTGAGCGACGGCCTGCTCTTCACTGTATTCCTCTGCAGCGGAAAGGAAAAATCATAAAAATATTTTTAAATTCTCGTTGGGAGAAAATATGGCGGGGGTGAAGCGCGGGTTATGATCTGCTATTGGCAGCTGTAGGGGGAAATGTTGCGCTCGGATGAAGTGATAGCCGTTGGATTGAGTACTTACCTTCAACGATGGTGAGGTGGCAGGGTTTGAGTGAGACGATATCCGCCGAATCTCTTAGTCTGGGCCCCTTTACCTGCAGGGGATTAAAAGTGAACTTTTACAAACGATACAAACCAGAGCCAAATTTTTAACTCATACCTGAACTTATGTAAGGATGTAAGTTTAGTATTTAGAGAAGCAAAATAGTAAAGTTAAGGTCACAACTCACAACCAACATCATAATGAATTTAGGTAGATATATTGGGCCCGTTGCATTGAAATACAAGGATGATATTGTCTTGTACTTTGTCGTACCACATTGATGTATGATGACATCATTTTAAAGAAGGGTAAATGACACATTTGGTCACTGAAATTATTAAATCGTGTCATGTTTAGTCACTATAAAATTTTAATATCAATTTTGATCACTCGAATTACTGAAATTGGTCACATTTAGTCATTCTCCAATTAGTTTCTGTCCAACTCTATTAATGGAGTTAGACGGAAACTAACGGGAGAGTGACTAAATGTGACATGTTTCAATAATTTGAGTGACTAAATGTGACATGTTTCAATAATTCGAGTGACCGGAGTTGGACAGAGGCTACAGGAGAGTGACCAAATGTGACATGTTTCAGTAATTCGAGTGACCAAAATTGATATTAAATTTTTCTAGTGACTGAACATGACACGATTTAGTAATCTCAGTGACCAAATGTGGCATTTACCCAGTTGGTCCCAATAACTCGAGTTGTTGGGAGAAGGTTATGTTGGATCTTATACAGACCCATGTATGGTACTTAACCACTTCCTTACACCCCTCCCCCCTAAACGAAAGCCGACTCATGGGCTTGAAATTTGCACAAGCCCGCCATACCATGTGCTTGAAAAGACAACGGTTAATATTGGGGGTCGTGAAGACTTGAACACGTGACCTCAAGGACAAATCAGCTCTGATACCATGTCATAGACCAGTTGATCCCAACAACTCGAATTGTTGGGAGAAGGTTAAGCTGGATCTTATACAGGCTCATGTATGGTACTTAACCACTTCCTTACCGTTACTAAATATTTTTCTAATTAAGTATACTACGTAATTATTGCCCTAGAAAACAGATGAAGCAATAAATGTTCGGAAAGTGTCAGTGTGAAGGGTACCTCGTGGGAGATGGAGAAGTTGTTTAAATGGCATGTCTCGACGTGGACGGCCAGTAGCTTTCTCACGTCCAGGATCCTGTCCGTCGAAATTCCCTACACATCAAAGCAAAAGCTTGAACTCAAACTCCAAATGTGGCCACCTACAACCTCAAACTTAATCGTCCATTTCATAAACAATATCGTTTTAAGGTGGCTAGCTAGCTACGAGAGTCCCTCGTGCCTGGCTAACATTGTGCTTAATTACATGCCCGCTCGAAAGAAGTTCGGTAGGAGATTATTAGATTCGTAGAATCTTCCACGAGTTCATATTGTGTGTTTTGGAATATGATAAGAGAAATAGAATTTGGAATTTGGGTTTTTGTTAAGTTACAAAAGTGAGGTTAAAATAGTTTAGAAGATACTTCAAAACCGATGTAGCAACATTGTCTTGCTCCTAAGAAACAAGCAGAATACAATGTTCTAAAACTTTCAGGTTGGACCAAGAGAAAATAAAGAAGACACTTGAGAAAGAAACAAGAGGTGCATTATATTCTTTCTTAGAGTAAAACATGCTACAAGTCAAGTCCAACCCATGACCCCTTTTTTCAATGAAAATATATATGTTCTTGTTGCAAATGTGGGGACCTTCAATATTGTTTTTTTTTAATTCTTAACAAAAAAAATCTATTTTTGGTAAAGAAAATCCAACATTACGATAGATATTGTGAATTTGTGATAAATTTTCATTTATGTACACTGATGTTACCCAAACATAGAGTAAACAAGAACCCATTATTTCCTTTTCATGGAAAACATTGAGCTAGCTAGAGCAAAGGGCAAGTTTGAACTCAAATGTAACAACAATTTGATAACAAAAAGCAGAAAAACATAAGGAAAAAGTTAAACAAAAATTAGGTAATTAATTACTAATTAGACAAACAAAGTACAGAGGGGTCGGCAATGCATACATGAAATGAAACAGCATCGGTTAAAAGATTAAACACAACAAGAGAGGGTTTAATTTGTTACTGCTTTACCTTGAGAGTGACTTGGGACCCGTCGTCCGGCGTCTCAACGGTGATTTCAACGACCGTCGGCAGAACTGCACCACCAGCAATTCCCAAGTTATACTTTCACAACCCCAAATCATGAAACCAACCCAAAAGACAAAGCCAAGAAAACATCTATATTACTACGAAAACTCGAACTATTGAGAGGGGTTCGATCGAGAACCTCGTAGAAACTTCATTGAGACAACTCGGATTCGAAAATACACGTGGGGAAACAAGATAGAGGAAGAAAAAAATTATGAAGGGAAGACCTTTTTCTTCCTTCTTCTTCTTCTTCTTCTCGCCCTTGGCTTTATGAGGCTTGGCCTTGCCGGTTTTCGGCGCCATTTCTGTTAATCCTCACTATCGAAGAGCTCAACTTATACTCTTAACTTTCCAAACCCAGCAAGACGATGAGAACTATATTATATGAATTAGCTTCTTGAGTTAATCGAAGAATCTGAATCTTTCCCTTCTCTGCGTGGCCAAAAACCCACCAACCAGAATCAATCCTCCCTTTTACTTGGTCCAAGTAATGCTTGTGAACAGCAAATGAACAATGGAGTCTTTGCTGGCGATGACTGAGAAAAGGGAGAGACAGTTAAAATTGACAGAAAGAAAAAGAAGGGGAAAAAAAAGGGGGAGGAAGAAGGAGGAGGGGGAATGAGAATGAAGAAGATGGTGGTGGTTGATACTTGATAGGATAAGGGTAAGGTTTTTGGAGGCAATTAGGCCTATGTGCAAACAAAAGGGTTTGGAAGGGAAGAATGAAAAGTTTTTGGGGTTGGTGGAGGCAAAATTCAGACCTCTCATTTCCCCACCATTCTTCCTGTCTACTCTGTTCAGCCCTTTTTTTTTTTTTGCCCATCTCATCATCCTCTAGGGCATTATCCGTCGGGTTCGATTCGTGTTGCTATAGTTAACCGCGTTTTAGAGAACACGATAGAGTGCGTGTGAAAGCTTGTCGACGTATAATTCAGTATTTGAGTCGGTACAAAGTACGGTGATCTCTTGGTCTATCGAGGTAAGTCCGAGTGATGGCAAGTATCGAAATGGGTTTGTGATAAGACGAGGCGAAATCGTTTGCTTCAGAGGACTTTGGCGCACCGGTGTTGGTAACCGGTAAGTTTTTAGGTGGACTCGGTTCGAAAGTCTTTGCTAGTTTACAGTGTGGATCTCGGAACCGCGCGATTTCAACACAACTATCCATGTAACAGTATCATGTTAAGCGTCGAGCTTACCGAGGGCGAGGATAGTTCTATCCCGATCGATTGATCTAATGGAAATATGGTAAGGATAACTCTCATCAACGTAACTGTATTATTATTGTAGTACATAGTTAACGATTTAACATAGTGGTAATGTTTGAATGATAATATCAATGAGCATAGTTAGACCTCATTGATTAAGATTACAATGATCATATTCATCACCCAATTGGTTTCAATAGTGGGAACAACACACATATAAAAAATGTATGCTCAAGGTTAAAATTTTGAGCATCACTAGGAAGTAGGAATACACATAAAAGACGGCTTAGTGTGGTTAATCCAAAAATAATGAAGATATTGTGTTCATGTGCTTCTGTTTGGACAAATTGAGTCCCGGTTGTGATGAAATAGTAGTATTTGTCTTTTCCCATCTCTTTTTAACTGTAGTTTTTATACAAGCAACAAGTAATTGATTTTCAATTCAGTTGTTTTATGTTTTGGAAACATGTGTTTGTTAGAAATAAACATAACAAATTAACCACTCATAAGAAAATGCCAAAATTATTGATGGCCGGTGAAATTCATTGTCATATGTCGACATAATCTATTATAAAATTTGTAATTATCATATTAAATTGGAGATGACCGAGTTGTTAATTACTAATAACACAAAATGAGACTACATGTCAACAGTCGACGTTGTGATCAATGTTCTCGATGGCTGAAAATGGAAAGTGCAACTGATAACTACATGCCACAACTGACTAGCATCTTTGCTACATGTCAACAATCGACGTTGTGATCAATGTTCTCGATGGCTGAAAATGGAAAGCGCAACTGATGACTACATGCCACAACTGACTAGCATCTTTGCTACTATCCTATGTAGGTGTTGGTTTGCCAATGTTATGAGGAAAGGTATTGATCATGAGTTCTTCTGTATTGTTAGGCCACTTGGACCCATTTCATGTGCGTAGGAACTCGATAGCTAGACCATATATGAGTTCCCTTTGCCATGAATGATCACTTTGACCTTTCGAGACTCCAAAAAGAAATGGGCAAATGGGTGATTTGGAGGTACATAATCTAAAGGGATATGGCCATATGAGTGTGGGTTTGAATATTTTAGCAAAAGGCTATAAACTAGTAGAGAGATTGTGATGAAATTTAGCTAGAATGTCGAATCCTTCTAAAGGGTTAATTGCAAGTTTGGTCACTGGGTTTACAAAAAAGGTTCACGTTTGGTCACTAAAAATATTTAAATTCATTCGTGGTCACTAAAATTAGTTCAATAGTTCGACTTTGGTCACTCTCCGTCCAAGTCCGTTAACTTTCGCTGATGTGGCAGTCAACTTTAAAAGTTGACCGTTAAATGACTGACGTGGCAATTAAAAAATAATAAAATAAATAAAATTTAATATTTTACTATTTTCACATCATTTTCACAATAAATAAAAAAATAAAAGAAAAATCAGAAAATAAGGTAAAATAAGAACCCTTCACCTCCTCTCTTCTCCACCGAATCTTCGTTCACCCAAAATTCAACTTCCCGATCACCGTCTTCCTCATCATCCACTCAATTCCTTCTTTTTCCCTCTCTCCTTCAGTATATCTCATCCTTCCAAGGCCCCAACCCTACCACTAATTCACTGGCCTTTACCAAATAGAAATCCCCCAAACCCACCCCTTTCCATCCCCCTCCTCTCTTCCAATTTACAGAACCAAAAAGAGAAACCTAGGTTGAGACAAACACCCATATCTCTTCAATCCTACCTCTCTCTCTTCATATTGATTCATACTAAAACAAGCGGCACCAACGCCAAATAAACCTCCGTCAATTCCTTCTTGCAAATGATTAAAAACGCGAAGAACGGCGTAGTTGCTCCAATGGCATGATATGGCATGATTGAAGGAGACCGGGAGGTAGTGGAGGGAGGTGTTGTCGCAAAAGAAGAGAAGCAGATGATGGCGGAGAGGGCGAAGATCTCCAAGAACTGGCGGCGGGTTCCGGGCTATGCCGACATTGAGATCTGTTCGTCGAGGGGAATCGGGGTTGTTGTTGTTGAGGGGTTACCTTTGGAACAGAGCTTCAAATCTGGGGCCGAGGGTTTAGTGCGGATTCTGGGAGGAATATCCGGATGGAGAAGAGAGGAGGTGAAGGGATCTTTGGCCGGAAAACCGCCGATCAGAATGTAAGAGAGGCTAGAAGTATTTTACCTTATTTTCTGGGTTTTCTTTATTTTTATTTTTTTATTTACTGTGAAAATGACGTGGAAATAGTAAAATATTTTATTATTTTTTAATTGCCACATCAGTCATTTAACGGTCAATTTTTAAAGTTGACTGCCACATCAGCGAAAGTTAACGGACTTGGACGGAGAGTGACCGAATTCGAACTATTGAACAAATTTTAGTGACCACGAATGAATTTAAATATTTTTAGTGACCAAACGTGAACCTCTTTTGTAAACCCAGTGACCAAACTTGCAATTAACCCTCCTTCTAAACATGGTCAAAAAGAGGATCAATGACTGGGCTTTGGATCCATCATTCGACTAAATGTTCGAAAATCGACCACACAATTTAATTTTTTTAGATGGAGAACTTGGTGAGTGCAAAGATTTTGTGTTTGAATCAAACTATCATTGTGAAAACTTTTTTGTTGGAGGCATGTGGTTAGGAGAATCTAAGGCAAACATATTTTGTGTGGTCTCGTGAGATTAGAGTTTGCCTATAACAATGGAGTTGTCCTTCGAGAAGTTGGGCTACTGAAAACAGAAATTCGAATAAAAGGACATGTAGCTCAATTATTTAGATGAAAATTGAAGTTCGTAATTGATTATTTACAAGCGATAGCGGTGTATTATATGTATATAAGACCGGCCAATTAGTGTGTGATTTGGTGCAACCGGTTGTTTTCTTTCATATTTACAAAAGACCTGCCTATACATAGTTTTGGCGTGTGCTATATTTTTACTAGTACAATTATTAATTATGTACATATATCATTGTAAAAAAGACAATTAATTTATTGGCACAAAGTCAAGTCCCAACTAGGTTAACACTTCAACGGCTACAAAAATTTGAGAGTGGAATATGTCGTCATAGTTCATAGGTGTATGTCCAAAAAAATTTGTATTTTTCTTTCGTTGGAAAGAGACAAATGATGGGTTGCACTTGCCGGATTAGGGCCAGCCACAGATATGATCAATCTATCACTTCACGAGGGAAATTTTAGATCCCAAAGTTTTATGAAATGATTTCACTAGACTTGAGCTCAAAGATATTCATGTTTGGTGTAATAAGTTGTTCTACTAGTTACATCGACATATCATAAACAGAAGTTCAAAGTATACCTCTAATATTTTTCTTTAGAAATTCATCTTCTTTTCATCTCAACTTCAGTTCAAGTAGCCTTCCCATCTCGTTATCCAAACTCATCTACAACTAGAGCATAGTACGTAGTTATTGTAGTACGTAATTTGAAATACATACATCCTTATTTGAACTTAAGATTTGACGCCATAACTCTAATCCTTATGCAACGAGGATTCATTTTCCAATCGTTACCTGTTCAAACTACACGATCAAAGAATGTAAATGATGTTAGTTATATTGCGAACGTAGAAGTTAGTTTATCACGACTAAATTACACCTTATCAACATATCCGATGATAGATAACAATTTTGTTCATACCCAAAGGCCAAAGAACTCGGGGTAAAAAAAAATGGTCATATGTTATGTATAATGGCGAGCCCAACTCTTGCAGGAGTTACCACCAAGTGTAGCCCAACTCTCACTAAAGCCCAAATGAAAGCCAGCTTACCACTAAGTGGAGCCCAAATGAAAGCCGCTAAAGCTCCTGCCGGTCTCTGCTTGAAAACGCTAGAACAACAGACGATTTACTTGTAATCCGCGGCAGAAACCCCGGCAAAAACCTCTGTAGTTTGACTTCAAGTCAAGGCCAGGAGCTTCTTCTCGTAAGGAAACCAGTAGAACCCTAACAATGTCGGTAATCGGCATTCCCCAAACGCAGATCCACAGACTCCCGCAGTCCAAGTACGTCGACGCGATCCGATGGCTTCCGTCCGTCTCCCCGCTCCAGCAATCCGCCATCGTGGCCTTCTTCGACACCGACGCCGACTCTCCATCTCTGGAAGTCCACTCCCTGGACCAAGAATCGAAGGCGCTCGACCTCGTCTCCTCGTGGGCTCCTCCCTCCCGCATTTCCTCGCTGAAGTCGACTCACTCGTTCGCCGTCGCCTCCACCGTCTCCGGGTCGCTCCACGTCTTCAGCGCCGCCGAAGCGCAGGACCCCTCGTCGGCGTTTCGGTCGGAGGTGTCTGTAGCCGCGGATGGGAAAGGGTTTCATATGGGGCGGATCAACGGGGTGGATTTGATGGACGGCGGGAGCAACGAGTGCGTCAGCGTTGGGGAGGACGGGAGGGTGAATTTGGTTAGGGTTTTGGATGGGAGTTACAGGAAGGTGTTCGATGGGAACGGTTTGGTTTCGTATACGGCGGTGAAGTGGGCTTCGCCGACGGAGTTTGTGACCGGCGGGTGTGGGTTTGGGTTGCAGTGGTGGGACCTCCGGCGGCCTGGCTCTGCTGTTGCTCAGTTCAAAGGGAACTTGTGAGTTGTTTTTTCCTGGAAATGTTTTGAATCTGCTGGTTGGGTGTTCAATGGTTACTGGACCGAAAGGTACGATGTTTCTTGCTTAGTGACTTGGTTTTGTTTGATTGATTATGTAGGGAGAAGGGAAGAACTTCTGGGATCATACATTCTATTGATGTTCATCCGTCTAGGAAGCACACCTGTCTGGTAAGACATGAATACTCCCCCATGGGCTTGTGGTAGAATGAATATGGTGGTAGTGAATCGATAATGGCAGTTTCGAAAAGCTCTGCGTACTATTGGAGGCTAAAGGCTTGTGCTTGTTGTGCCTTGACATATTAGAGCCATATTGTTGCTTGTGTCTTGCTTGCATGTTTGCCATAGCATGCTTGAAATGCCAGCTTTTAGGGCCGTGTATCGTCTCTTAGCTCTTAGGTGTTGCCTTCTCTGTTGATAGATAGCTTAGTTTGGTTAAGCGATATATTTTTGGAGCTCATGAAGCTATAGAATTAGGGCGGAACAATCTTGTGTGAGAAATTGGTGCAGCCTAGTAACCGATAAGCTATAATGTGTCCATCTTTGAGAAAGAATGAGGGTGTTAGAGGTGCTTCCAGGGTCCTTATTATTTGTGTAGTATGTGGTATAGAAATTGCTCGTTTATTCCTTAGTCGAAGCTATGGTCTTTTTGTTATCCGTAGTTCTCTCATGGTGTTCACATCTAATTTTAGTATTATCTTGTAGGCTGGAGGTTCTGCAGGAACTATATTCGCATGGGACTTGAGATACCAACAGCAACCCATTATCCTCTCAGGAACTGGTAGTGATACTGCAGCTCAGTCATTATCCGAGAGTGAGGTTTGGGAGGTTCAGTACGACTCCTATACTAAGTCTTCAATGAACAATTTCTCATCCTCGAAACTCCTGCCTGCCATGTTCTGCTCGGAAGATGGGATCCTTGGAGTCATTGAGCAAGGTAACGAATGAATGCCTTCTACTCTCTCTTTTCATACCTGAAACTCTAATGCCAAAAACTTGATACTTAGACTTTCTTCTGTTTGGAATCCTTCGCCATTTATAGGCGAAGAACCTACAGAGCTTCTGGCAGAACCATGTGCCATCAACAGCTTGGACATTGATCGACAAAACCCTTCGGTATACTCAGATCATCCTCTACCCTGAATCGCTTATTTTTTAACATTAGAGAGGGTTTTACTCAATGAACACATTTGGTGCCAATGCAGGAGGTAATTTGTAGTTTGGAATGGGAATCCATAGCCATAGTATCAAGGCCTTAAAATGGGCACAGATGATGCCATTTCGGTCGAGATCCTCCCCAGTATGGAACCTTCCGCAGGCAACCAGCGACCAGCATGGCCTCTTCCAGCTGAAGATTCTTCCCAAGCTTTTCTGTTTCTTCTGTCCATGAAATGTCGAGGATTTCAAAATAAATCCATCTTGTAATGAAGAATCCGAAGCCTACCCAATGTAATTTTAATTGTTCTCTTGTGAAAAGAACAGTCTTTTTCCTGAAAAATCGTAATGTTTGGTAATCTTACTCTACTCGAATTGGATGTAAATTACAATAGAAGATCACTATCAAGATAGTCATTTTGCACAACTCATAGGGAAAGTCCTAGAATGCAGCAAAATAAAAGTTTTGAGGACTAAAAAGTTCACCTCATCCTCTATCCATATTCTACATTTTCGCGTCATCCACTCCCCTCTCCTCTTTCTTCGTTTCCCTCTCCAATTCTCATTCCCTGAGGGTAAAACAGAACACGAGCAGAAAATCCACGGCTATGGCTTCTCTAACCTTCATGTCAGTCAATGCAAGGGTTTGTCCAGCCCGAGTCTCTTGTAGCTCAACCCGACTTATCTCGTTCGCCAATTCCCGCAGCTCGCTGAAGCTCAGTTCCACGCACAGCATATCGGGTTCTCTCGCAGTTCTTTCGTCGAAGCCATGCCCCGTCTCCTCGCTGTCTCAGAGGCTCCAATCTCTCACCGTCTTCGCTGCCAAAGGGTACAAAATGAAGACCCATAAGGTGAATTCTCAGTTTGGTCTGGTTTTGTTGGTGGTGTTTGAGAACGAAGCTAAGGTGTTTGTTAATAGGCCTCAGCGAAGAGGTTCAGGGTGACGGGAAGAGGGAAGATAGTGAGGAGGCGAGCTGGGAAGCAGCATTTGCTGGCTAAGAAGAATACCAAGAGGAAATTGCGCCTATCCAAAATGGTTAGTTCCTTTTTTGACAGAAAACATTTTTGTCTTGCATTGTTTCTAGTTCAGGATTTATGGCTTTAGTTATTGTGTTCTGAACGAGGGTCTAAGGCAATTACCCCCTTTGTGAGGAAGAACCGAGTTTCCAGTTAGTTGAATGTTCCCTACTGGTTGCATTTACTTGTTGGATGATTCCTGGTTGAAACTTGGAAAAGGCTGCTTTCATTGAATTCCTACTGCTTAATCATAAGCATTTAGTATAATCCGTTAGCTTTGCTGGAGAAAAGGGAGCTTTTTAGTGAAATCTGTCTGACAGCAAGCTGAAAGAAATCTTCAAACAAGTCTAAAATGGACTGTAGATACTACAAAGCTTTCACGTTGTAGGTTGGAATACATGTGTTGAAGATGTTGATGCTAGCGGCACTAGAAATTCCGATGAAGGCAACTCCAAGTACTGGACTAGAGAGCTTTCTGACTCTCTGTTTGCTCCTTGCAACCTTGAGAAAACATATGTGGAGTTAGTTACCGAGTATGAAAAGAGCATGGAGCTTTGCTTCCATCAATTTTGCTATGCACTTGGCTTTTTGCAGTGGAGAAATATTTGATTGTGATATCCTTATATCGCTGCTCTAAGGTTCAATCAATTCTGTTATCCACTTAGCTTTTTTCTAGTGGATAATATTTGATTGTGATATGTCCTGATATCTACTGCTCTTTGGCTATTGATATGGTCTCTATCTGCCTATGCTTCTTCTGGTAAGTCCCGGGAAATACGGGAATCTTTCTTGCTTCAGAAGATAGAAGAATTGAGAGGATGCTCTAAAAGTGCATATGACTCTGTACAACCCATCCTGTTCATCTTTTTGCACTGTATCTGGTTCTAGTATCTGCAGTTCTTAGCTTAAACCAATTGATTTGCCTCCAACTTCCTATCTCATTAGCCCGAAATTAGCCATTGGAACTAGCTAGCCATTTGTGTAATTTTCTATTCAATGCTAGTGCCTATATCCACTGTGTTTACTTCCATTCCTGGCATATACAATAGCTTCCCTCTCTCAACCATCTCTTGCTCTCTCTTTGTTCTGAAACAGCACGAGGTCAGCCGGAGCGACTACGATAACGTGATCGGTGCACTGCCGTACCTGAAAGTGAACAGATTGGCAAAGTAGATTTCACAGTCTCGTTAGTAGACAATACTGGAATCCATGGCCGCTTGCTTAACAGTTTATGCACAAGGGTCAGAACTTCTCTTCAATCTTGATGCATTGTTCTTTGTAATTCTGTTACAACACAGGATGATCAGTTTTAGCTGGTTTCTTTTGCTTCTTCCAATTCACTGCACTTGTCCTGCCATACCATGGCAGTTAAGAATTAACCCTTGGAAAAAATGGTTCATTCAGGGTGTTTATTGGATGTCAAATATACAAAACAAAACCCTTTGATGATTAGTTCTAATAGTTAACAATATGATACAAATCAAAATGGTGCTGTCGTCCTTCTTCTTGGACTTCAATGACGATGGTTTATGCACTATACTTATCATTAATTTGCTGGCCTCCCATAGTTTCTTAGTAGGAAAATACCTGGCATGTTTCAACCTTATCCACTCCCTCGTTAACATAACAACAATATAAAATTCCACCACCCATTATTAATTTAACTATTTAATAAACACTTTGGAACCAAAAAAAAAAAAAGACAAAATGAAATTCCATCTGGATTTGATTGGTCGTCCGGCGACTTCGTGCGGACGGACGGCGGAAAGAGATGCGACCTCACACTGCATAAAGTGAGGCCGACCACAGAGTATCACGCCACTTGATGCAAAGTAGGCGTACCCAAATTTTGGCATCCAGCTTACGTGTCGAAGTTCTCGAAGCTACCGCCAGATCAGACGCCACGTGTCCAAACCGACCAACCACCGCCGTCATTTAATACGACAAAAAAGAACTATGGACCGTGGGACCCGCCCATTTTATCCAAAACAGACTCTTACGTGTCGGCCAGCACGTGAATGTTATTATTTTCCTTTAAGTTTCCGTCAGAAAGTACGAAATCAACCAGCCCCGTGAACCAAATGGGTCCCGTATCAACCCGGTTAATCCATATCATGTTTTCGGGTTGGATCGCAGGTACAAATCAATATCCGGGACGTATTGGTATATCAACTCGAGGTGATACTTCGATTAGATCATATGTTATGTAGAAATCTGCTCAAAAATAAAAACACAGAATGAAATTAAATGTGCTTACGAATTCAATTTAGGTCGAACCGGACCGGCTGATCATTCTCGGTTGTTGAACCCTCCCAGGGGGGAATGAACCTGGAAAATCCAAAGGACGCAGTAAAAAAAAAAAAAAAAACAGCACGTGCGAGTCGGTCTCCGACTTCCGTACGCGGGTTCTCCGCACGTGCTCTCCGCCGGAAACGCCACCGTTAAAAAACCAACCCTCCTTTCCTAGGGTTTTCCCGAGAATCGTCTTTCCCCAGAATTCCTCAGATCCCAAAAATAAAAAAACCCACCAAACAGAAAACAAACGCTCCTTTCCTGGAAAATTACTCTCTCTATCTCAGCGGTGATTTTCTCGGGGGGAAATTTGTTCCATATCCAGTCCCAAATTTTCCTGGAGCTCAATACTCCGCAATCGCCAGGTAGATAAGAGGTTGATGGTGCAGTTGATGAAATCGGAGAACTTCCCGGCTGCCGCCGGAACTGGATCCCTGTCGTCGACGATTGGGAGCAAGGATGCGCCGGTGAAGCTGGAGATCGTCGAGGACACTTTGGAGGAAGAGTATGGCCCTCTCAACAAGCGATCCAAGACTCTTCAACAGGTTTTCAGCTTTTAATCTTTTCTCTCCTCCCGCCCCACGCGAAGTCAAAATTAGGGGAAGCCCATTTTAGATTTTCTGAACAATTCGTTGAGGTCGCGGACTTGAGGGGGTTTTGATGTTTTTGTTTGTTGATTTGTGATCTGGGTACAGTGGGGTGCCGGTGCTAATGCATTTCCCGTGCCGCCGGCGCAATACAATCCACTCGATGAGCCGAGTCCTCTGGGGTTGCGGCTGAGGAAGAGCCCGTCGCTGTTGGATTTGATTCAGATGAAGCTCTCTCAGGGGGGTGTTGCTTCGAAGCCGGCGGAAGCTCAGCAGAGTGACAAACCAAGCTCTGGAGCGAAGAAGGACAAACCGCTGAGTGATAAGCTGAAGGCTTCGAATTTCCCGGCATCCGTGCTGAGAATTGGGTCATGGGAGGTACAATTCAAGGCTTTACTGTGATTGATCTGGTTTTTCTTCTGATTTAATGGGGTGGATTTTTTTGATTAAATGTTGATTCTTTGACAGTATACGGCGAGGTACGAGGGGGAGTTGGTGGCCAAATGTTACTTTGCCAAGCATAAGCTCGTGTGGGAAATTCTTGATGGTGGTCTCAAGAGTAAGATAGAAATTCAGTGGTCTGATATCATGGGTCTCAAGGCCAATTGCCCAGAAGATGGACCTGGAACTTTGAATGTCGTGGTAAAGTTCTGAACTTTTTTCGTCTTTGTTGGTAAGTATAATGCTGGGATGGATCTATCTCATTGACTCTGGGAGATGGTGGACGTTGTGCAGCTTGCTAGACAGCCCCTTTTCTTCAGGGAAACTAATCCACAGCCCCGGAAGCACACTTTGTGGCAGGCCACTGCAGATTTTAACAATGGACAGGCCAGCTTACACAAGTAAGATTTTGATTGATTCCTTACACTAGTATTGCTCTTTACCCTATTTCTGTTAGAATATCATGTTTCCTTCTTAGGGCCACTTGCTTATCGATTGCAGCGTACTTTGTTTGCTCTTTTGGGTCATTTGCTATGGTAGAATATCATATGTTCCCTCCCATGCCTCAAAGTTGCAATCTTGTAATGCTATGTTTTTACATATGCGTGCTTGCAGGCAGCATTTTCTTCAATGCCCACAAGGGCTGTTGAACAAACACTTTGAGAAGCTGATACAGTGTGATATGCGGTTGAACTTCTTGAGTCAGCAACCAGAGATAGTTGTAGATTCACCCTATTTTGAAAAGCGGGCAGATGTCTTTAGTGAGCTAGATGAATCCAACGATCAAGAAGTTGACCAAGTGGAAAATGGAAGAGGTTCAGCGTTTGCAGCAGCTGGCTTCCAAAATCTGGCTTCACCATCTGCTGGGTATTCATCCTCGGAGATGGATCGAGGGGATCATACCGGTACAACATCAGAACTCATGTCCCGTGAAGCTCCCTCTCCCAGCTCAGGTATGATATCAGCTTCTTTATATAACATGTTAGGGGGACTGGTAGTTTTTTTTATGCGTACCGAACAATGAAGAATTTGTTCATACATCTCACTGATGTTACATGTTTGTGAGTTAACTGCTTGTTTGTAATTGTTCCTATCAGTGATGGATAATCATGCGATTGAAGGAAGGGGAAACTTTGAGTCTGTTGATTCACGAGCACCCAGGAATTGGGATCAGATAAAAGTACCGGGCCTTACACCTTCAATGTCCATGAGCGATCTCATGAACCACATTGGAAACTGTATTTCAGGCCAGATGAACTCCGGCAATACATCATCGCTGTCCGCAGATGGAGAAGAATGCCAAGAGATATTGGCAGACATAGCTCAATACCTCCTAAGCGACACCCAAAACACAACATCCTCAGATGAGAAGAGGCTAATGGCTAGGGTCAACTCTCTCTGCTGCCTCCTGCAGAAGGACCCCACCTCTTCTTCACAGCAGAATCTGCAGACTATCGGAGAGGACAGCAGCAATGACTCGGTTTTCCAGCTGAATCAACCAAACGGATCTTTGTTGTTGCCTGAATTCAAACCGTCGGAAGGTAACAACATGAAGGATGTTGCTTCGTCGAGCTTAAAGGCTCCATCAGGGATGTCAAGAAGAGACTCGTTCGGGGATCTCCTGCTTCAGCTCCCTCGAATTGCCTCTCTCCCCAAGTTCCTTTTCCATATATCGGAGGAAGACTGAGGAGAGAATAAGAGTAGATGATAGTTGAAATGTTCGCAGCTCGGTCCCCCTCTATGATTGTTGATATCAATGATAGTAGTTATTCCCTCTACTCTCTCTTGTGAAGTGATTCGCTTGTTTGTTTAAAATTTATCATGTCCAACCTCTGGCTGATGTGAAAAACTCAATGAGCATTGGTTTGAAGTTTGAACCCTAAGGGGTGAACTGGGATTCCGAGATTTGGCTTTGATGAAGAATCCCCAGATTGCCTTCACCATGATGTACAAAGAAACCAAGTGGATTGCATTGTGTAAATTGATTACCTCTCTTCTTTCTCTGAGCATTTCATATCAGTACGTAGTTTCAGGTTGTCGTCCTTGTGATCTTATTCTAGTAGCTCCAGATTTGAGAGTTTGCAGCTTTTGTGATCTCATTATGTTCCTCAGATGATCGTCTTTGTGATCTTGTTCTGGTAGCTGCAGATTTGATAGTTTAGCACAGGCTATTTGTGATCCAGTTATGTTCCTCAAGTGGTTGCTTTCTCGATGTTATATCGGTAGATGGAACTGAAGCTAATTGTGTCCAGAATAGGAGCTACCTGTAACATGAATCGACAAAGACGTTCGACACATTCGTGATCTTATTCTGATATGCTGCAAATTCGAGTATGTGCACCAGAGACGTTTCTGGGTCTTTGATCTATTATATTTCGATAAGTGCGAATCTGGTTGTATGCATAGGACCAAAACACTCTAAGCCAACATATGCAATGAAATCAATACGTTCAACTTTGCCTTCAAGACTTAAAAGAACTTGCATCAAAATGTTCATTTTCTTGATCTATGCTCTGCTACTGTATAAACCCATTGAAGAAACAAGGCCATATGCACTCCTATGATGAAACTGGTCAAAAAATTTGCTCCCTCTGTTCTAACAATCATATCTACCAACCTTAATTCCCCCTACAATTTACAGTTCTGCAATGAATTCGTGTGTGCTTTTTCAACTTTCAATCGAGGCTTGCACATATGAAGCAAGCAGGCTCACTCTCTTGCTCATCGGAAGCCATGTTCAAGCACAGCATGTGGAAGACATGGCCGCAACCCAGCACCGCAGCTTCAGGGAAGTTCATAGTCCCCGATTCGTTCTCCGGTGGGACGGGCGCATACGCCAGATCCCTCTCGCAGATCATGCAGTTCTGCCCTAGCTTCCAGTCATTACCCCCTTCACCACCTCCCACCAAACCTGCATACAATGCTTCATCGCACTTCAGGTAATATGTCATTCCTCTCTCCACTGCTTCCTTTCCCTGCGGCGAGGACGGATTCGCTCCCTTCCTCCTCTGCTGCTGTTTTCTTGGCGACCCTTTCGGTTTAGGATTCGTCTTCTGTGGTCCTAGCTTCAGCTTCTCCCCTGTAGGTTGAGACTGAGCTTGAGAAGCTGCCTCAGGTTTCTCCTTCAGAGTTGCATTCTTAGGAACTGGTTGCTTCTTCTCCTTCTTTGCTGTCCCTCCTGAAGCTTTTGCCTTTGAATCAACATTACCCTTCGTCGCTCCACCTCCCAATTTCAGCTTCTCTTCGGAAGCTTTTGCAGCAGCAGCAGCAGCAGCTCTAGTTGTCGGTTGTTTGTTGTTATTGTTATTATTGTTGTTATTTACATCCTTGGCGCTAGGGTTAACCGCGGGCGCGGTCAACCCCGCCTTTTGCCGTTTTGCCGTCGCGGCGGAATTGGAAGAGTTCCTCTTCCCGACGCCGCCGGCGACCCTCTTGACGGCGGTGGAATCGGCAGAGCGGTTGTTGGCAGCCTTCCTCGCTCCCTTCCCAGCCATCGTCAACAGATTCTACAAACAAATTCCGTTGCAACAAAACGCAAAACAAACAAATTGAAATCGCGAAACAGAGAAACAGAAAAAAAAAAACAAACCCAAAACCGTAGAATTGAACGGAAGGGAAACCCAATTGGGGGAAACCTCGAAAACCCGCCATGGAAGGAAAGGAGAGGCTTACCTGAAAGAAAGATTGGACCTTTTGCACCACCCTGCGCCGGAAATTGATGGGTTCGGAAGTTGGATTCGCAAGAACAGCCGACGGCATCAATCGACGGGGGTTTCTTTTGATTCTTTCTCGGATTTGCCTTCTTTCTTTCCCGCGATTTTCTTGGATGGGAGGATTTGTTTTATGGGAGGAATGGCGATTGGCGAGAGAGAGAGAGAGAGAGAGGATATAGGGATTTGCGCGGGGGATTTTGTTGGTGACGGCGGCGGCCCTGGTTCTCCGAGGAGAGTGGGGAGAGCGTTTGGAGGAGAAGAAAGCAGAGTTGGACGCAATATATATGTTTCGGTCTGTTCGGGCTCGGCCCAATACATATTTTATCCTTGTTATTTTTATTGGGTTAGGGATGGATAGGTCGAATCGAACTCAATGGATTCGAGATAGGGTGTACCAATCATAAATGACGTGGTAAAATTAGGTCAAAAGTATGTGTGATTTATTTAGTTTGTACATATATGATTCAAATTCGATCTATTTTTCTTCGTACTTAAGATAATTGGCAGGATTGAAATCAATCGAAATATAGTGAAAGGAGAAGCACAAAACAAGAAGTTATAAAGAGAGAGGATATATACAAAAGATACTTATTGTCCAAAGCGGACAAATATAGTACAGATGTCGAGTGTTCAATCACAATAAGTGGTATCAGAGTCTAATATGAATGTTCATATTCGAGGCGATGGACCGATGATGTGTAGACCCTCATTATGTGACTGCGCGATTGTAGATATGCGCATCCAGAGAACGGGGAAAATGGAGGTATTCGTTTGGCTTCTTGTGTCGAGAATTATAGAGATGCAAGGTAGCTGGCAGATCGATCGATCATTGTTCGGGGAAATGAGAGAAACTTCCATACTATATAAGAGATCCCCTAATTCTACTAGTGCAAAACCTTTTGGAAAGAATACAACAACAAATCCATACAAACTTGACAAAAAACGAACGATATTGTACTCATACTCATGTGCAATATCGGCTACCAACACAAATGCTAGTAGGAGGGGGGGTCAGCCTTAAGGAAGTCTCAAGGCGTCAGACCAAAGAAGCCACATACTCCTATATAAAGAGACTAAAACCCTCAAAGCAAAAGACGACTTCTCGTATCTTTCATTCCGACATTCAACACACATGGTTCTCTTTCTACTCTATCTCTCTACTTTGCATATATCATTCCTGTATATCGTACCAACTAGGTCGTCATAGTGTAGATCAATAATGGGGTTACCGCTTCCTCTCCAAAGATTCCTCCACCCATGAAGAGATTGAATGAAGGAGTTCAATCAGAGCCCCTCATCATTATTGTTAATGATCCGGGTTATATACAATCTGGGTCTAAACAAAAAGTTTTGTGTTGCTATTGATATCGATTACATATTTGACCTAGTCCGTCACCTTTTACTTTTCATGTTGATTAGATACATTCTCAATGTTTGTAGTTTGTATCTCTCCAAGTATACTGAAACAATTGTCTATCTAGTCGAAGATTAGCTAACACACATCGTGTTAATGAATCACACAATAAGTCTGTACTCTTAACTTCCTTACATTGTCAATTTCCCTTTCGGATCTAACAAGTTGTCTTATTTACATAACTTCAAAAGAACATTCGTGAAAAAGACACTAATTCGATTTCGAAACTTCATCTCCGAAGTCGAACGTCTGAGGAAACACACTTTCAAACACCTGTCATTAACAACCAGCTATAGTTGGATAAACAAATCTGCTAATGGATTAGGTTAACTCACTCGATTTTTGTAATGGGATATTGCCTCCACCGACCAATTTCCAATGCATAACAAAACAGGAATGACATTGTGGGCAGTGGCTTTCCCATTGCCCTAAAAATATTTACTGCTGCTTCCTTATCCATAGGGTTCCCCACCGCCCATCTTCTCGCCAATTGCTATCATAGCCAATTTTGTAAAGTCAAGCCATTATCAAGCAACACAATTTCCCCAATTATCTTTTACAAATGATCCACTTTACTTGGGATATACAATTTTAGTTTGATTAGCATAATTTAGAAGTACCGGCAGATGGGTAGGTCAGATATTGACGGGTATCTTGATATTCGTATTTGTTTGTGGAGTAAAATAGAAGGTAGGTTAATTAGCTCGATTGAGTTGGGGACGTCATTGAAGTAGCATGTATATTTAACGTAACAGGCGGTTTGAAAAGAAAATGACACGAATCAGATGCGCAAAGAACAAGGAAACTATTCATGGTCAGAAAATGATACGAATGTACGCCTCGAACTATCACTAGCTATAGCATTATCTAACATCCAATTAAGATTAACTTTTACTACATTGACGATCAACATTTTTTCTTATAAGGACGATGGGAAAGAAAATTGAACCAATACACCACATCAAAATAAGGTGGCAAAAAACCTTTATGAGATGGTACGTATGCATGGGCTTTAGGGTTCACTTTCATTTTCATACGTGCTGACTAAACCCTAGCTAATACACAAATTTCTCAATCCAAGTTTCAAAATGGATAATTCGTGGAGCTCAAGCCACCTAACCATATTCGAGATTAAGATATCTTTGATTTAATTTCAAAGAAAGTAATTAGGTCAAAATTATCTTTCCATGACTCATATCCTACAAAAATCATTAAAAGAGAGCCATTTATGACAACATTGTACACGGTACTAAAGTTAATTGGATTTGGTTGGGACCATATAATCATTTCGAAAGTGATGAAAATTGAGGGGAAAATTTCACATCAAAGCCTTTTTACTTCTTTTCTCTTTCAATCGAGTTTCAAGTTTATAGTGAGAGATTAGTCTCACCTAATTAACATTTGGAAATCGGAATACCTATTAAAATAGATGGTTTGATATTCAAGAAATTGTTCATTTTTATTGACATTGTCTTAACTTAGGAACCCCCTGACCCCTAATCCATCCACCGCCCAAAATTTATCCACACCTTCCTCGTTAATTACAACGTAGGTATTTCGGGTATTGCCCTAACAAGTACAGGTTTTGACTAAGTGTTCGTGTCGTCGAATTTTAAATCAAGAATGACATTCTGATTTCAATTTCTGTGACGTGTAACCTTCTACGCCTCTTCTGTCTTCTCCTTGTTGAAGCACCCATAAAAAAAACCAGATTTGTGAGTATTTTCCAAACGATTTTACTAATTGTTTCTTAATTATGTAAATAGAGCTTACCAACCAATGATTTGAACATTCATCCTTCATTAAATATCATCTTATCCATTTGATTATCCTTTCCATATTGAAATGCTATTACTATCCATAGAGATTTAAAATTACCCATAAGGATTTTCTCACTTTCACTCAATTAAAGTAATTCCTAATAGTACCTCTAATAAAAACCATCAAAGGATCGAATGAAAAAACCTTTCTATTCACAATGGTACGTCTATTGCCCAAATCACCTATTACTATATAGATTTTTCACATAGTTTATGGAGTTCGAAATCGCCAACGTCGGGATTCAGATTGAGTAGGAACGAAAAATGAAAATTTGCAGGATTTTGAACCTAGCTAAATCCTCAAGGAAAAGATTGTACCCCATCTTGTACTATATGTATCTCCACCATCCTCATTCGTATGCATCGATGTCTCCTGATACTGAACCAAAACATTTCTTCTAATGAAATTTTCATATCAAAAAATTCATAATCGAGTTGTCATCTACTCGAAACAACTATCTTGAATAATGGATTGGAGTGGTATATCCATCGGAAAGCAACCATTTCATCTACCCGAATAACAAACTAGGTAAAACTATAATAGATGGGGAAAACACAAAATTCAATTACCAAAACAAACCACGAAATTAAACAGCTAGCTTGTCTTATCACCAAAAGAGCAAAAAAGGAAAATTATTCACAACACAATCAAATTCTTCCTTCTCTAGCCCCCTCTATATAAACAAAATCCAAAATCCCCACAATGGGCACTCCATTTTCCATTATCCACTCTTCTCTTTGAGCAGCCATGGGAACTATAGCAGCATCGCCGACGTCGCTGGCTTCTCCGGCGAACCAGCCACCACCAAGTCCGTTGAGGAAAATCGCCGCCGTGGCCTCCATCGCCGCCGGCATCCAGTTCGGGTGGGCCCTCCAGCTGTCCCTCCTCACCCCATACGTCCAGCTCCTCGGCATCCCCCACAAATGGGCCGCAATCATCTGGCTGTGCGGCCCGATCTCGGGGATCGTGGTCCAACCGCTGGTCGGGTACTTCAGCGACCGCCGAACCGGCCGGTTCGGCCGACGGACCCCGTTCATCCTCGCCGGCACGGTCCTCGTCGTCGTCGCCGTCCTGCTCATCGGCTTCGCGGCCGACATCGGCCACCGGTACGGCGACCGGCTCGACCACGAGCAGCCGGGCCGGCCCAGGACCCGGGCCATCGCGGTCTTCGTGGTCGGGTTCTGGGTCCTGGACGTCTCCAACAACATGCTGCAGGGCCCCTGCCGGGCCCTGCTGGGCGACCTCTCGGGCGACAGCCAGCGGCTCACCCGGTTCGCCAACTCGCTCTTCTCCTGCTTCATGGGAGCGGGGAACGTCCTGGGCTACCTCGCGGGAGCCCAGGACGGCCTCCACAAGTTCCCACTCTTCCGCTTCACCGCGACCCCTGCCTGCGACGTCTACTGCGCGAACCTCAAGTCTTGCTTCTTCATCTCCGCCGCCCTCCTCATCCTCCTCACCGTCGTCGCCGTCGCGTACGTCCGCGAGCAGCCGTGGGACCCCGACACCGCGACCGACCAATCGGACGAGCTAAGTCCACCGACTAGGTGTGTCACTTTTTTTTTGATAATAATTATAAACATCGATAACAATTTATTATTATTATTTTCGTAACGAAACTTATTTGTGTCACGTGACAGAGCCAACAAGTCGTCGGGAAACAGCAGCGTGTTTACGGCGCTGCGAAATCTGGACCGTCCGATGTGGATGCTCCTCCTGGTGACGTGTCTCAACTGGATTGCGTGGTTCCCGTGGGTGCTATACGACACCGATTGGATGGGGACGGAAGTGTACGGCGGGAGCTCGCAGGGGAAACCGGATCGGGTCCGGCTCTACGACCGCGGGGTTCGGGCCGGTTCGTTGGGCCTGATGATCAATTCGATCGTCCTCCTCTTCGTCTCCCTCGCGATTGATCCTCTGGCGCGGAAATTGGGGGTGAAATTGCTGTGGGGGATTGTCAATTTCGTCCTAGGGATTTGCTTCGTGATGACGATCGTGATTACTAGAGTGGCGGAGAAAGAGCGGGAGAAGAGGAGCCACGGCGGCGGTGGTGCGGTGGTGGTGGAGCCGTCGGCGGGGATTAAGAGCGCGGCGTTGGCGGTGTTCGGAGTTTTGGGGCTGCCGCTGGCGGTGACGTACAGCATTCCGTTTGCGATGGCGTCGATCTACTCGCACGGATCTGGGGCCGGGCAGGGGCTTTCGCTGGGGGTGGTGAATCTGTCGATCTGTTTGCCGCAGATGGTGATCTCGCTGGGGAGCGGGCCGTTCGACGCGGCGTTCGGCGGTGGGAACTTGCCGGCGTTCATCGTCGGGACGGTGGCGGCTTTTGTCAGTGCGGTCGGCGCCGCTACTCTGCTGCCGAAGCCGAAGAATTCGTCGTGATAATTATTAATTAATTAATAATAAAAGTGTGCTTTTTTTAATTCGAGTGTATAATTTTCTCATTTTTTCTTCTTTGTATTATTGTGTTAGTTTGGAATCCCGGTTTTAGTGGGAAAGGACTCAAAGGAGTTGTGATAATGTGTTTTGTAATGTTTGGGGTTTTTTATTATCCTGCAATGTTAATTAGTGGACTCTTGCTTCCTTGAAGAGGCTAAATTAGTTGTATGATATTGGCATTGTGACGAGAATTCAGTCAGAATCGATTTAGAATCGACGTTGCGGTAAGTTAGAAATTGTGTTAAGCTAGAAATTGCCACTAACTATTAGATTTGTGGTTGAGAGTGCACTCATATGTCAATGAGTTGGTGAATCTAAATAATAAAACCACTTAAATTGACAAACGAGAACTTCAATAATTTTATGACACGTTTGAAAAAAAATTGATTCAACAATTGCACATTGCCTCTATTCTGAAGCGATAGATATAATAGTAATCTTAACTTGGTTTCAAAAAAAAAATATGGGCATAGACAACATATACAACAAGATAATCAATTCAATTCAAGAACTTCATTTAATAAATGGCGAAGCAATATCAATAAATTCTCAGGCCAAACAACGAACAACCTCTAATTTGAGTTCATCTAAGTTCGTACCAAACAAACAAGACTTATCTCAACTCATATCAAAGTATACAATACAAAATCAACACTCACTTGCCGGGAGAATAGCCATTGCACCACACAAACATTCGGCAAGCAATTGTCATCTCAATTTCGCACCGAAATTTAACAAGCAAACACACGATCTAAGTAAAATTCAAAACATTAAAATGTATGATCATTTCATCATGATAACGTATAACAACGACCGAAAAAGTCTTACCTTGACTCACCGACGACGAAAGTAACAAGACGCGTGCATTGACCTGAATCCCTAACACCACTAAAAATCGCCCATATCTACATATCCGAGAGTTAATCCAAACCCTAATCAATTTTTTTCCTTCCTAATTAATCAATCCGTCGTCAAAACCTCTTTTCTGCCGCTTAACCAACTTCATGTTCAAGAACACAAACCCTTCCGCTTTACACTCCCCACCGCAGGCCCTCACGAGCCCAAACCTCCCTCCCTTCTCCTCCCCCAACTTCGGCAGCCCCACCTTCGCCCTCCCGACGACGGCGCGACCGTGCGACGTTCCCGGGTCGGGACGACCCGACCCGCAATCCGGCCGGCCGACCCGCTCCACCTCCACGCTCAGCGTCCCGTCGTAATCCGACGACCCGATCTCCACGGGGATCTTACAGCTCTGCTTCCACGTCGGGCCAGTCCAGGTCCAGACCGTACTGGTCGAGAACCGGGACGCCGGGTCGACCCATATGTTGAGCCGGTACCTCCGCTGTTCGGCGCCGACGTCGCTGTGGTCGGCGAACCCGTCGATCTCCGCCGCCGAGCTGACCTCGACCAGGAGCGTGAATTCCCTGCCGTGGTCCACCACTCGCTTCCCCTGCGCCCGCTGGATTCCCCGGTACATTGGGTCGGGTCGGGTCGGGTCGCTACGCGTCTCTCTCTCTCTGGAGTTAAACTGTCGCGGTTTAATATATAGAGGCAGGAAGTAGAATAAAGAGTGAATTAGAGGAGAAGCTTTTTTTTTTTTTAAGGAAAGAATTAGATGAAAAGCTTAATTTTCTAATTAAGGTAGAACTCTAATTACGATTAGAAGAAGACTCCTCCTCCGCCTTCAACCATCGCCACCAACATCAATTCCAACACCACCGCGCCTACTCCGTCTCTCTTCTTCTTTCTTTTCAACTCCTACACCATCGGGGCTATGTAAAATTCGGTGTTGAACTTCTTTTAACAACTCGAGTTATTGATATTAAACGGTTAAAAAAAGAGCATTATTTAAAAGCTGATGATTAACTAAACAATGAATAGTTGTTTGGTACAAAGAGAGTGACCTTCTTGATTTTTTTTAGTACTCATGTATTTTAATTTTTCAAAAATTGTTATAAATATAAAATTTTATCATGGATGATTATGAAGTTAACAAAACTATTCATCATGTATATGTTTTCTAAGTAAACCCACTTTGAATGATAACCATTGCTGCCCCCTGCATGTACTCACGTGGGTTGTGAATAGTCACAACTCGGTTATCAACGTGAAACTATATCATGTTTGATGTTATATTATTTATCTTGTTTTATTCCGCTACGAATTTGAGCCTTGGATGAGGTCCATACTAGACTGACTATCTCGACGGGACGTTTTTTTTCTTCTTCTAGGAGTCAGAGGTGGTCAAATGCTTTGGACGGTCACTCACTGCTCTCCAAACCTCAAGCATATTGAAACATGTTATAAATTTGACATCAACACAATAAGAATATAATTGCATCTAAAATCTAGATTGAATGTGATATTACGACTGATTTTCTTGCTAGCAAGGATCACATTTTCATTTTTAGTACACACACTCATTGCATGTGTGAAGCAATGAACACCATATGGACTACCAAAACCCAGCTCATTTGAAGACAAACTTGGAAGTTGTAACTAAAACACAAGAGTGGATGGAGACGATTCATAATATTCACAGTTCATTGGTTTTTTTTATACACAAAAGGGCTTGTCTGTAGAAGGTGACTTTATATACAAAAGAACAGAGCCAAACATCATAATAAAAGAACCTTAGAATTGGTCAGCTGTACAAAGAACAAGGTCACAGACCCTAGTTCATTTTCTTCCTCTCTTTTTTTTTTTTGGCGTCCTTTTCTCATAACTTTCATTAATATACACTTTTTCTTCCATCATGTCATGTCTTCCTGAAGAGTAAACTCAGGGCGGATCGATCATGGAGAATGAATGGTGGTATCAGGTAACATGGCTATCGTCACTACGAAGTATTCACAGCCAATCGGGAGGTTATACGGGTTCATCATCGATCCCAAGTTGTTCAAAGTCAATCTCCGGTCAGCAGCAGCCTCCAAGACGTCGGAGGAGCTTCCCTGATCTGCTGCTGCTGCTGCTGCCCCAGGCAGTTGCTTCACGGTTTGACACTCGATGTGCACGATCTTTCCAACTATGAAGCTCGGTGGGGTTGGAAGATGGTCGGTAAACAGGGCCACCGATTCTGCAGATAAGTAGTAGTTAGAGCAGCTGCGGCTAATCGCCACGTAGTGTCGATCAGCGTTGAGCACGAATGCAGCAATCTCATGGACTACCAATCGGGAGAACGAGATCCTCTCTTTGTTCGCCTGCATAAATTGAAGGGCGGGCGATTGGCATGTCATCACAAGGCATATGGCTAAACAAGAGGATTAGAAAGGGATAATTGATAGAAGATTTACCTGCTTCTCGAGTTGGTGCTTTTTGTATAGAGTGGTGCAGAGCTCTTTCTTCTCCTCCAGGTCCTTCAACAGCTGTTCGTTGGCAGCTTCTAGCTTCGGGCACTTGTCGAGCAGCTCATCTCGGTGCCTTGACAAGAAAGTAACTTTTTCCGCAAGAACCCTAATGCATTTCCTGAACTCCCCAGTTCCATCATCTTCATTTTCAGTAATTGAACTGACACAAGAAAGGAACACACATGAAGATGTAAGTCAGCAACATTACTGTGGACAGAAGCTAACAAATTAAAAAGCTTCAGTGAGAGTGATCTTACTTGGCCAGAGATTGAGCTAAAGAACGCAAAGAGTCTGCAAAAGTAGTAACTCCACCAGGAGCGCAAATGCAGCTCCTCAGTCTTTCAAAGAGACCGCGCATTTTCACAGCAGATGCACGTAGAGCACTATATTCTGAAGCCCTCCTATCAGCGGCACAGAGGTGAGTTTGAGCCTCTTCTCTTGCCTCGTGCAGACAATTCTCCAGGTGAGCACAATTCATCTGTCAACATGACACAAAGAACAGAAAATTTCTTAGATAGCCCACTTTGGAAAGAGTAAAATTACTAGAGCCTAGTAATAGCGAAGTTCGTTATTTATTTGAATCAGAAGGGAATAAGAAACGTAGTTTCAATAGTAAGCACCTGAGATTCGTTCAGAAGTTTTCGACTTGTTTCCAGCTCCTTGGTGAGCATGGCAACCTCCCCCATCACAGCTCTGAGTTTAGCCTCGGTTTCACTCAACTGGTTTGATTTCTCTGCAAGTTCATTCTGCAACTCCAGAAGATCCCCGGCAGTAATCTTAGGCTCGATGACTGCATCAGAAGGCAGATTGGGTGAAGGCTCGGGCATGCTCTCAGCCGTGCAACTATTTGTTATTGACATCCCTAGTTGCCCTGCCACCATCTTGTCTTTCCCATCTTTGTCGCTAGCCTGCAGCTCTTCTCTATGTGGTTCAGGCATTGAAGAATCTAACTGGGTGTTCAGGATTCCTGAGGAATCCATCATATGTTCATCATCGACCAACCCTTCCCTACCTTTGCTACTATGCTGCCTAGTGAAACGCCCCAACTTCGCATCCAGAGAGCTAGATATACAAGAGACGTCATCCATGGATTCTGAAGTAGATGATGAGTAAGGCAAGTGGGTTTCTCCATGGATTGAGATCTCAGGTTTACTGTCATGGGCAGCAGTTGCAGCTGAAAGTGCAGAATCAGATGATACATCTTTATTATTGACCTGTTTCTGTTCCTGCATGTATTGATCGGACAATCTCTGCTCAAGTTCCTGAATCCGCTTCTCATATGACATGCACTGCAATTGCTTCTCCTTGAGCATAGACTGGAGATGCTTTCCATATTCATCTTTCAGTTGCAAAGCCTCGGTTGTCTTCTCTGCTGCATTTTTCAATAGGCTTCCCATTTTGCTATCATCAAGAGACTCGAATTCCAATTCGGGCAAGAAAGAACAGATGAGGGCTATCTTCGAAGCAAGTTCAGCTCTCAGCTTTGCGTTTTCGACTTCCACTTTGCTTGTCCCGGCAATCTCCACTAAATCACAACTCTCAAGCAGCTCCTCAGAATCATCTTTCTCAAGATTATCCACATAAATATCCTCCGTCTCAGCAGAATGAGAGCTATCATTGGAAGTGGAAAATGAGCCTTTTAGACTTCCCTGTCTCTCGCCCTTAAAAGGCAGTCCAGCCAAATACTCAGGGGCATAGCGGTCCAGGTCATGGAAATCAACATCAAGCAAATTAGTGTCAAAAGGAGCAACGTTGACATCACACTGACTAGGAGTATCGTACAACCCCATGGATGCTAAGATATCCCTTGGTATGTACACACCATGCAATTTCAAAAACTCCTCTCGCCTCCTGACCTCAGCTTCCCTCTTAGTTGCAAGCCTCTCTGCCAGCTGTCCAGCCATGCCCATGTAGAGCTTCATTGAGGCCTTTCTTCTCACTATCTCAGCGAAGCACGCTCTGTAAGCCGGGCCAATCCCCCGAACGAGCTTCAGGTCAGTGAAGAGATCGTCCTGGCGTAGCATTGCCTCTCTGAATACAGGGAATTGTAGCTTTGCATCTTTGATTATGTAGGACACATAGGTTATCTTCTGCATGTAGTCATGAACGAAGATGTTCATCTCGTTCTTCTTTTCCTTGCAGAAGTCGAGGAGTTTGCAGATAGAACGGCCGCAAGTTTCCATCTTGGGAAGGTGGTTCTTGTCGTGGACATCGTACATACGACCCAAGGCAGAGACTGTATCATGAGGACGGAGGGAGGAAGACAATTGGCTGGATAAACAGTCATCGACATGTTTCTTTACCGTGTTTACATCTTTGCTGCATTAATAAAAGTGCCCAATCATTGATACCAGAAACTAACAAATTAGGCCAAAACTCCCCTAGTTAGTACCAGAAGTTTGTGAATCCATACTCATGACAGTCAACAACAATCCATGTCAGAAATGGCCATTTCTATACTACAAGCTCGTGAAACCACACAAATGAAAAATCCATGCTAGCCATCAATAATCTATTCGAGACTTAGATGGATGAAAATTACTACTGCACCAACTTTGAACATACAGTTCGTAAATTGCGTCCCCAACTATTCTGAGGCAAAAGGTATCTAGCACCGTTCAAATTTAACAGCAAAACTAGACCTAGCATGTCATAAAATCATAAGATATAGATGGAAACTGAAGCAGACTTTAGTAAGTCCATGCTCATTCCGCATTGTGATTGGGGGGAAAAAAAAGAACTAGAAATTCACCAACTTCACAAGCTTTGCACAAATATCAACAGTGAGATGTTTAGTTGATGAAACTAATGATGATCCCAGCTCATAATAAGCATAACTCAAAGGCCATCAATGACGAAATAAGAAACGTTCATTCCTAGAAATAGTAAGAGACATTCGAGATAACCGGAGCCTAACTATAAACAGCAAGCTGCATATTGCGGAGAAGCATGGTCTACCAGTGGAGATATTTGAGAAGTTTTTAAAATAAGATAGGGCATACTCATATATAATCATGAGAACATGGTATATAGACAAAATTATCAGGATAGAAGGCAACACACCTCAAAGACTGCATGATACTCTTCTGTTCACTGATGAATCGCTGGTGCTCTTTAATAGTTAGCTCCAAGTTCTTAATCGGTACAGAAGCTCGCCATGCAAACAATTCCTCTACCTTGCGCTTCACTTCACCAAACATCTGCTTAAACTCCAAAACCTTCTTCTCGAATTGCTTATGAGAGTTGCTGCAACTCTCCAAAGCCTTTCTCAAGTTCTCTTCTTTCACAAAATCTATCAAACACTTCCTACCAACCCCCTGCAAAGCTGGATGAAGCCTGATAGACCTCAGCTTCTCTAAATCCCTACCGAAATTCACTAGGAGCTCAGAATGAATCCTATGCTGCTGATTATACCGCTTCATGAACTCGGTATAATTCTGATTGATCACCTTATAGTACTGATCCAAATTACCCCTCCCAACCTCCACCGCCCTCTCCTGCACCTTCTGCTCCCTCAATAACCTCTCGCAAGTTTCAAACTTCACCTGAGTTCTACTATAGATCGCATGACCCCTATGGAAATGATACCGAAACTGCCTCTCGTACGAAGGCAACGCCTTCAACGCAGGGTCTGTGGCATCATCCAAAGGATGAGGCTCGTGGCTAGAAGCTGGAGGTGGAGGATCAGCTACTTCGACAACATTCACTTCCTCTGGAGGTGGTGGTGGGGAATTGTTCTGAAGCCTAGCTTTGTTAAATATAAACACTTCTCGATCCATAGCTGGAAGCTTGTAACTAGAGAGCGCGCGTTGAGGTTCTAGTTTCATATCCAAACACAGAACAAGCTGATCATTCAAGTTGATCCCCGAATAAGATTCAACATACCGCATAACTGCTTCAACTGGGGTGGTGTCATCGCAATCCAGCTCAAATGAATGGCCGTTCTCTGCTATGTGGACTAGCAGCTTCCCCTGCTGAACCAAAGCTTCTGTGATACTTGAACTCATCTTCTCCTCCTGAATTTCTCACACCCAAATCAAGCTTCAATCCTCTGAAATCAACCGAATAGAACAGAAACCCAGTAGACCTCAAATCGACAAAGGCACAATTGTCATCGACAACCCATGAGATTCAGCAAGACTCGAGCTCGATTAGAAGCCCAACCGTCCACCAGAGAATTTACCCGGAAGAGAAAAATGACGACTTTACAGTTTACACAGAATCAGCGGCGAAGCCAAGTGGAAAAGGGTCGAAGGAGAGACAACCGAACCCAACCACCAGAGGCGAAAACAAACAAAATCCACATCTAGAAGGAGAACCCTAGTTGCCTGCCCTCTTCCAAAACCCGCCGAATTTGGCCAAATCCGAACTGACCCATTTCAAATTAGCTTATCAAAAGAAAATCCCAGTTCAGGCCCCGACCCAATATCGAAATCGAACTCCGGAACGTCAACAGTCAGACATCAAATAGTTATAATTGGGGGGAAGGAAAGAAAAGAAAAGAAAAGAAGGGAGCTCGTTAGTTTGATTGAGCAAGAAGCTTGCGGAGTAATAATGAACTACAAAAGCAATCGAAAAGCGATTACGTGAAGAGAGAGACCGACGAGGAATTAGAAGGACTCGTCTTCTCTATAAAGGGTTCTCTTCACGGAACCTCATTGATTGAGAAATTCTCCTTCTTTTAGGAAATAAAAAACGAATTTGAAAAAAAAAATGTTTTGGGGTTAAGCCTAAATGCTGCAATCGAAATCTCTGAAGCGTCGGGCAGCTGATTTAAGTTGATAAAGAAAAGAAATCCTCCTTCCCCAACCCCAGAACAGAAAAATATTCACAGAGAACCTTCCGCCATAAGCAACCACCAGCAGGCTAGCAAAATGCCAAGAACACAAACAGAGCTTTCTCTCTCCTTCCTTCCTTCCTTCCTTCCTCCCTCCCTCTCTCACTCTCTCTCTCTGAATCGAGTTTGGGGAAGAACTGACGAAAGCAGACAGATTTTATAGTGGCGAGATAAATTACAGATATTTATTTGTTTTTTCACTGTGATTGAACTTTGTTTGATCTGATCAATTATCCGTTAGTGTGTGATGATACTTCATAGTTCATACTTGTCATTTTGGACACCTCATGTTTGGCAAAATAGCATTTTGATCATTGTAAGTGTTTTTTTAACTCTTTTCGTGTAACAATGTAGTCAAAATTTATCGGTTGTTTGACAATATCTTTTTTACAAATCGAGATACGATCGTCTCTTATTATTAAACTCGATTACTTTTGTTTGTCATGAAAGCATCAACAGAACCATATCAGGTCTAATAATGAAGATTAAGATAATCTAACACAAAAAATTGATGAAACCATATAACAAACGAGTTATGATTTGCTTGTGATATAACAAACGAGTCATGAGGAAAGAACAATTTTAGAATGATGGATCCAAGATGGAGGTGATCGAAATAGTGCGCCCTAATCAACAATGACATGTTGTAAACTGATTTCATACATTTTGAAGAAGTATTACACAATGCTTATCTACCCAGTCTGGGTTGAGAAACAAACCATAAGTGGCCATTACTAGTGAGATTGGACCAATTTGGAGTCGACAAACATTTACAATCAATTTACATGTGCATCAAATCTATTTATTAAGAAAATTATTACTAATCTGATTATCTGAAGAAGTTCATGTTAAGTCCGGTAAGTACGAAATGAAGGGAGTACTGGCTCAACTATTTTTCATTTCACCCGTCCCATGCTTTGCCAAATAACACTTTTAACCCTTTTGTCATTCCATTTCCATTCATTAATATTTAAAAGTTGATAGTGATTTGAGATTCAAAGACTATTTTTTAGTTGTAGTTACCTACTTATTTAAGAGAAGTACATATCTCTTGAATGAAACAAACTAATTTCTGACTACAAGAGATTGTTTGAGTTATCGTAGTATGAGAATTTAAATTTAGAATCGTGGTTTTAGCATTTGTAATGTGTTACCCTTTTCCTCCATCCTCATTTCTCATTGAGGTTAGTGATGGCAACGAGGTGGAGCAGATCCCTCGACTTCCATATCTGACTGCACTAAGGGAAGGTTAGGAGATAGGAAGGGTATACCCCCAACGAGCACAAGGCAAGACATGTCTACTAATTCATACATATTATTTGAAGAAAATAAAAAAAATTAACTATTTTACGAGAAAAACAAAGAGAAATACCTCGTAAATTAAAAGAGGGATAAAATGGATTGAATTATTTAGTATAGTAAGTTGAAAGAATAGCAGATGTGACAATATGATTTAAGAAGAAAAAAAAAAGAGAAATACAACAATATGTCAAGACAAATAAAGATAAAACACAATTCGACGAGGCTTGCCAAAATAGAAATAGCACACAAATCTCGACCCATGCCACTATAGATAAGATGATAATGCTCACCCTAAAAAGGTATAGAACAAATCAAATTGCGCTAGTCGAGTCAATAATTGCAATCACTAGTTGAGTAAAAAAACTAAGTTGTTTGATATAACAATGGACTCAAATTTTGAGGGATGACCACAAAAAGAAAATTCTAGCAACTCTTATAGTCTTCTTAATGTGAAACTTTGTCACTATTTAAGATAAGGATGGAGCTTGAAAGCATTTAAAACAAGAATCCTTCGTGCATAAACAAAATATGAAGAACTAAGTTGTTTAAAGTAGGTACTAACATGTGGACCAGTTAAAGTTGACCAAGGAATTAAGCAATGCTATTAGTATGACACTTGGCATATATGTCAATTGAGCATAATCGCATATGTATCATGTGCCACTAACAAAGCAAAATATATGGTTTTGTAGTAGTAAAGGTCTAGTGATCTTTAACTCTTGTACTATTTCTTTCATTAATTACCTTATGGTGTCCCTATTTAAAGTCTAGACCAAATGTGTTATTTGTGTCACATATTTATCATTATCAGGGTTTGTGAATGGGTAGTCGAATTCGTCATCACTGAGATGTTACATGAAGAATACACTAGAACACTCACGTTTCTGTAACATGGATGATCATGTTTCTTAGCCCTTAAATCTAATATATAACGGATATCTTTCATCTTATTGCTAGACAATTTAGTCCTTTATGTAGGATGAGTATATGATATATTGAAAGTATCAATTAAAAAATAGGTAGGTTTGTAGATATCGATTTAGAATTTTGATTACCAATACAAAATGGCCTAACAAATACACAACACATATGTAGAAGCCTAACTCTATGCTGTTTTTATGGTGCGAAGTTGATTTGGATTTTATGAATTGACAATATGGTTACAGTTCAAATGACAGTAAGACGAGAAAGCTCGCACCAATTTATCATACTAAAGTATGTCTTCAACCTCTAGAATCTTAGCTATAAAGACTTGTCTCAATCGTGTCTGATGAGATCCCTTACAAAGTGCAAATACTCTTTCCATGATCCCTAGATGGCTCGAACCTCATAGCTCAGAGAGTACAAACCCCACCTTCAACCAAACTTTTGTGCAAGAGCAAAAACTAAAAGAATGACATATCATTACGCCATTATCATCTGATATCGAAAATGAAGAAAGACATGCCATCTAACATAAAAGCTCTCTCGATGTCCCTTGAAGGAATGAAGAAGTAAAGTATTAGTAGTTATTTAGTTGTAGTTTTATCGTTTTTCTTTAGTTCTTCGTAGTTGATTTCTTTCCGAATTCGAGATGTTCGATGTGTGAAACCGATCACGCATCACGAACCTAATTTCTAAAATATATGCCATAATAGATCCAAACACTTGCCTTCCATTTTCCTAATAGTAACCCAACAACAATAACACTTAACATAACAAAGGGTCACACAATTGGAAGGAAATTAGGTTTGGATTGGCCTCCAACCTATAGTAGTCCAAAATGCCAACCCGAAATCCAAACAAAATTGAGAAGAAACAAAACGCCTACATTGAACGATCAAAGGGTGGCATTCAACAGAAATTGGGTAGACCATAAAGAAGAAACCAAAAAGTCTGCAAATAATAATTGGCTAAGGGTAATAATACTACTCATAATACTTAATAAATTGGAGCCTTTGTGAAACGAACAAAGACAACCAATTAATTTCACTAAAAACACATCATTCTTACTCCAACGACTGGTCCCAATTAGCTTAATCAATCCGCCGGCTTCTTCATCGTCATCATCATCGTCTAATCTTCTTCTTCTTCTTCTTCTTCTTCTTCTTCTTCTTCTTCTTCTTCTTCTTCTTCTTCTTCTTCTTCTCCTCTAGGTGTTGTAATTAGTGCTTGATGATCCATATGGGTAATGAAGAACTCAACATCAAATGATTATGGGGGCTAATTTGGGATGGGGGAGTAGTGGTGTGTTGAAATTGGGGTTTCTTGGGGAAAGGGAGCTCGCATTCATCGTCGACACTGATCAGTATCCTACTCTCTTACATACTTTTAGCAAAAAGTTGTATGAGATATACTTCTAAGAACCCTACATCTAGCCACTAAAAGTTTCAAAAGTACATGGAAAATCAAAAGAGAGAAGCACCTAAGCCTTCATACTCTCGGATTTGAAGCGAGATCGAAACTCAGTTTGTGAGAAAACTTGAAAAGTAAACAAAGCATAACATGCACTAGATCATAAGAAGCGATTTCTCATTTCTCTCCATCTTCAAGAGGCAAAACAATTGCCTCGTGAAGATGGAAAGAAATGAGACTCAAAACCGATAAGGAGAAGAAGATAAAGAGAACAAAAGAAGAACAAAGAACATAGGAGGAAGGAAGAGAGAGCAAAGGGAATGAAGGTGAACATGATGAAGAATCATATATAATCTCCTTTGAAATAATCAAATTAAACTTTTTAATTAATCTAATGATTAAGGGGAAAGAGTAGGCCATTAATAATAAACAAATCATGAATCGAGCCATTAGTTAAGTTAAGAGGTTGTTTGGCATTGAGCATAAATTATTTTTTATTTTCCCCTCTTCGATCTACAAAAAATTATTTATTTGTTTGACAAAAAACTTAATTTGTGTATTTTTTATATAAAATTATTGGTACGTGAAAAAAACATAGGGAATAACGGGGCGGGCTTAATCCAAGCCCATGTCGTGATGCGCAGACAGCCCACAGGGACAAAGTTTTTTTTTTCCTTCTTTTTCCTTCTTGCTTTAATTTTTTTCTTTTTTCTTTTTTCCCTTCATATTCTCTTGGAAAAACAGGACAAATTTTCTTGTAATTGAGGATTAATTGTTTTATGAATTCCTATGATGATTTCTATTCGATGGAAAAGAAAAACAACAGAGGGTAACTGACAAAAAAATATAATATAGTATATATTCCTCCTTTCTTTATACATAAATACATGTATATCTACGTTTCTTATAGTGTGAACAAAAATAATGTGGATGGACATATAGACGGTTGATTCTCGAATACGGTTCATCTAAATACATATTATTTATACATGGTTAAACATATGATATTTGAACTTGTATAAATTTCAAGTCCATCAATTAGTTTTCGTTTAAGAGACGTGTACAACTCGAAGGAGTGCGGAGCGCGAAAAAAACATACCTAATGACTGATTTTAATTTTGTTGATAACTGATTCTAAAAGATTTGATAATTAGAGGGTCTCGATCGTGTTCGAATTCGCACCACCTTCAATATCAACAAGTTGAGCACAAATAGTTTTGCCGACCTATGCAAACTTCGAGCAATGGGTTGGCTTTTGTCTAAAGGCAGACATGTATATCACTGACATAATGAAGATCCATATTTGAACTAATTCCAATATGTCAAGTTAACGAGACCAATTGATTCTCGACAAATTTCCCCCCTGTGGAGTATGAAACGTGAAAGAGATAGAATTCATGGTTCATGGTTCACCATGGTTTACTTCCACTCCATGCGACTCACCTGTAGAGCGTAATAGGTGTCAATGTCCATCATCCTGGCCTAACTCGGCTATGACGCTCACATTTCGAAATATAAGAACATGTTCGCAACTCGCAAGGATAAATGATCACCAGATTGCACATTGGCCGCTCCGCGATTGTTGGATGGATGTGACAACAATTTTGTAAAATTAGAAGCCACCGTATTTATCAAACGATCACAAAGTGCACAATACGCGATTCAATGGCTGAACACCCTTTAGAATACGATTCTCACATATGCCCCGTGATGACCATAAGCCGATTGATCATGGTCGGTGTAGAAAACATGCTCTTCTTCGATCCCTCCTACGACATAAGTGACACAAATCGAAAATCGTGAAACTATACTGAATATTAAACCAACGAGACTAACGATTCAAGACCTAACAAAAGTCGTTCTTCTGTTTGTACCACTACTGACACATAATTTAGCTGATACAGTCGGCTGATCGGATACAAAGAGTATCACATATACGTGGATGGGAATGAAAATGATGATATATATTTGCCGACCAAACCCTCTGTATCCTCGAAACCCTTCTTTTAATGTTTTAGGTTTGTCGTTTGAGAACAGCGATGGCTGGACAAAATGGTGACCTGCCACTTCCTCTTTTGGATGATTGAGAAGCCATAATCAAACAGAAGAACCTCTCATAAGAGTGTGCTCTGTTTCTGCTATAAAAATAACAGAGACGATGATCACCTCTGGTTCTGGAGGAGTAGTAGTATTTAAGTTAAGTAGTTCCCTTCCTTCATGATTTTGATCTGATTGCTTTACTAAATCTGATCTTCTGTTATAAGGCAACCCAAATTATCAGAGGTTTGCATGGTGTTAATAGTTTGTTATAAGCTAGCTCTAGCTCCCCCTTCAATTGCTAGCTAAGCTAATCAAGTGATCCATTTGGTGGGTGTCTTGCAGCTAAGCTAAATTAGTCTTTTAAGGATTTGTATGAATATTAATTTGATATTGAAAAGGTTGTAACAACTTCCTATGATCAGTTGTGTTTTGGATGATTAGTTTGGTCACACAAATTGTCTTTTGTTATGAGTGTCAGTCACATAAATGGTCCCTGGACTTTGTGGCAACTAAAAGAACATCCACAAGATTTTGAACTACAACAAATTTTTACAAAAACTTTAGAATGAATAGCAAAATAACCTCTCGTTAACTCCAAATTTAATCATAAAAGACTTTAAAACACTAAAAAAAGCTATAATATCGATACCCGTTTTATCCAAAATTTTATCCGGGTGAATCCGATTCAGATTACTCAACATCACACTAACTCCCTTCCTTCTCCTACTATATCCCAAATTACAGGAATAGTACAACTTTTTTCCATTATCAATTGATTTAGTGAACACATCCGTTAAAAATAGATGTTGAAGGACCAATTTGACAGTATCTCAAAAGTGTAGTGGTCATTTAAGTAATTGTTTTCTGTGTAATGTACATTCCCAGGTTTCGGAACACATGAGGAATCGAGGATTGCTTCTTAAAGGCTCAAAGACAAAGACGTCATCTTTAAGGCGAGGAAACAAGTTGGCTCCTTTTTGAGTGGTGGATTGATGGGGTTTTGATCTTTTCGAGAGTTCTTTCCTTTCCCCCCTTTTTGTTTAAACTTTAATGCAATTCTCTGCAAAGAACCGTCTTTTTATATAGCATCCCTCCCAGTGTTGAGTGGCCATTCAGTCTTCTCCTCAACCGAAGGGAAACCCTTTCATTTCCAGAAAACATGGCTAAAATCAGTTGGGCAATTGGCTGGCTCAAAATCTACTTCATTGCCGTTTCCCTTTATGGTTCTGCTGCTGCAAAATTGAGAGACTCAGCTGCCCAGCAGCAGCTGGACAAGGTTTTGGAGCTACCAGGTCAGAACTTCGAAGTTAGCTTCGCCCAATATTCTGGGTATTTGACAGTGAATGAGAAGGCTGGGAGGGCTTTGTTCTACTGGTTCTTTGAAGCTGTTGAGGATCCTGGGTCCAAGCCTCTTATACTTTGGCTCAATGGAGGTCAATCAAGCTTCTAAACGTTCCCATTTTAATTATTTTTTAATTTTTATGTTAGTGAGACGATTCATTGTGTTCTAGCTGATGGGTTTTGATTTCTGAATCAGAAAGACTGTTTCTTTTTTTGTTTGTTTATAGGACCTGGGTGTTCCTCCATTGCTTATGGTTTGGCTGAAGAGATTGGCCCATTTCATGTGAAGCCAGATGGTGCCTCCCTTTATCTAAACCCATTCTCCTGGAATCAAGGTAATTAATGTTAATTTCTGGCTATGGCTCTTCCGAGACAGGACATTGGTGGCCTTGTGTGGGGTATCTATGTCCTTTGTGGTCCTTTCCAGTATCTTTATTCCCCAAGTTTTATCATTTTGGTTTACATTTGGGCTGGAATTGGTGGCTCCCTCGACCAATTATTGATCATGTGATTGTCTATCTAACATTCTCATCATATTCCCTTGCAGTTGCCAACATTCTGTTCGTTGATTCTCCAGCTGGAGTGGGGTTTTCATATTCTAACACATCCTCAGATATGGTGACAAGTGGAGATAAAAGGACTGGTACTTGTTTTCAAACCTCTGCTGCCTAAGTGGTTCTGCTGCAAACCATAAGAAATTTGTGATTGTTAAACTATACGATCCTTCCATTTTGGCAGCTGAGGACTCTCTAGAATTTCTGATCAACTGGTTTGAGCGCTTCCCACAGTATAAAGGAAGGGACTTTTACATTACTGGAGAGAGCTATGCAGGTGGACCAACTCTATGTACCTCTCCCTAATGTTTAACTCTACATTTTACTAGCAGAAGTCTGTGGTTGTAACTTGTTAGAATGTGGTGATCCAGGGCATTATGTTCCTCAGCTAAGCCAAGCTGTTGTGTTGCATAACAAAGCAACTAACTCCCAGACACTTAACCTTAAAGGCTTTATGGTATGGACTAATTACCCCTTTTAATGAATGCCACATGCTCTTTCTGATCATGAGCCACTTCTAGTGACGATCAATCTTGGATTGCGTGATGCAGGTGGGAAATGCTTTGACAGATGATTACCACGACCATTTGGGGGTCTTCCAGTTCTTGTGGTCAGCTGGAATGATCTCTGATCAAACCTACAAGCAACTCAATGATGCTTGTGATTCTGTTTCCTTCATCCACCCTTCAAAGGCTTGCATTCGGTATCTTGAGATCGCAGATCAAGAAGTCGGACGCATTGATCCTTACAGTGCGTTCACCCCTCCCTGCACTCCCAATATCAGCCAGTCCACCCAGCTGCTGAAGAGAAGGCGTGTAAGTGCACATGGCTCTTTATCTGTTGGAAAAAACCATACATAATTTTTCCTTCCTACTATGTTGTTGATAGTAAATAGAGAAAAGTGAACTTATTGTTTGAATGTCGATAGGTAATCGGCACTGTTAGAGAGAAGTATGATCCTTGCACAGAGAAGCACTCTACAGCTTATTTCAACCGGCCAGAGGTTCAGGAGGCTCTCCATGTTCCAGCTGAACTTGCACCATCAAAATGGACGACTTGCAAGTATGCTCCATAGCCTAAGGACTTAGAAACCCAATTGTGCTTAAAGCCTAAAAGGACAGTCAGTAATTTGATCATGTTCTTATTCTTTTCTTGCAGTGACGTGATAAATGAGCATTGGAACGATTCTCCCAGCTCAGTGCTTGATGTCTATAAGGAACTCATCGCTGCAGGGCTTCGCATATGGGTTTATAGGTACTTCAAGATCTTGTTTGTTTTGTCGATTCCTGTTTTTTGAGATTGACTATGGTCCTAGAGGTGTCGTCAAATGGGCAACTTGGGACGAGTTTGGGTTGCAGGTCAATTGAGTCATGCTAATGGTCTCTTGCTTCCCAAAAGCATAAACCTTTCATCATCTTAACCTTCATTCTTCCATTGTCATGTAAACAGTGGCGACACTGATACAGTCATCCCAGTCACATCCACTCGGTACTCAATCGATGCTCTTAAGCTTCCAACGGTGAAGCCTTGGCGCGCTTGGTACGATGATGGAGAGGTAAAAACGCATTCCACGCCTTCGAAGTATCTGTTACTTCCCCCCCAATCTTCTCCACACACCATTTGGCTGATGAATGAAACCCCTGTGCCTGCAGGTTGGAGGATGGACTCAAGAATATGATGGACTTACCTTCGTTGCTGTTCGTGGAGCTGGCCATGAAGTTCCCCTGCACAAACCGAAACTAGCCCTCACATTGGCCAAGTCTTTCTTAGCTGGATCGTCGATGCCAGCTGCTGCGCTCGAACTGGTCAGTGATTCTTGAAGTCTCAGAAATTATTCATAGGGAAATGGAAGAACAAATTTGTTTCCCCACTACTTCATTCCTAAAGCCACAGGGATTTAGACACTAGCTAGAGAGGATGCTATTTACTCACGAATTGTACTTGAACTAGAAATAAGAAGTTCAACCGAACTTCTCCTTACTTTTACACTAGATCAAATCGAACTGCATCAACGTTTAACGTCTATATCAAATCGGACAAGATCGTTCCTCTTATAACAATGAAAAAAGGATTGAAGTATGCTGCTGCTACAATAAGCAAAGCTATTGAAGAGGTAAAATACTACAATCTATAGGGGGAATACTCAACCCTGAATTTACCGAACTTCCTGTCAAACAAGCGCCGCAAGAGATAGAATTGGAGGCAACTGGATCCAACAAGTACAACTGATTCAAACATCGCCTTATGTGTTGCTCTTCGGTTCAAGTCGTTGTTTACTGCTAACATTGAACAACACAGCACATTCGAGTTATTAGAATGAACATGGTAAATTGGTAATAATCGAAGACTTTAACGATCACAAAATGTTGCGTTTAAATCATGAAAGTCAGACTGTAAACAGTTTGGATTGAGCTTAATGCACAACAATAGGCTTGTACAGATGATCATCATGTGTAAGAAAAATGGACAACTACTTATCATTTTTCCTTTCTTTCAACAATTTGTGCGCAAGAGACTTTTTTGTGTGAAAAAAGATTATTGATATGAACATAATTCCAACAAATTGACTCCATCAAGTTAATCTTGTAAGTAGGTACAAGGATTTTCTTTGCTAAATTACCTCTTGATTGGCGTTCAGTTTCAGCCTCGAGCCAGTGTTGTTCGAACTGGATATTGTAGAGTGTCTCCTCCAACTTCGTCATCTCCTCCATCAACGGCCAGAAATGCTCTGAAACACGACAATCAACAGTGTAGAATACATGAATTTCAAGAAGTACGATACGAATATTAGTCAAGACTTATAGCTAGCTAGTTGGTTGGTACCATTTCTGGCATGTTCGTCGTGGAAAGTATAGTGGGAGACATGAACGTCGAAATCGATGGTCTCATGGTACGGAGACTTATTAGTGAAACAGAAGCGGTAAATCCCTGTGTAGTAAACCACAAATTCGTACTTCTCACTTATCTTGTCTTTCATTTCGTGGACGAGTATCCCATGTGGTGCTGTTATCTAATTAATTCTCACAAAAAAAATCCGTCACTAATGATTAAATAACACGAGCGAGTTTGAAGTATATGATAAACAATACAATACATATCAGATCAGTAAATTATAGAGAGAGGAGATCAAGGTTCAACAAAAGGGTTTTTTTTTTTGGAGTCGGTAATCTTACGTTGAAATCAACACCATCCTGAGTGTAATCCCATACGGCATCAGATTTAATGACGACGAACGAGACATGGAACGTATCTGCCTGATCGACGTTATGAGCGAAGCATTCTTCTCTATCGATCACGAACCTTAATCCGTTAGCTGTCTTCGATCTCCATAGTAAAACTATTGTGATTACTATGGCGAAGGTGGTGAAATGTTTGAATGTTGATGCCCATCGAATCGCACTCATTGGATCTGTTACTCTCACGAATGATGCGAATCAGAGGAAATTGAAACTAGGAGAGTTTGTCGATTCTTTTTTCCAGATCAGGAGTGATTAAAGATAGTAACTATTTTCCTATTTTCTTACAGATTATCTTAAATGAAACTGATTAATATAATTTGAATAAAGTAATGTGATTATAAATTTGATTTAACACTTCTTTTTGGTGGAAATTAAACACTTTTTTCTTGTTGGTGCTTATGATTAATTAGTTAATTAAACACCATTAGCCCTTGCTTTAAGGCAACTATAGCGCTAATCGCGTCAATCCTAAAACGGGCTCGAGGTGGCCCGTTTCTTAGGTCCCAGGCTCTAGGCCCAAACCTCATATTGGGCTCCGTGATCTTAGGTCCACTCAGCTTGTTTTGGAGAGCCCGGGTAAATCTCTCCGTCGCGCCACGGTTGCCGTCTCCTTCACCTTAGGCGACGGCTTCTGCTTCTTGAAATTTCTCCCGGCCGCTTAAGATAATCGGGAATGGAATTGAATCCCGAGCGGAGTGGAATCAAAGTAGTGAACTTTCCTTCCCCATTGAATCGTGAAGCAAAGCACTGACCCCATTTGCCGCCATTGGTGCGTCGGCGGCGGAAGTAGTAGCTGTGCCATTTTTGCTTGAGGTTCTGCTTTCCTGGGCTCTGGTTCTTCTCTCTCGACGGTGTCTCAGATGGGCACTGATTGAAACTTGATAAAGCTTGCATCTTTCACCGGAAGCCCAAAGGTTAGAATCCTTGTTCGACATGGATTTTCTGAAGCTGCTCTGGGTTAATGGGTAGCTTCAATACTTTTTCATGGGTTATGAATCAACTTGTGAAGCTGCCAGTAGTTTGCTTGGTGTGCTTTATCCAAAGAAGGGAGCTAACCTTTGATTGAAATGCAGAAGAGGGAGAGGGATAGAGAGCTCTGGTGAACCTAGCTAAATGGGTGTTGGAAATAATAACCCTAAGGAGATTGCCATTAGACGAAGCATCTCCAGCATGTGAGTTCTACGGTTCCCCTTCCTTTTCTCGCATTACGTTGTTACCTCTGCACGTCGATTCGAAACTCGTACTGGCCTTTGTTATTGCACATTGGATGGCCTTGATATGTAATGCTTGAGAAGGCAAAGATCTTGTTGTTTTAATTCATAGGATGCTTGGTCAGCATCGATCATTTGTTGGAATATCTTGACTTCCATCACAGTATCCAGCAAAGATTGGAAACCAGTGGGAAGTTGTGTTTGGTTGTTGCTGAAATCTACTCAAACTCTAATTTCGATTCCCATTGCATCTGTTGCTAACAGATTTAATAAGCGAGAAGAGGATTTCCCATCTCTGACAGACTACAATGATTACTTGGAAGAAGTGGAAGATATGAGTAAGCTCTTGTGTACTTCGTTCTTCGTTGGTTAGTTGCTTGAGACGTGACTTTCATGTCCTAACAAGATGGAAGTTTACTGCTGGCAGTTACTATCTTAGTGTCAGACAGGGATGCTCAAGCTAGTGAAGCTATTAAAGCAAGAATCGAAGAATACAAGAAAGAGAACGCCGAGCAAATAATGCTTAATCAAGCACGGAAGGTCTTGTAAAAAGTTCCAATTGTTCATTTCATCCAAAAGCTTTCAAGTGCTTTACCTCGCCTGTAGCCATTGATTTTGTTCTGGGTTTTATACCTTGTTGTTGTTACAGGCTGAAGAATATGCTAAAGCTCTTCAAGCATGCAAGGGGATTCCACCGCAAACAGATACTGATCTGGTGAGGATCTCTCTCCTATCTGTGCATTTGGTAACCTTCACTTCAAAGCTCTTGATTCTGTGGAACATCTTTATTGGATGCCAGATTGAGCGCCACAAGCTTTGGAAAGATTCTATGCTATATGTTGGTTAACTCTTTATGAAACCTATCTTGTCTGTGAATTCTGCCAGAACTCCCAAGCAATGCTCGGGGTAGAGACGACAGGGCAGTACGCGCCAATAATGGCTACTGGGCAGCCACTACCAATGGGCCAACCAGGCTCAATCAGGGGCGGCGACGATGAAGAGATGATGAGGCTGCGAGCAGAAAGAGGGAGCAGAGCTGGCGGGTGGACTTTCGAGCTTAGCAAGAAGAGGTCACTCGAGGAAGCCTTCACCACCATTTGGATTTAGCTTCTCCTTTTGACTAGCCTTTGTCTTTTCTCTTGAGTTAGTGTCATCTTCCACTAGGGCTGCCAGCTTGTTCATCTGTGAAATGGAGGGGATTTTGATCTGCTTTGGTGAATAGCTTATGATTATGAATGTTGATATCTTTGGAGTCAGCCAAAGCTTCTTTCCTGAAGTTGCGACTTGTGTTCTCCAAGCTTATACCTCGTCTCACTGCCGGTATTGGCAAAGAAGCATAGTGTGAAAATTTGTTTTTTCTTCTTCTTTATCACAAGAATGACATCTATATCGTGCCACAACTGTTATTTAGAACGAAACGTGTTATCGTTATTGATAAAGTTAAGCACTCGAAACAAACTTAAGGACTCCAATTCCTATAAGATGTACTTTCAATTCCACTTTGATCAATTATAAATTCCTGCCATAGTTGAGATAAGTCAACGGAAAACTTGCTATGTTACAAAAATGTGGCTTCTAAGCTCACAGCCTTATTCATTTACATTATACCCCGCCCCATACATAAAACTGGAAACAAAAAGTTTGCAACTAACATTCTGCAGACTGATCTTTGACTCTACAATTGATCTGGTATATGATTTAGATTCAACGGTTTTCACAATGCCCTCTCACCAGACAGCATGCCTTGAAACTCAGCTGTTGATTAGGCTCTGTTTAATTCGTATCAGGTCCCATTAAAGGCACCCCATCCTCCCAGGAAGAAGTTCACCTTCAAGAAGAAAGGTCCCACGCTCTCAGATTCTCGAGAGGTCTCTCAATCTGCCTGTTTTCAGAGCGAGTCGCACCCTTTTCCCTGTTGGATCATAACAAAGCAGGGGAACAAACCTCTGGCTCTCAGGAAGCTTTACAAGATTGCGGAGGCAAAGCTGGCACCATACTTTTGTTGAAGCACCCTCCGCCTTTCCTGATTCCCACTGCCAGCTTTGAACCCTGATTCTGCTCGAAGAATCGTTTCCAGGCAACATCCTAGAGCCATTCATGAGGATTATCATGAATGAGCAGCAATAGATCTGAGGTTAGCCGATATGTCACGATAACGAGGGAAGAATTTCAGTTGAAGAAGTATTGTGATTTGAGCACTTCGTTCAAGTCGAAGTTCCCCCTCTCAGGAAGAGGTGGGAACTTCAGTCCTGGATATGTTATCTGGAAGCTTTCATGCAACTGCACAACATAAAGATCACAATATAATTAGCAAAACAAAAGGCATTTAAACACATGATAGGTATGAATCATCTTAATTGAAGAGCAACTCACATTTTCAAGTATGGGCATACTATACAGCTCTACGAATTTCTCACGAAGCAGCCGGTTCATCAAATCCACATCACAGGCATGTGTCCAGAAGGAATCATGTACCCCTATTACAAAAACAATAGATTTGATGAGGCTTTAAATTGCAGGCAAGATAAATAAGTGTTCATAAATTCACCGCTCGACTCCCTTTCTCAACAAGGCTGCCCTTTCTTAATAAGGCAAATGAAACACTTGGAAATGAAAAGCAAGAGAAACCTGCAAAACGCAAATTGGCATCTCTACAAGCCATAGCAGTCAGCATCATGTGCGACCCATCAAGCGAGTGCACAAAATTCGGTGGAAATGCAGTTCTCTGTTTCCGTACCTCCACCTGGTGTCAAACGTGGGAAGATTAATCCATTCAGCTAATTGCGTAAAAAAGAACAAGGGAAGTTGAAACACAAAATCAAAGTGATAACAGTCTGCACTCACTGTGGTACCCTCCTGCTGCAGGGCCAAAACTTGGAGTGAAGTCTTTATCTGCCAAATTAAGTTCAAATACTCAATTGTCATGAAAAGATGCAGCATCTCACTGATTGTAAAATCATATCTCGATAGATGCAGATGTGCATCAAGTAACACAAACAAGATTGAGTACATAATGCTCACAAGATGTCGTTCACTCTTGTAGTATGGTTGCACAACAGGGAGACCTAGGGGAGTCGTCCACCGCACAGGTTGCCCGTCTGAAGCAATGACCTACATTGGAATAAGTTAGAAGCATCACCATCTTATTTGTTCATAGAGAAAATCATACTTGTTAGCTTTGGTCTCCAAAATATCTGTATGAACCTCACCTTCGCACAATCACCAAGCCACCCCATGATATCACGTGCAGCTTGGAATAACTCACCTAAGGCCGTCAACGTTACCTGCATGAGCAGTTGGACAAGTTCGATGATGATTCCTTAACTACATATGTAGCTAAGGGGTCGTTTGGATGGAGTATTTGTATGAGTTATTTGGGTTCAAATAACTCACAAAGAGTTATTTGGATGCAAATAACTCACAAAGAGTTATTTGGATGCAAATAACTCGTTTGGCAGCGTTTTACTGAAATGAGTTATTTGTACAGTGAGTTATTTATAAATAACTCAAAACGAGTTATTTGAAATAACTTATACTCATGTGTTATTTCGAAATACCTCGTTTTATCACTCTGCTTTTACCAAATACCACATGTCAAATACCACATTTGCATGGGTCAACCAAACGAGATACTTCATTTCAATTACCACTAAAATAACACTGAAATACCACATGAGCAATAAATGAGTTATTTGACACTAGAAATACCACATTGACAATTAACCCATCCAAACGACCCCTAAAGTGAATACAGTGACCAAAATTGACAAAAACCTGACAATCCATGCCACCCAACCACCAGAAACGACCCACACAAACGAAACTAAATGATCAACTCTCTCTCTATTTTGCCTATGTCCTGAAGTCCATTTTCAATCAGGCAGCACAAAACACGATATTTTAAGGGCAGTAAGCTGCTTACCTTAGCAGCATAACAAGATGCACTGAACAACAGTTTATCATCAGTAAAATGACCCTTCTCCTCTAATCTTCTTTTTATTTGCTCTCGTGCTCCAACATAAGTAACACCATAGACAGAAGTCATCACTGTTTGTTTAACTAATTTCCTATCCACCTGAAAGTTACCATAATATCAGCCATTTTCTGTGTCAAAAGTACAATGATCACAGTACGATGCAGAATAGCATAGAGTAAGAAAAGGACAGACCTGACCGGTCAAGGCCTTGGCTAATAAGGCAGTTGGATATGTAGCAGGGTCCTTAGCGCTGTCTCTTTCCATTATTTCATGGACCCTGCAGTAGCACTTATTCAATTCATATTTCTGAAAAAAGCTCATGCCAGTGTTGTTTTGTTCGGAAGGTATTAACTTTAGGCATGGTGAAATCTGTATTACCTCACAGCTATCTCAGAATAAACATCAGCTGGTTTCTCTCCAGCTACTAAGTTAACTGCTGCTGCTTCCAGCTGGAAAAGAAGAGGAACTGAGAAGAGTAAATAGTTGGGCTAGAGAACAAATGCAGAGGTAGATAATGTAGTTCATCCAGAAGGTATATAATACGGATACATGATGAAGAAAATAACTGGATTTCCATATGACTGTGAATAGAATAAATGCAGGAAATAATCAGCAAAAGGTAACATACAGTGTCTCTTCCCAAAGCTGCATAGTGCTGTAAGCCATTACATGAGCCATCCTGGAAAAATAAACAAATGAACTTCATTGCACAATTCGTACCAAGGGGGGAAAAGCTTGAACTTTCTTGTTTTCGCTGGTTCGGGATTAAGTCACTCTTTTCTTTTTAATTTTTTGGATTATGTCACTCAAAAATTTCCTTTAGGAAAATTGCACTAAATTGGTTACTAGAAAATTAGAGAACCCCTGGAACATCCCGACAAAGAAGTCTTAATAGTTAATACTATACACATTTAGAACTTGAAATTCAAGATATTGCAAACTTTTTTAAGTATTAAATGCGATATACCTGATGAATTGGCAGGTATGAGATTGTCAAATGAGGTGATGAACTCTTTAAAGCTTCTGCCAGATTAATACAAGCCGCTAAGCACTGGAAAGGGTCTTCAGCGGTTAACCACCAGCGCTTTCCATCGACAGGGTTATGTGCTGAATCGAATATCTCACCCAGATGATTCTCAACGAATCCCAGGCGCGCATCATGGGGCATCTTTTCAACCCCACCTCCATATAAGTTTGCTAAATGGACTTTTAGCCAACTTAACCCAGACTTCCCCAATGGCCTTCCTTCAGCAAATTCAAGAACTCCTCGACAAAGGTCAGAACTCAGATGAGTCAAATGTGGATGCATTGGATATGCTCGACCACGGAAGTCTAGATTGTGAGGATAATAGAAGCCATCCTCCTCTTTCAGTCTCCGAGCAACCTGTTTCAAGTAGATATATGCTCAGTATTTTTGTATCATAACAAAGTAACAAATGAGAGCATAGAGGAGGAACTCACAGAAAGTTTAAGTTCAGTGTCACAGCGTTGAGAATGTCTCTCTCGGTTTATCTTTTTAGCTTTACTCACGTTCCATCTCCACTGCTGAAGTTCTATTGGGTCTTCTGAGGTTGGTTTCTCTGGCAAGGGGACCTGAAACTCGAGTGATGGCCAAATCAAGAAGATGCTACAAACAGCTAGCTAGATGTTTCTAGATCTAAACTGTCTGTTATACATAATCTATGTGTAAAAAAGCTAGCACTAGGGATTGCTTGCAATACCTATTACTAGAAAATATGAAGCTAATTTTGAACCAAGAATGCTGGTGGATTGATGACCAACTTCTGAAGAAGTTCATGGCTGCTGATGTTAAGTTGACATCAACAAATCATTTCACAAGTACTAGTTTCCAACAGTAAGGATTTTCAGGGGATCTTACATCTGCCCGGTCCACCAAGCCTGCAATGTTGCCACCATTTTCCCAAATGGTCTCTACCACATCGAGTACTTGTCTGTTCACCCTCCATTTCGTGTTACCAAGTGTATCCAGGGCCTGTTGACGAACAAATAACATCGTACTTCCACATAAGAATGCAAGGAAACATCCCATGGTATAATCAATTAATTGGTGGACCTAGACTTCAATAATTACAAAAGTTTGTTAGTCCTTCAGTTTGGTACTCGTGCAACGACTATTTACTTCTAAGAAAAAAAGGGACCAATTTACACCAACAAATAAAAAAGATAATGATTATAACCTCAAATACTCTCTGCATTTGGTTTCTTGGCACCCCCTTAAGTGCCTCTTGTTGCTTCCTTGATCCATGAGTGCGCATGACATAAGAAGGCAAGAACAGATGCCCGCCTTTGTCATGACTGCAAGAAGATCACAAACATATTACTGTCAATATGTTTGGCTTACACATATAGATTATAGACCATAAAAACCATGTTAAGGAATAAACAGCCTTGAGATTATTTGCAATATTATACCAATTATCACAACTATTCCAGGCATACCTTTTCCATTTCTTGGGAGGTATCAGCATTGGGAAATAAGGAACCAACATATGCTTAGCCTGCATTTTGACAAGCATAGTGTACATTAGTTTGAGTGACAGAGAAGGTACCAGAGAAGAAGACCTGGTAATTCAAGATTTCTCCAAATTTTGCAGCCTGGGTATAGAAATCCATAATATAGAAATCTAGAGCAAATTGTCTTGTGCAAATGAAACCACATGTCATAAGTACTTCACCAAATGCAGGATTTCAACTAGTACCTACTAGTGGGATTTATTCAAGGGCACGGGTTTTGACCAAGAAGGGTGGACGATTCATAGAAATAAATACATTTGCAAGATATGTACAAGAATCAATCATTCAGTAACAGAAATTGTCATCTTACTCACAGATCCATCAAGCCCTGCCAGTACGAGAGGATCGCACTCTACAACTCCATATCTCTTCATGATCTTTTGCCTATAATGATTAATTCAAATCAATTTCATGGACATCAGAGAAGATTATTTTGATGAACTTTTCAAATGGATTGGTAGAAGGTCATGCAAAGTACATAACGATTCTCACCCTGGGCTCCTTGGCAAATTTTTGAACCGATGTCTAAAGGCAGGTCGCACATCTGGTGGAGTATCCGACAACTGGTCAACTGGAGCTTGTATAAAAGCTGTCTCGGTCAAGAGGTGTATCAGCCGACTTCCTAGCTGCACAGCCAAGACATGCATTAAAAAAAAGGCAACATGGTAGGCAAACAAGGTCCTACTTGCAACCTAAACTATCATAAAAGCTCGGTATGGAAGTGAAGTCAAACAGATAATTCGGGGGGAAGAACATAAATAAGAGAAGATGAAGTATACCTTAGCCTGGATATCACGTCCCCAAGGTTTGATTTCATCGCTTTTCACCAACTTCTGCACCTCCACATGCTTTTTCCTCCTCATCAAGCTATTAAGACGTTTTCTAAGGATCTCCTTCTCTACTCTTTGGCTGTCTTCATCATCAGTAGCTGTCTTGTTCCGCTGGTACTTCTTGGCCTTCTCCAAGAAATTGTGAACCCTAACCTGAAATTACACAAAACAGACACAGCTTACTCACTATCTAACAACACTTGCTTGAAAAGTCTATATTAGTATGTTCCATTTGTTGGAATCTTCTGGATTCCTGAATACATTAAACCATCTAACATATAAACCGGCATACATTCATTCAACAATGCAAATGGTATAAAAGAAAGAAGCTGAAGTCTCAGAACAAGAACCTACCTCCTGCTCTATAGCAATCCCGATTTGCACAGCAGCCTGAACAACCTGAATACACCCATCTTCATGTCCCACCATCAACAACCCCATCATCTTATGCATGACAATGAGCGCCATTTTATCCGCGGGCAACGATTCAATCTGCGGCGAAAAAGCAGTCTTCTGCTTCTTCCCCTTATGCAACATCTGCTCCTTCTCAATAGCTTCCTTCAACGGTTCAAACCATCCCAAGAACAAACCTTTAACGTAAGGCAAATTAGGCGCCAGCTTCTTCTCACACATCTCCCTAACCATTCCCCTATACTCCTCCGCCATTCCCTCCCACGCCTCCGTCTCATCCTTAATCTGCCTCCTCCTAAGCAAATTGTACTTCCTCTTCTCGATATCCTTGAACGCCACTCTCACTTCCCGGTGAGCCAATTTCTGCATACCTTTCAGGAACAGAGCTGAAATCCAAGGTGGGTCTTGGATGAAAACACTCGTTTCCTCTTCTTTGCCTTCAATTCGATCTCTTTCCCGTAAATCCAAATTCATGAGATTCTCGAGGGATTGCCGGTCTTCGAGGAGATGGTCGTGGCTGGAATCGTTTAATGGCTTGAAGAGAAGTGGGTTCCTGGGGGATTTGGGATTGAGGGAAGCGGGGAATGAGGATGAAGAGGAAGAAGATGAGAAAGCAGAGAGAGGAGTGAGGGGAGCTTGGCTGGAGAGAAAGTGGAGGTTTTTGTGGGGTTTTGAGGATTTAGATGGAGGTTTTGATGGCCACGCCGAGTACTGAATTTGAGATGTAGTTGAGAATGGCGCCGTGGAAGCCATGGCTTGTTGGTGATAAGAGTAAAGGAAAAGGGAGGGAAACGGAGGGGAAGAAAGGGGCAGAGAAGGGAATTGAGGCAACATGCTACGGCCTGCGAGGAACCTCTGTTAAACCTCAGATTCTGCCATTGCCGGCAGGGAGAGCCGCTATTTCGTTGTTTCCTTCTCCGCTGAAAGATAAGATATTTGTTTTTAAATGGGGGTTAATTCCGCTTTTAGCCCCTGAATTCTGTAATATCGTCAAAAATCCCCTCATTCCTACGAAATTTACATTTTTATCCCTCAATTAGGTTTCCTTTCTTTCAAGTTTAAGTCACTCTATTCGATTACTTTTACATCCATTTTTGGTACTTAGACGCATAATTATATTAGTGTGCATACAAATACGAGAAATCTATTGACATAACTTCAAGGTCTTTTATACAAACGTGAAATCACAGAAAACGGTGCAATACTGTTCTCCAAGATCTTCCCGATCTTCGATTTTCATATGCGACAACAAATTAATATCAAATTGTCCAGAGACATACACAATCTCTTGACTAAAAATGCTCATTCCATGAGATAGATATCTTCGGATTGGGAAGGGCGGGGGTAGATTTTAAAAAAAAAAACCATGAAACATTACCTTTGAGTGAACATAAAAGTACGAAAATATACTATATGCAACATTCTGATCTATTTTAAGCACCAACAACCTAATCACATTTCTCTCTTTAGCAGCATTCTATCACCATGTTTCTTTTCCATTCTACAATATCACCTAGAATAAGAGGGTTTTGGCTATCTTTTCCTCTCCCTCCCCTCCATCTCTCTATCATTCCTTCCTACCCTCCATCTTCTTGTACATTCCCCTAACAAAATTTATCAGCACAAAATCCTTCTCCTTAACCAAGAACACACAACATAGGAAGAACGGGAGAATGGGTTCAATGATATTAATCGAGGTGATATTGGCCATTTTGGTACCGCCAGTCGGCGTCTTTCTCCGTTTTGGATGCGGGGTACGATAAGTTCAGACTTGTTGTTGTTGGTCCTCCTTGTTCCTTTTCATTAACATTTTCCATATGTTTTTAATCTTGGAGTCAACAATCATCCCCTTAATTGTTTTCGTGTGTTGCTAATGGAATATGCAGGTGGAATTCTGGATAGACTTGTTGCTGACGATGTTTGGCTACCTTCCTGGTATGATATACGCCATTTATGTCCTCGTGGGAAAGCAGCAATCAGTGTAGAACGATCTGGGATCTCACCATTTTTGAAGACATCTTTACTTTGTAAAATCTGGTTTGGTAAGCTTTAGGATGTTTCAGGTGTTCCTTAGTGTACCCTATTGATGTTGTCTTGTGTTAATTACAAAAAAATGGTACAGCTTCTTCTCCCTTTTGGCTGCAAATCTTAGGCTTTGGCTACATCCTGCCATATAGAGCGTGATGAATTGTCGGGAAAAGTAAACAGAGGAAACAACAATATTACAACGTATTGAACCACGGTTGTACCACTAGAATATTATTCCGCTAAGTTATTCGGTATGACCTCTGGTACAGCATTCTCCACCTCAAGACATGTTATCGCATTGAGTTACGGAGGGAATGAGAAAAGGGCAAAATTTTATGTGAAGGAGATCTAGCTACCCATCATTGAGGATTCACCCTGGTACAAGCAAAGCACATAAACAGCCTGCAACTTGTAGATATCTGATTTCGTATCAGGAACCACTCCAAAGGAAGATACCATCGATCTGTCGGCTATAGATAGCTCACTCCTTCGGTCCCCACGACCTCGCCAATTAGGCACGCCTTGTGTTGTCCATCCTCGATAATTCTTCTTCCTACTTCCTTAGTCACCACTATGACCATCCCGATGCCCATGTTGAATGTTCTTCTCATCTCGGCATCTTCTATGTTTCCAGCCTGTTTGAAACGCGAGCCAGCCACGATGAGAGAGCAAGGGCAGATTTAAACGAGATCTAAATTGGGGATAAGGAGATTGAAAGATGCGTTGACGGGACTAGATCTTACCTCTTGGATCCATTTAAAGACGGGTGGGACTTCCCAGGAGTTGTTGTAAATAGCAGCTCCAAGACCTTTGGGGAATACTCTCGGTATGTTATCCGTAAACCCACCTCCTGTAATGTGGGCTATGCCTTTTACACCTCCTTTGCCGATTATGTCCAGCACCTTTATGTATAATTTGGACATAACACATCAGTATACGAATGTGCATAGTCAGGAAGAGATGAGAGAGAGAGAACAAGTTACCTGCTTGACATATATAACAGTAGGGGCCATTAGAGCCTCGCCTAATGTAAGGTCCTTTCCAGGAAGTTGGTCCTTCAGAGAAAGACCACTTCGATCTATAACCCTGTTTTCAAAAGGATATATCTTATATTATAAAAGGTTATCCAGGGAAATATTGGTTCAAAAGATTATGAAGATTCTGAATTCATCGACAACCTTCTGACAAGTGAAAATCCATTGGAATGGACTCCACTAGATGGTAATCCAATCAAAACATCCCCAGCTACAATGTTCTTCCCATCAATGACCGACTCCTTCTTAACTATACCGACTGCAAAACCACTGAGATCATATTCACCCTCTGCATAGAAATCTGGCATCTCTGCAGTCTGGAAGAAAAAAAGCTCTTTGATTCATGCTACTCACGTTAGTTTAAGCAAAACGAGCAAGATAGAGTTTTCAGTTTACCTCTCCTCCCAACAGTGCACAGTCAGATTGTTGGCAGCCATCCACAATGCCTCTAATAACCTACCCCAGACCACCGAAAAAAAGGGAACATTTTTATTCATCCGCAGCAGTTACCACATAAAATCGTATGAATGTTTAAGCCAAGCACAATGGCTACCTTTTCGGCCAGGTCGACATCAAGATGACTAGTTGCAAAGTAATCAAGGAAGAAGAGTGGTTTTGCACCTGAAGTGACTATATCATTGACACTCATTGCAACCTATAATCAGGAACAAGCTGGGGGTTAAACTACTACACTTATTGAAACAGTGAAATGGGTTCACATGAATGTTTACCAAATCAATGCCGATAGTGTCATGGATTCCTGTCTCAAAAGCAAGTTTTAATTTAGTACCCACACCATCTGTACCGGCAACAAGATATGAATCCCCTGTCAAACAACATTCACACATAGAATGTCAGAAAAAAACTGAATGGCTGAAGACAATCATTACCACCAATGAAAAACAAAATCCGTGTTACCGAGAGGGAAAAGACCGCCGAAACCACCAATTCCAGGAGCCATCTTAGCAATCCTCCTCACCAGTTCCGACCCAGCATCGATATCAACACCGGCATCCTTGTAAGTCAGCCCGCTGATAGACCCACTGCTCCCACTTTCATTTCCCATTGCAAAGACTCTGTCTTTAGCTGCACCAGTAACTTCTACTGCTTGAAGCGAGCGTCCCTTGAAGGAAGGGCTAAAAGTACATCTATCCACAGCTCGACGTGAGATGTCGAGTTTGGTTGAAGATGAGCTCATGGATGCTCCAATTGATCGGGCTAGCTCAGCATTTACAGCGGTCATGATTTTCTGCAGAACAGAAAGGTTCATATTGTTATCCTTAAAATTAAAAGAGTTCTCAATTCTCATCCTAAGTCATCGAATCAAAGCACCATCAAAACGCCACCATGCTTGCTTGAAATCAGTTAAACAACATGTGGAATAGCCAAGTATCCGATAGCAGAACAGAGAGCTACGAAAACTTTGGGGGTATAAAGCCAAGTCATCAACCCATGTGATTCGTAGGAAAGGATTCAATCAAATAGTCAGTTAGACACGGAAATGAGAGGGGAGAAAGAGAAGGAGATAAGAGCTGACGGTACATATGAGGCAGCGATGACCGGTGAGAGGACTGACTGACGGCGACGGTGGCTAGGGTTGCTGTGTGGGCGCCGGCTACTGTCGGACAGGCAGAATGAAGGAAGCGAGGGAAAGCTGGTTTAGGTTTTTCTTTTCCCGGTTGAGTTTCTGAGTAAATTTTGGCTTGGGCCTAACTGAAATATCTGTTTTGGGTCTAAAAGAGAAACATGGTCTGGACTGTCTTCAAAGTGGACGGCTCGAATTCTGTTAATGTTTGTTATGGCTCTCAATGACCCAATTGCTTGTCGGTATTTGGCTCAGGAAGATCTCGTTCGATTCTCAATTAATATATTAAGAAGTCGAGTTTAACCTATATTCTGCTCAGCTCAGAAGGCTCATGAGCCAGCTTGACTTGGTGACATGTTGAACTCAACTCGTAAACTCCCTCGTTCTCAGCTCATAAGTCGGCTCCTAATGCGGCTAGCGAGCCAGATTGACTAACGATTTGTGAGCATGAGCGAATTGATATGTATAGCTTACGAGTGAACCGACCTATAGCTTATGAGTTGCCTTCTTGATAATTTATAGGCTTTTAGATTATACATCTCACCACATCATGTTGAAGACTTCGATATGTGAGCAAATATATCTCATTTGTAATTTAAAAGAGAAATTATATATTGTAGATATGTTATGCAAATTATTATTAAACAACATGATATGAAAAGTCAAAATGATACGAATAGTTAAAATTTATGAACTAAATAATGTGATATTTAAGATCGAATGGTGCTCACAAGTTGATTAATGAGTCAACCTCGAGTAGTGCTCCACCCGGCCAGTTTGTAACCCTCGCCCAATCCCATGCTCATGGAGTCATGGTATCATCATGAATTGCCAGTTGTGATTCTCCACTCAGAAAGGAAAACAAGAGGAGACAGTTCATGCTGCCAGTGAATTCGCAAATCGACTAATGAAATCATTTCATATACGAAGGCATCAACGAATCCAAGTGCTTGAGCCGCTCACACACTCTGCTAGTTATTGATAAGAGAAATCAGTAATGTTGCACACAAAAGACATTTCCAAATCTGCCAAGGCCAGTCTCAAGATCTAGGAGATTGATCATCTGCAGGGTATCACCACTACAACAAACTACCATAGACTACTTCCATATGATTCCAAAGTCCTTATAGTGAACTAAAAACCTCGATAAAGAGTGCATTTCGGGCAGATTCTGAATTCAAGCATTTCAAATGATCTCCATGCATCAAAACTTCACATCAGTCGTCCATGTACCTTGCACACTCGGGTGTTTGGTCACGTGCCTCGTCTTCAGTTTCACCACCTTCCTCCCCAAGGCATTTCTCAACCGGGTAGCATGCAGCAGTACTTCTTCTGGAGTCATGTTCCTCACGCATACCACGCGCTCATTGTTGTTCTCTTTTCACACCAGAAATACAAGGAGAATACTTTCAAACTGACTGATCTGAAGAAACAAGAAAAAGATAAAGAGAGGAAGCAGCAAGCAGGCTTACTGTAAAAGGCCTTCAAGTGGGGGTGTTGGCCTCGAATGAGCTCAGTTTCCACATTCAGATGGGGATTCGCCTCTTTGAACGATGGAAGGTGCTTCTCCATGAATGCCCTTTTAACATTGATAGAGCAAATCAATAAATCCACTGATACCAGAAGATGAATAGCATAATAATACTCAATTACTAGAACAAAGAAGCTATGCCAATGAAAAGTTGTATGATCCATCATCGAAACATTGCGGCCAAGCTCATAATGACAGTATGAAATAGTTCACCTGATGCCCCTGCTACTTCCACCCCAATCAGAGTAACTCACAATCAGCTTTCTCAGCTGCCAAACACCTCTTAAGGCCATCTGAAAAAATTCACCAAATCCATCATGTCATGTTAGCAAACAGAAAAAGCTCGTTCCTTTAACAGAACCCATTCATTAAAATGCCAAACACATGAATATATATGCCTGCGATAAACCCAGGAATAGCAAAGGAGAGAATGAGAAATGATAAATCTAATCGACGGGAACAATGAAAACTGAAATCAGAATCACATTCTTCAAACGATTTCACTTTCTAACATAGAATGGTGCTTCTGGAACACAGAAAAGAAACTAGGGTTTAATGAATCCCTGAGAAAGCTACCGAATTTGGGGATATATATATATTGAAATTCTTTCACAGGGAGACGAGTAGTAAGTAAGACAATAGATGGCATGAAAAGACGGTAGAGAAGACCGCCCGAGGCTCCGGCCCCGGAGACATACCTGTGGAGAGGTTTTGCGCCGCCGGGTGTACTCCTTTACTCCGGTGTTTTTCTCTATCGAGCGAGAGTGAGAGGAAGAAGAAGAAGAAGAATCAGCGGCGCGCAGAGGAGAGACAAATTCCTTAGACGACCCAGTTTTGGGCTTGTACATGGGCCCATTGGGCCGCAAGTGAACGGCAGGAGAAGTGTGGACAAATTTTGGCCCAACCCAATTTCGATCCAAGCAAAAGTTAGGCATCGTCCTCTAGGAAATTAGTCACTACTATCGACCGTAAATGTCTGATAACAAAGATGCAATAATTGAGTCATCTGATAACAAATATGACTTGCAACAAACACATCTTTGTTACTATATTATTTTGATAATTTTTGGTCTATTCATTAAGATTTCATTGACACAATTATCATCAAAATCATGTTTAGTTAGCACGTATTAGATGACTCAATTATATTAAACCCCAAATTTGGCTACTTCTTTAGCTTTCACAATGCATCCATCATTTACGAAATGAATGGATACTTGAATCCGGCCTTGAACCAGGTTTTAAAACAAAATATGTGAGTCATCAAACACTTATTTACTAAGTGTGAGTTGATTCCACCAATAAAATACTCGGAAGAAGCCTAAATAGAACGGGATAAATAGCATACAAAAACACCAACCCCAAACTTGTTGGGAAGGTTGTAAAAAGAACCTCACATTTCATTACCAAACAACTGCTGTACAAACCAATGGTGCCAAATCCCTATAGAGAACATGCACCACCTCTTTTACAATCAACAACCCAAAACCACACGAACTCAGTCATATAACCTGATAATCATTTACAAAAGTTAATGCCTTCTGTATGGGGGGAAATTTGACCATCATCATCCTCCCCTTGTATCGTTATCTTCTTCACTAAACCTACTTTCTCACCAGAAACTTATAGTCACAGCAAACAGCAATGGTGTATGTATGGAAGTCTGTTTTGATTGCTTTATAGCCAGAAGTACAGCATTGCCTGTGCACACATAGAAACAACCCATCATTAGCCAGCATTTCCAGTGAAGGGGTAGGAAGTTTTGAACCAACCCACCAGCCCGACCCGTCCAGAAGTGACCTGTCACACATAATGATCCATCAAGAGTCAAGACTCGACCTGTTTAACCCCTGACCGATTATGACCCAACCCTGTCTGATTCAATGCAAACCCAACTGTTGGGTCAGTTGTTAGTGTTTTGGCCAAAACTGTTCATGATTCGGTCAGGGGTTAAACATCCATCACGACCTGACCCATAATCCGATCCAAACCTTGACTTGTGACTAGTGTTCATGACTCGACCCAGTTTATAATGAACAGCTAGAGACAATGACACAACGACCCGACCCAGATACCACATTTACTTCCAATGACCTGTCAATGGAGATCTTTTCTTCCATTTGACTAGTGCGCGAAAAGGACAAGTTGCAAGAGGGGAAGCAATACCTCCTGGAGAACGTCAAGGCATGGTTCATCGTCTGGAATTCTGTCAGCTTTTGTGCTTCTCAGTTCACTATGTATTCCACTCAGTTGCTCTTGAATCGCCTTCAACAGATGCGTTTCTTCAACCTCTCCTGTTGGCCCTCCACAAGAAACAATCTCCTGTTGTCTTTCACCAGTGTTCCACTCCCTCTCGAGCCTCTCGATTCTTCGCATCAGCTTCTTGTACTCGGTCGCAGAAACCAATGATAGAGCAGCAGTATCAGGAGGATGAGGAGGAGGCAAACCATGCTGATCATCAACAGGTGGATCTTTCGAAGCTTTCTTCTCATTGCTTGAACTATGCAACACTGTCTTTACTTGCTCGTTGACAATACACTTTCCTTCTCCTAGTTGTGAATATAATGAAGGAGTCCAAGTTCCACCTCTCCAAATTGTAGGCTTGATTTCTTCATGATCTCTGCTTCTACTGGGGATCTCTTTCAGTCGTTCGTCCAATCTTTTTCTGATCTTTTCCCAGTACGAATTTACATCTCCACCACTCAGAGCTACAACTGATTTCTTCTCTGGCTCACAACTCTCTCTGAATTCAGCTCCCTCATCAACTGTTCTAGCAGTGGTACCATCTTGGTCTCTATCAAACCCAACTTTCCACGGAGGCAAGGAGTTGAGCCTCCTCGCATTACCATGAACAACTTTTTCCACCAATAGAGTATCACTTTTGTGAGACAACAGTTGTACTGGTTCATCACTAAGTCCCATGCCGACAAGCCTGTTTCTGTACGACTGAAGCTGGAACTGAAGGGAAGCAATCTCCATCTCCTTCTGAAACATGAGATCCTCGCACAATGCCAGTGCCTCTTCAGCATGACACATCTTCTCCTCCGCCATTCTCTTGTACTGATTCGCTTCCATCTTCAGCACAGACTTCTCCCCTTGCAAGCGCAGGATCATGGACATGGTTTCACTAGTTGCAGTTGCAGCGGCTTCCCTCTCTGCGTCTAGCTCGCGGTAGAGGTTATGCAGGATCTGCTGCTGTGCTTGGAGCGCTTGTCTTAGACTAACCGAGTCATCGGCTTCCGCCATGGTTGTTAAAGGATTTTAAGTCCGATCAAGTCACTGACTCATAACCTTTCTCCATGCTCATACACTACACAACATAGAAGGAATCCCTGGTCATAACATTAAACTTAATAAATCAGGTAATCGAGTCTCCCCCACCATCTCCCTAATCACAAGCAAAACGGCAACCGAATGGACTTTTCCAAAGGATGAGAACACACTTACTGACAGATTGCCGGAGGGAAGAGGAATGGCCTGAAAATCTGCAAACGCACCTCTGCAAAAGCAAAATTTGGAGAGTACGATCGAAACCCAGAAGGCAGAAACAAGAAAGGTACGAACTTTTTTGGGGGATAGGTAGAGACACGAGATTTTTAACAGCAGTCTAAACAGTTTTACTTTGTTTTCTAGTTGTTCATTAATTGCAGAGGTAACGGTTAGAGAAATTTTGCATCATTCTCCAGGTATGGATTCAGCATCTTAATAAGCTCAACTGATAAAGAACCACCACAAGGAACCCAATAGAGAGAGAAAGAGAGAGACAAAAGGGAGGGGGAAATGAGAAATAATGGTTCTGCTTTTCTAGAAAGTGGAAGAATCAATAAGAACTGCACATATTCACTTGGTTCAACAAAAAAAAGAATAACTTCGTCTGCAAAAAAAAAAATACCAATAAGAACAGGAGGGACGGAAATTTATGAAATCCTACCAAACAAGGTATAATATCTTAAAATTTAATTCCTTTTCGTCAACGAATTCCTAATCTATTTAAGAAAGAACGATAAAGGAAGAAACTTATTAATCAATATAATGATATTTTTCAGTGCCATGTGGGTCCAGATTAACATAAAGGCTTTTGAAAAAAGCGGTTAAAAAGGGCGGGTTCAACGGCTACTGGATGGGCCACTTCATCATCATGAGCCACCCACGACCATATACTAGACCCTTGCTACTATTTGCCAATGGCCGCCAGCATGCAAAGCAGACAGACAACCAGATATTGAGAAAAGAAAGTTGCACCAAATCTATATTTTACGGCCTGAAGAGAGAAAAGAGAAAACCTTTTGAGTAATATATGGGGAAAGGTCACGCTCCATTATGGTTGTACTCTGTCTCCATGTCAACGGTAAGCTTCATGATTATCACTTCCCACCAAAATTTGGTCATTATAGCATTGAGATAGCAGAAATTTTACTACACTGGATGACCGAAAGGCTGCATCGTCCAATGGCTGGGAATCGCAGGACGCTGAATCTCACACCAAGGGGCATAAACATCGTAGCCAAATCCGTAGAAGTTGAACTCAAGACTATACTACAATTTAGTGAGGTAAATTATGCACAAACTCAATAAATAAAAAAAGTTCCAACAAAACCGACCAAAGCATTATTCAGAACTTTACTATGTTTGGGGAAAGGAAGTCAATTTTGCCAAGACCGAGTCATTTCTCCTTTTACATTTTCTTCAACCAAATGAAATCCACGTGAAGGTACAGGATTCATTAGCCGACAAAAGTTTTTTATATGGTAAAGTTGCAGAATGAGTCAACTTAAGCAAACTGACCAAATGTGATAAATAAATTTGGCACCAGAAGTTCAGATTTACTACCATTTCAACTAGGAAAAGGGTAGGTGGATGAAGCACAGGGTCAAAAGAGAGAGATGCTTACATCTCTAGTTGAAGATGGCAGCTAAAAGAAGTCCTCCAGAGATGTGAAATGATGCTTATATCAATACACCCCAAAAGAGTTTTATTAGTCAGTCAGCAAGAGAAAATCTTGTACAGCTCTCCATTGGCATTTGGCAAGATGCAAGGACAGCTAGAAACAATGGAGTATGAACTACATACCAAGTCAGATACCTTATAAGCAAGGAGGTTTACTTTACAGAGCTGTGGATGGTGCACGGCACTAGAATGTTGGGAGGTTGCTGCATACACTGGTGAATTGGGACTGTAAGCCTTACTCAATGTCTTCTTCATGATCTGAAACAACCTCCACTTCCATCTTCAACTGGGGATTTCCGGGAATCTGCATGAAATGAAGAGGAAAATGATGAGCACAGTATTGCTGGGACAGAAAGGGAGAAATAATGTCAAACATCCAAACCAAAGCAGAACCAAGCTCGGTCATTCTGAAGGAAAACACGTCTTTAAAGAAGCTGAACACGTAAACCTCCATTGCCAAGTAATGGGTACATAGACTAATTAAGAAGGTTGTGCAAGAAACGAATGTAGAGAAAGACTTGCATTAGTTGGAGGCAGAAATTCAAAGAGTTTTGTTGTGGAAAGGAAGAGAAGAGCCAAAGCTGAAGCTACTTTAATAATGATAAGTAAGTAAGTATCTTTTGATCTTTCGAGAAGTTAACAGCACTAAAGGAATTTTTCCTTTTACAACCATTCTGATGCAACTGCCAAGAACAACAATTAAGACCACAGTTATAGTGGAATTCATGGCATCAGCAATCAACGCATGCAAATTCCTCACAACTGTTCTCAAGTCAACAGAAGTTACGAAAATAAGAATCAAAATTCTTCTTCTGGATCTGCAGCTTTGCCTCCAAACACATCTTCAGCATATAATATTACAGAACTAGAAACTTCATAAAGTTCCTTCCACTTTTGAATTTCAGGTGCAAATTCAACGTGGACATCCTTCGTAGCTAGTTCAGTTTGGCAACCTTCCGAATCATCTAAAGCAGAATGAACTTCCAAACTTTTTGCAACATTTCCTAACCCAACAGGGGAGAAAAAAATAGCTGCATCATTGTACTGGGAAGCACATAGATCTAATGATGGCTTGATGGATGGGTCGGTAGCTCCGTTGTTCTTTAATTCAGTAAACAGGTTGCCCACGATTTTTGATTGCTTCTTGGCTATTTCCAGGACAGCCATAGCTAAGGATTTTATGTCAGTTGCTGATGATGCTTCAGGATAAGATTGCAGAACTTGGGCACACAAGTTGGAGTCGTTACTTTTCTTGCATACTTCTTCAATTAATTTGGAAGGAGGAGAGCTTGGGGTTGACACTCTAGCCGCGGTTGTTTGAGGAAGAAAATGAAAAATGAGGGTGAAAAAGATGGCTGCAATGACCAAAGATGTTCTTGGAGAAGCCATTAGGAAAAGGAAAAGGAAAAGATTGGAAGTATGGTTGATGATTTGAAAATTGGATATGGCTTGGTGGATGAAACTATTGTGTAGCTTTATTTATAGCAACAGAAGCAGGGCTGATTATAGTTCTTTCTTTTGGTGGGAAATGGGGGAAAACCCCTATTAGTTCTTCTGTTGCATGCATCCCCATAATTTCTTGAGAAAAGAGGTTTTCTGTTTCTGAGGATGGAAAAACAATCTCAAAAACCAAAGAAAAACAGAAACCAAGTATCGGAAATGCCTCAGGATTAAAACTTACTTCCAATATACAACTCTCATTTCCTTAAGAATCTAACCAAAGAAAGTTGAGCTCCAACTCATCATTCATTGATTAAAAATACAGTTTTGTTTCTCTTTATCTCTCTCAAAACTCATTCAGTTATCTCACAACACCAATGTTGTTCATAACCAAAAACGCCAAAGCTTATACCTTCTCATAGAAAACACAAAAAATCTAATTATCATATACAGAAAAAGAAACATACTATTCCCGAAAACACTAATACAGCTATAGTTCTCTGCTCTAACACTTGCTCTGCAAAAATAGTCTGTAGCTTCTTGTTTTTAGCTGCCACAGTCCTTCGGCAATTCCTAATTGCAGTTAGAGCTCGCTGTTGACCTCTACTAGAAGAGCCAGGCCACTGCAGCCCTCCACAAAAATTTAACTAGCTTTATTGAACTTAGTATCAGTAAGATTCAGGTTCTCTTCACGTTTGCAAGCATTTATAATCACAAGAACAACCATTTTGTGCCACTGAAAGCTAGCTAAATGATATACTGTGTTCAGAGAACATGGAGAATTGTAAATGGACCAAAAGACAACTGATATCAAGACTGCAAAGCAGAGAACACTGCTACATTCAGCTTTTACGATAAATTATTGCAAAGAGCCAGCAAACAAGGAAACTAAGTGATCAAAGCTATTGCGTGAAAAGGATAAAGAGTATAGATTAGAAGATACCCAAAGCTTCACTCGTGCATCAATTACAACCGGAAGAAAGCGGATGAAGATGGTGATAGTGGACTGATCAACTTGAAGACCGTAGTGCTCAGCTTTTACCACCAACAATGTCTGCCACCCAGATTCTGAATGGTGCCTGGGAAGGTTTCTTTGTTACTCCTACACCCCTACAGAAGAACACAGAGAAACCATTTTCAAGCATCAAAATCAGCATAACAAAGATAGGGAAAACCTCCAGCAAAACCAACAAGATCGAAAACCATTCTTCCCCTCAACGTTCACCTTTCCAGATTCAGAATAGCAAGGAAATGATTCAGCAAAAAGAACGAAACCCCCAGAAACCCAATCGTTTGAATTGATTCGAAGGAATAGTACTGAATCCTACTCTTGAGGAGTTGCTTCACGGAGGGGACAAATCTTATTCGCCATTTCCAGACTTGCAAGACCACGAACAAACTGTGGGAACTAACCTCCGAATCTTTGTTTCAGTGAGCGTAGGTGAATAGGGAGAGGGATATGGCGCGAACCACCGCCATTTCATGTGAGAACGGCGGAAGAGAGGGAAAGAACAGAGATGGTCGCCCTCCGGAGAAGCTTTCTCGATTCTCAATTCACATGGCAGTCAAAATATCGCCGGTAACCAATTTATCGACAAAATATCGTAATATATCGCGATATTAAGTAAAATATCGCATCTCGTCAATTTCTCGTTCTCGTCAATTTATCGCGTTTCGATTTTGGTTTTGAAGAGTCGAAACGTATTCCGTTTCGGCCCTCCTTTCACGTTTCTCCGTTTTATTAACGGGTTTCGGGGTTCCTCTGTAGCAAGGCGTCTACGGCCCGGTATTTTGATGGGCCTAAGTGACTAGTCTCACCAGACAACTGTGGATAAGCCAGGCCTAGATGAGCAAGCCCAGCTAGAACTTCTTGGCCTCATGCCCGATTAGGCCCAACTTGTACGGGCCGAACTAGCCACCCCTGGGCCATGAGCGCGGAAGCTGCACACACATGCGAAACGGCTAGAAGAACGAAGGAAGATACGGATGAAACGGCGAAACGCGAAACGTTTCGGGTCCTCAAAACCAAAACCGAAACGCGATAAATTGACGAGAAAGAGAAATTGACGAGATGCGATATATTACTAAATATCGCGATATTTACGATATTTTGTCGATATATTGAGTCCCGGCGATATTATGTCACGGAGGTAAAAGATTTCCCGGGAATAAGCCGGAAAAAGAAGAAAAATACAGAAAAAATTACACGAAAATACAGAAAATTACACAAGAGAAATTAATCAATTTTGACATTCACCACTAACCTTTCGTCTTGTGCTGAAACAATCATTCACATAGGAGAAACCAGAACAAGAGAGAGGGGAAGGAAGGTGGTCTCCTAGGGCTCTCGGAAGATCGATTCCTCGGCGGCGTAGAGTTGTCCGTCCGGCAAGTTGTCTCTCACTCTCTCTGTGGTTCACTTTCGTAAGAATAGTAGTAGGCGGATTGCTTTGAGAATTTTTTCCTTCTGGGATTGATTCATTCTTCCAGCTGCTGCTGCTTTTGTGTAGTTTCATGGATTCTTTGTTCTTGGTCCCCAGAAAGTTCAGATCTTTGCTTCTTTCGTCGCGCCTTTTCATTGGAATCAAATCTCCTGGTTCACCCGTGTTCAATTTCTGCAGGTGCAGGGGGGATTCCGGCAAGCTCCTGACCTCTCTCTCAACAAGAGCCCCGTTTGAATTATGGTATGTGATAGTCTCCTGTTTTGGATTTTCGCTTAAATTTTGAATCTTGGTACTTTGAAATGTTCAATTGGATCATTTTGGTATGGGGTTTGGTTAGGAAGACTGATTGTTCGTTGTTTGGATTTTGGCAAGTTCCGTTGAAGAATGTACCATTGAGGTAATATGAGTAATTTAGCGTAGTATACCTCGTTTGGGTTCTTGGATGATAGTTTTGGGGGCCCGAATTTGGATTGGAGGCATGAACTAGATGAGCTTACTGGCATAATATTGTAGGACTTTTAGACGAAAAGGAACATCAATGCCATTGATAGAGAGCTGCCAATTCTATTGTTGAGAAGGCCTTTCAAGTTTCTCCTTCCTCCCCCCGACTCTCGCAGCTTATGTTTGTTGACTGGTTCATGATTTGCTTACAGGCTATGTACATTCGGGTCAAGCGGATCAAGACGACGTACTTCATTCAATGTGATCCAACTGAGAAAGTTATTGAGATTAAGCAGAAGCTGAATGTCCTGACTGAGCAAGCAGTTAATGATCAGAGGCTGATCCTTATGCCGTCGGGGGAAGTATTAGAGGACTCCAAGTCATTGGCAGATCAGAAGGTTGTTGCCCATTTATGTGCACTAAGTCGCTCTATATTTCATGCCATGGTTTCTAATTATCTTGCTAGCGATGTTCAATTAAATTTCTGCGTTACCATATATCTGCAACAGGTTGAGAATGATGCTGTAGTGGCTCTCACCTTGCGGAAAGGTTGTTCTCCATACCCTTAGCATATAGTCTTGTTAGGCTTTTTCTTGGTCTATCGGGGATTTCACCTTTGACTTCGGGGAACCAAGCTTCTGATTGTGTAATTCCTTTCCGATCCAGATGGCAATGAGTTTGAAGAAGTCAACATTGTTCGCCCAGACGATTTCTACCAGTCTCGTGATGCAGAAGGTGGCAGCTGGTGACCCATCAATGGCCTTTGGCTCTGGAGAACTGCTCAGCTTTGCAATGTGAGGAGTGTAGGTCTAGTGGTGTAGATTTCAGATTTGATGCAACAGCCTTGGATGTTTGTGTTTGTTACCACCGACTTGTTTCTGGTGAGTGAATGCAACATCGAGCATTTAGGAAGTTATATAATCAAGAGTCGAGCAATGAACAATGTTTTGAGTTTATTGCTAATGAAAAGCGTGAACCTAAAGATACATTTATATTCCCAATTCATAGCTTTTTCATCACTTTTTCTTTGCTGTTGCTCTTCTTAGGGTTATGCCCGAATGCATTTGCTTTCGTGATGCTCCCCAAAGATTGAAATTATGTTGTCGATCTAGGAGCAATGTCGCCTGTTTTCCTCAGTTAGATATCATTGTATCGACAATCGGCTGAAGGGTAGGGTTTATGGCAAGATACAATGGCACTACCGCTGCGCATTTACACTTGTGTGGTCTATCTTTATCGCGGGTTCTGACAACATTTTCTCTGTTTCGACAATGAGATTGAGATTCTCAATCCTGTTGATTCATTTCCCTTTCTTTTTCCATTTCTCTATTCATTCATGTGCGTGGTACAATAACGAACAGAGCTTACACTTGAAGAAGAAAGGCAGGAGCCAACAAACAGCTCACTGCTCTATACTATGAGCTCCCCCCTGACCTCATGCATGTGGTGGAAGAAGACCTTTCCAGTTTTCACTTTTGCCAAATAATTTTCCATGAGGAGAAAAATGTGCTTGCAGTTGTTGAAAACCTTTTTTTTCTTTATATGGATTATTACGCTAATGTTTAGCCATCTTTATGTTGTTCAATAGGCTAATCAAGCTTCTCAACCAAGAGCTAAATCCCCGAAAATAACAGTGAATGCCATTCCATCTGGCATCTATAAGTTTCTATACTAGCTAATGCAGTTATACAGTATTACAAGCACACCTCAGGGATTTTTTCTTTTTTTGGTGAACTACCATCTTCTATTTACAAGCTTTGATTAAAAGATAAAAAGCCTCTCAAACACATGGTAAAACCTAGAAGAGAAAAAAATGGTCGATAATACTGTCGGACATCAAGGGAGTTACATCCTCCTTCGTATGATATCCATCTTGTCGTCGTATGTGCTTAACAGGATGGAAAGAAACCTGGCCTCGCCATTGCACGGACTACTGTTTCTGGCGTTCTTGATGAACATGTTCATGCCATCATACAAAAGGCTTACATGAATGACATCGAATGATGAAGAATTTCATATCAAATGAAAGCTTGCAGTAGCTATCCCCAATATGAAAACCTATTGTCAAATGAAAGCAAGTGCAGAGACGCCATCAGGGAGACAAAATATTTAAGCCAACGTGCATTGAAAATACGGCAAAAGCAGCACTTGAGAAACAGGGTAAATAAACAATAGTAGAAGACTATCCACATTAAGCCATGCTCAAACCACAGGACAAAAGGATGCCAATGTCTCTTTCAAGGTAACACTATGACCAAAGACAGGAGAGGACTAATTTCAGGAAAATTTAGGCTCACATACCAATTCCCAAGAAGATATATCTGCGATCAGTTGTTGCAGCCTTCCTTCACATTGCAATCTTTACATCTGGATATCGGCACAATAACATTTTGAAGGTGCTAAAGAAAACGATGATTTAGCACTTATCATCAGTTTAGACCACCAATATTTTCCAACTTTCAGTTAACGTCAGATAATCATCTTTAAAAGGTGGCAGAATCAGATCATAATTACAAACTGGATAAATGGCTGTAGAAAAAGTTCTGAGCGCACAACTCCAGAACAAAACCAGAAAAAGCAGAAGGATTTATTTCTGATACGGTTCCAGGACAACAATTTCTGATATTGCATATGAAAAATAATGCAAACCACTGTAACCTATGGCGCAGGAAAGAATCACGTTGAGTTTAGAAGTATGAACAGAGGCACCTTTTCTGGCACTCTTTGCAGTCAGAACTCAAGAACACTTCCTGCAGGGAACAAAGGAGAAAAATTAAACACTGATGGTCCTGGACCATCTCACACTCCACCCCAATGAGAAATATGTCATAAAACAGCAAAGGGGGTATCGCAAATAGAGAAGACAATTCAAAGGCATAGAAGCACCAACAATTTGTGCTTTAAAAGCAAAAGCATATATAACAGGATCTACAAAACAAAGGTCCATATGACAAATTATTTCCTAGACACCCTTTAATTAAAATATTTGGGTCAGAAAAGGCATGAGTGCAACATGATGGTTTCATTTGACCTTTCTTTGACAACCAACGACATAGTAAGACATGTAATATCTGCTACTAACTGTAAAGTAAAGAAAAAAAGTCATGGCATCTAGCTTAATCTTAAACATAGTTCTTGAGACAGGTGCGGTAAAAAAAATCCCCCAAGTGAAAACATGCATTGCAGTACTTTTTCTTACTCAAACAATTATATTCTGAATGCTATAAAAGCAAAAGTGCATTGCCAACTTACAAGAATCAGGTCACCAGCTGCAAGACCTGTCTTCTTCATCGCAATTATTCATCAGAGTGCTGCTATAGTTGAATCAGCGCAATCAAGGGCACCATTCATTTTCGGGATCACATGGAGTGATAGGTTACAGAGTCCAGCTTGCAATTCAGCCCGTGCGATGAGTGAATTAACCACATCTCTAATCCCTTCAACTACTGGAAAAAATAGACTCCAACAAGCTTAATTGGTTTGAAGAGAATGATGGCACCTTCTTCTTGACCAATGTCATGACCATCCTAGCCTTGTCAATCTTCTCATTCTTCTTTAAGGCAATAAGTAGCGCAGAAATAGAGTCTACGCTCAAGAACCAGTTCTTTCTCATACAGGCAGTACACATCTTATATGCCAAATCAAGCTCCCCGCCCTCACACAAATAATGTACCATTGTCTGGTATATTTTAACATTGGGCTTAAACCCCCTTCCATGCAATGCAGAATATACCCTTTTTGCCATCTCAGGATATCCAGCCTGGAAAAAACCTTTGATAACTAAGTTATAAGTAATCTCATCTGGTATGATGCCAACTCTTTCCATTGAAAGCATAAGATCATTTGCTTTCCATGCTTGTCTCCTGTTCACCAAATACTGTATCCTAACATTAAAAGTTGCAAGATTTGGTAAGCAACCCTTAAGTACCATAAGGTTCCACAAACCGTTACTGATTTCTAACCTGTTCTTTCTGTAAAATGCTGCAATAAGTGTAGTGTATGTGATAACATCTGCCCTTATTCCCAACTTTTCCATCTGCACCATGATTGAAAATGCCTTGTCCAAAATCTCCATTTCACAAAAGGCCTTAATGACAATGTTCATTGAATATGTATCTAATTCTATATCATACTTCTCAGGAACCTCATTCAGAAATGTCTCGATTGCTGCTATGTCCCGGGCTCCTGCCAAAACTTTAAGTGCAGCATTGAAAGACTTGGCAGTCCTTCTACACTTATAAAAATGCATATCATAAAAGGTATTGATAGCATGCTTAGCCATCCCAGCCTTCCCATACAACATTATTATCCTTACGATGAACCCTTCACGTCGCCCTTGTGGAAGGGACTTTTGTTGCTCAAGCAACTCTTCAATGTAATCAAATCGTCGAGCACCAGCTAAGCGAGAAACAGTGTCTTCAAATGCAAACCGATTCTCAATGACAAGCCTATTTCTAGCATTGGCCTTGAAAAGATCAAATAGCTTTTCAGGATCTCTCTCAGCCTTAAGCTTAACAAGAGCAGGTTCCTCCAATGGTTTTTGCTTCATGATGGGATAAGATACAGCAGTACAGTTTCCAGTTGAGGCAACAGCAGCAGAGCAATGGAAAAATCTGCGAACAGATCTCAGTGAGAGCATGTTCTGGATTGTTCTTTAAGTAGATTCATATCCATGCAAGCTCAACGTTCTAAGGATCAGTGCCAGAAACTCTTCAGTAGGCATTTAAGAAACAAAAATCTGGAAGACATACAAGCCAAATCAATTACCATCGAGACTCCATCAAACTAATGCATGACCATCTATGAAGCATCATCAAACTATCGTTAGTTAATCAGGTCTGTCCGACACAAAAAAATTGAGTCACGCACAGAATTCAGGAAAAAAAAAACTATTTTCCACTAAAAAATATAAGTCTAACCTTCCAACCCCAAGAAACCCTAAATAAAGCACTAGTTCAAGTAGCCTTTGCATTAAACCCACAACACAATCCTCCCTCTCTCTGAAACCCTTACATCAAACTACTCAGTTTGATTCAATTACATGCTACACAAACACTAACAACTACATTCCACTCAAATATAAGTCTTAACTTCCTCTCGCCAGCCTACATAATAAAGCACCAGTCGAGTTGCCGCAGCAGTACTTTGCAAGCAGCTGGCATGGGCTTAGAACTGCAAGTCCTAATAGCCACCTAAGGTAACACACCAGTGATTAAAAAAACTAAAAACAACTCTCCCTTTCCTTGAAACCCCTTCATTAAACTACTCAGTTGGATTCAATTCCCTACAGAATTCAACGTAAACACTCATAAATTACATCCAAGAACACAACTTTTCAACCACAGACATGAATGCACACAAGCCCAGCAGCCCAAAAATCCTACGCGATTCATTCTAGCCAGATTAAGCGATTCTCCCAATAGAACAGACCACAAAAACAAGACAGGACAAAAAAAAAAACAATTCCAGATCCAATACACTTCGTAACCAATCGAAATCACAGGAGCAACCCATTCGAACGGAAACGGCAAAAGGGGCTCCAGATCCAAACATGGGTAAGGCCAAAGACTGAACCTTTAGGGCAGAGGCGCCGCCATGAGGACGAAGGAGCGAGAGATCGCCGAAGGAAATAGCGGCGGCGGCTCCAGATGAATTGCTGTTGCTGCCAGGAATCAGAGAAGAAGAAGACTGGTTGAAGAGTCTGCTGCTTCCGCGACCACCACCAGGCCTCAAGCTCAACACTGTCTGATCACCTTGCTGCATACCTTGATTAAATCTCCGTTGTCCGATGAAAGGAAAGACGCACACACCCTCTTTCTATTCCTCTGACGCTCTGTTCGATTCAGCTGGAGCTGAACCAGGTGGAATCAAAGCGAAGACTTCTCTGACGAATTAGATTTCGTTGCGATTGGGTTCGGGATAGGGGGAAGAGGCTTTCCGCTCTTCGCTTGTTCTGTAGTCCGTGGGGTTGGTTTTCTCTCTCTTCTGCCACGAAGAGAGGGAAGAAAGCGAGCTTGTGAGATGAAGGAGGCCGGTGGAGATAAAAAGGGCCCAAACCCTTCTTAAAAGAGAGAAGCTTTGTTTCTCTTCTGGTTTTTCTTTGCCCTCTCAGACTTTGATTTGGTTCACATTTTCACCTCGGATTTGGATTTTGGAGTGATTTTTTTCTTACTTCCAAGTCCTAGGTGGTCGTGGATGAATTTAGTACACTAATAAAAATGTGCATTGATAAAATATATGATGGTAATAAATATATAATTAAGGTGACTACTTCGGTGCACTCATTAAAATGAGTGCGTTTAATGCACCCAACTCAAAATCTAGTCTTAAGGTGTTGGATTTTGAATTTTAATTTGTGGAATTAGTATAATATGATGATATAACATATGATAACAACTAATTAGCGGATTACCCTAAGCCCTAGACCTCCAATTTTGAGTTCTATCCCTAAACCCCAAATTGTAAACCCTAACCCTAACCCTAAATCTCTAAACTCTAAATCCTTCAAATTAAAGTAAATCTTTAATGGTTTTTGTGCAAATTCATGTGCGTTATTGTTCATCACATCATAAGTGATGATTGACATCATTTTCACATAAATCGCATGTTTAAAATGACGATTATGAAGCGAGTGCACTGAATGCACCCAAAATATTGAGTGCACCGAAGACGCCACCATATAATTAATATTGATCTCTAACGACAACGTTATGTTTACTCTTTTTTAAGAGTTTTATTCAAATTAATTACAATTTGTATTGTGTCGTGCTCGTGCTTATAGTTAGTTAAGCGTGCTTTTATATGGCTTACGTATCGCGTGTATGATGGAAAGTTCATATCTTTGCTCTCGATTCCACTAACGGAACAAAAGTACAATCATGCACATCGCATACGAGAGTAGGAAACCCCGATCATCTTCACCGAGTAAAGGATCATATATGAAGTTGGTTGGTTAGCGAACCAACGATGAATAGGATAGAGACTGTATTGTCATTATACGGTCAACTCTAGTTGTATCATGACGAGAAACTTAGTGATGGGAGGAGTGATAAGATACTCATTGGCGTTACGAATGACAACTCAATCATTTTGGGTTATCACCAGGAGAGAAAAACACCTAGCATCGTTGCTTCAATTGTATTACCTTGAACCATCTCCTCTTATAAGTTATAACCTTCATTGGCGTTAGAGAAATTTATCCTACCAAAGCGTCATGACTCATGAGCTTGATGGCTAACATACTACTCCGTGTTTATAGAAATATATCATTATCTTTTCGAAATGCCCAAACAAGATAAATAGTTAAGGAAATTTTTGTTATGGTTACACAAATTGAATCTATCTCATATCATTGGATACTGATATATTTTACCTTGAAAGGAAAAGATATCAAATATCGAGCTAAGTTGGGATTAACCACCTAATGGCGATGGATTTTGTTAAAAAAATGAAAACATTGAAACGAAATCTCACCTACAATAAATGATATTTCGAAATCTAACAAAATTTACACTCAAAAGTTGATTTAAAAACAATACATAACATAATGTCTTCAAACTTAAAGCATATTGGGCTATGTATAAGTTATCCGTTGATGAGATCTGAATTAATGGAACATTCTAAATTGAGTCAAATTCACAGTTCAATCATCTCTTTTTTCTTTGCTGTTGCTCTTCTTAGGGTTATGCCCGAATGCATTTGCTTTCGTGATACATTCATGTGCGTGGTACAATAACAAACAGAGCTCACACTTGAAGAAAGAAAGGCAGGAGCCAGCAAACAGCTCAATGCTGTATACTATGAGCTCCCCTCTGATTGGAACAAAGAGCTCCCACATGAATTAAACTCTAAAGTGGTAAACCTAAAAACAATATACATTTTTACTGAGATGCAACAGGAGTAAACTATGGATCGATTTCATCTCTGCCGGAGTGGTGGAGGGAAGTGTTGGTTAGTAATTGAAGTTTGTTCTGGGTTGATACTTGATCAGGTTCACCATTGATGTGTTCTTGTAGTCAACATTGCTTGGTTTTCCAGAGCCTGTCTCATTTGTATCAAATGTGTCCTAATGCTGCCCTCTTCTATCTATAAATCCAACAAAAAAATGCAGAAGATGAATGAATTTAAGTGTTCCCCGGAGCAAAAGAACTCAGACATGGGCACTCGATTCGTTTAGAGTAGTTCAAACTCTCACCTGCATGGCTGCTGTTGATGCCAATACGGCTTCACATTCAGCAAGCATTGATTTCTCTCGTGCTGATATGATTGCAAGATCTGTAACAAATCGATTCATTGCCTCCGCCTGCAATGCAAAGTACACTATTCCATGGGTTCATCCGACAAAATTGTTGATCATTGAAATGAAATGCTAGAGATTTTGATGGGAAGGGATGAGGGTTAAAGTAGTTTACCTTGGAGAGCAAGTAACATATGGAAGATCCCATTGCCTGCATTACATCAACGGCTGAGCAAACAGCAAGCTTTAGGGGTTCTAAATCTGCCTGGAAGAAAGTTAAGGGAGAAAGAAAGGGTTATGGTGAGTCTAGCGCCCAGAAGTTTCCAAAAGGAAAGCTATCCATTTGTTTGCAAGAAAAATATGATACCTTTGCTCCTCCAGCCACCGGAAGGCGAAGAGTGCTTGCCTCCAAATCGTCAACAGCTCCCGTTAGTGAGCTAATGTGGTCTCTTTCAAGTAATCCCCAATCATCTAGGTATGCCATCTGAAAGAAAAGGAATGCTTCATTCCATCAGTTACAAAGTGGAAACAACTAAAGAACTTTTGCAGATTGAAAAACATGCATTCGATCATGGGATCTTACTTGATCGTTTAAGATTGCATTTAACTTGAGCTCCAACTTCTGTTGCTGTAGATCAATTCTCTTCCGAATTACTGTATCCCAAAGCGATTGCGTAGTATTCCATACGTCGCATAAAGTTGTCTGCAAACATCAGAACAAGCTCTGCATGAACTTAAGTGTCATTGAAGATCAGGATATGCATAAGTCTCATAAACAAGTCTGGTTCTTATTCCTTGGGTCAATTACCGATTTGTCAGTAACTAAAGAGTTTCATTGACCGACCCCTTTCTCCCCCAAATTCCCTAACTATGTCGACATTCATTCTAGTCAAGAATGAATTCCTCAACAAGAAACTTGATCTCTAAGAAGTACAGTGTGTGTGTGTAAGCTTCACCAGCAAGAAATCTAGCAATGTACCTCAGTGTTCACGTTCTGAACGTAAAGAACAGCCTCTTGTTGAGCATTAGCAAACCTCCACTGCAAGAACCGGTTGTGAACCAGCCTCAACTGATGTGCATCTTCAATGTAGCTAGCACTCCTCTTCCCTCTCTTGTAATCTGTTATAAAACTCAGAACTGAATTCGAACCAAAGGCTGACGATGAAGATAAAGGACTCGACACTGCCCCCCGAGACGGACTAACTCCCCTTGAAGAAGGAGGCGTGGATGGTCTCGTTCGACATGGACTCCCACCTCTACTCCCCACCCCCGAGCCCAAGCCCTTGCTTGGTGACGCTGGCCTCGAAGACCTAGGGCTAGGCAACGACGAGTGAGTCCTCACTGAGGGTAGATACACCATTCTATCAGGCAAATTGGCCGAAACCAACTTCTCCGTTCTCGATAACTGCTCCAGAACCTCATCGAACGCCTTCATCCCGGGCTTCTCCTTCTCATCCTCTGGCGAATACATTCGAGTCGCAGCATCACTAGACGATTTCTGCAAAGGCCTGCCCACGTTCACATTGGTGTCACCACCATCATCATCAGGCAATCCTAAGGACTGCATCTTCCTGAGGGTGGAGGTCCCAATTGGAACAACTGAAGGAGTGGCTAAGCCTCTCATTGACTTGATATCACTAAGATCAACACTCTTGTTCATGGACATCGAATTCGCTCTCCCACTAACCCTACTTGGCCATCTATGCTGATCAATCATCTTCGTCGTCGTACGTAAGCTATGATCTACTGCTGCTGGTCTAGCATTCTCAGACTGATGATCACGTTGTGATGAAGAAGAATTCCTGCCTCTCAGAGGGCTCCTTTTCCTCTCCGGCGTCTGCTGCTGCTGCTGCTTCCTCGATTCGACATGTTTCGGAGAAGCTACATTGGAGGATGGCTTCAACGTCCGATCAATTGGCTTCTCCTTCTCTTTCTCCTTCTTGCTCACCGGAATCGAAATGCTATCAGACTGAAATGACACACTGAGACTTCTCATCGTGGAAGGCCACAAGCTCTCCGGCAACCGAGCCCCACCGCCACCAGTACTCAGCCTCCTAGCACTAGCCGTCGCCTGAGCTTCGACGGCGGCGGAATCCTTGACCGGAGTGGACGCCGTGCGAGGCGAAATTGGGGTGGGAGATGGCCGTCGGCGCTCGGCGGATAGGGCTCTCTTGGGAGAGGATGAAGGAAGTACTCTGGCGACGGAGACATTTGGGGAAGGGAACCGGCGCGCGGCGCCGGCGGCCGTGGTGGTAGAAGGAGATGATGGGGTTGGGGATTTGTACCTGGCGTTAACATCTCTCCTTGGACGGCGAGTGGCGACGGCGGCGGGCGGTGGCGCGTTGCGGTTCCTTTCCGCTGGTGCTAATGGGAGGCGTTTGGCCGAATCTAGAGCTACGATCTTCCGCGATTCAAAAACTTCCATCCCGATAATTATTTCAACAATTAACTTCCCTAAATCAGAACCCACATTGATCGGGAAATTACCATAAAAATCGGCGATTTCCCTTTTCTTCCCTTTCGCCTTCTTCAAGCTTCCCGCATTGAATCAAACTGCAGAAAGCTCCCTTCCTTCAGTTCCGGGAAGTAAATCTGCAGCAGAAGGAGAGATACCCGTCAACAAAATTGAAGAAAGAGGAGCATCGCCATTAAAAGGGGGGGAAATGAAAAGCAGAGCAGAAAAAGGGGGAAAAAGATTGCAGCTTTATAGATTACCCAGATCTGCAAACGATCAAAACTCCAATTGGGTACCCGAATTCCATCGAGAAACCGCCCGATCAAGCGGTGAAAACAGGAATTGGCGGCAATGCAGAGGCAGTTTTGTTGGGCGATGAAGCAGAGAAATGCGGGGTGTGGAAGAAGAAGAACTTGTTGGAAATTAACGGTATAAGGAAGAAGAAGGAGAAGAAGGAAAAAAAAACCTGTAGCTTTCTTTGGGGTTGTTTTTTTCCGGTTCTGGTAGCAATCAGAATCGCTGGCCTTTGTTGGGTAGCCAGCGGGAAAGGAATGAAAGGTCCACCTCGGGAAGAAAATGGTGGGGAAGGAAGGGAAGAAAGGAAGAGGAGTGACTAACAACTAGCGAGCGACCACTGTGATGGAGATTGTACAGGATAGATAAGAAGAAGCAGGGTAAAGTAAAGTGAAAAGAAAGGGAAGAAGAGATGGTGCGTAGGATAAGTGATGGAAAGAGAGAGTGGACATGGAAGAAGGGATAGAGGGAGCGAGCTTCCTCTTTCTTTCTCCTTTTACTGTTTGTTTACTCTGTTTTTACAATTTTTCCTCTGTGGATTCTCAATTACTCTGTTTTTATTCCTTTCTTTCTTTCTGGCTTCCTGCCATATTTTGTAGTGTACTTTCTCACGGGATTCCATGGCTAGCTAGCTGGTCTGGCAACACACAACAGGATCACCCACTCTCCCCTGTTCTTTACCATTTCGCTCCGAGAAGTCACGTAAACTCGAATTCATCACGACCCAAGAATTACGCTATAACTTCGGTTAGATAGTAGGAAAGAAGAAGTTACTTCTTTTAATACCCATGTCAAATAGTTTAATTTCGCACTAATTCATGCTTCTTACCCTTCTACTTGGTTACGGAAAAATCAAGTAAAACTTGAATTCAACAAGACCACGTAAGAATTACACTAATATTTCAATTAAATGATATCGAAGAAGTTACTTCTTGTAGTTCTCATGTTACATAATTGAATTATCCACTCTTACTCGTTTTTTTCGCCTCATTACTTGATTCGAAAAAGTCGCATAAACTCGAATCCACCACCTAAACGTTTTCTATAAATGTCATTAATGGAACCAAAACTGTGACCTCCAATTTGTATCAAGGCAGTTACTATTTGTCTCCTACATGGGAGTTTTTCTCTTTTCAACTTCCAAGTCCCATCATCCCTACACCAAATTAAAAAAAAAAATTGCTCCATGCTTCTCAAAAAATGACAAAAACCTTGTCTAAAAAACTACAGTTTGCTCCATAATTCAGCAGCAATACTGACAAAGATTGAATCATTATTGATGAGATTACAAGCTCCCTCCTTTATCAAAACCCAGAAACCAAAAAAGCTAATCATTAGAGCGGCCCAAAAGGTTAAGAAACAGGGGTGATGGAATTGAAATTATATTATGGACAAGATTTGGAGTTGCAGAGACTGCAGAAGAGGCTGGCTATTGTTCTTGGAACAAGACGGTGGATGGACCACGTGGAGGAAAGATCACTGTCCATCCCCATGAAAATTTTTATCAATAATTTAATGAAAATTTTGTGCAGACAAGCTTCAATACGGGTTAAACAAAACCTCCCACAGAAGATGGATTCCTCGAAGCATGAAAGATGGGGATTATTTTATTTGGTTTAGAGCTCTCTTGAGATTCAAATACGGACAAATTGTTCAAGGTTCTTAATTGGAGGGGAACGAGAATCAACGAATTAAAAACAGAGGAAATCACCCCCCGCCATTAATGAAACTCTGTTTTAGAAGTTAAATCTCTCTGCTTCTGTTACAGAGGAAAAACAGAGACCGACAGAATGAAGGGTATCATTCAATTCACCGCAGCTTCTGTAATTCTTTAATCTTTACTGCTCACAGTTCAAATTCGAATTTTCAAATTAATCGAGGTAATCGATGCCTTAAATTCTTTAAAAAAATTCTACAGAACTTCAAATTGAACTCGATAGAAGATTTGAAAGAAGTTCTGACCTGGGAATCGGGCGGAAGGCGGGAAAGTTTATGAATTTGATCGCTGGCGGGTTTGCTTCAATCGACGGTGAAAGAGACGAGGAATCGAGATCTCGCCGGAAGGAGAGAAGGACGAACAGGGGCGGCGTCGGTTTTTTTTTTGTTTAGAGGGCAGGGGAAGAGATCGGAGGATACCCCGGCGGCGGCGGCGGCGGTGTTTTAGAGAATGGGTTTTAGAGAGAGACAGAGAAACAGAGTTTGAGAGAGAATTTATGCAGTTTGAATGGAAGATTCAGAGAAGAAAGAGAAGCCGGGGGCGGGTGAAGAAAGGAGGCGGAGGTGGACGGTTTTTCAGTTGAGAAAAGACGTTATTTTCGCGCCACCTAATTTGTTTTTAATGAATTCAATGAAAACCCTATTTAATTGCCTTTCGATGTGGACTTTATTTTTTGGTCCATTTTTCTCCATAAATATGTGAAATACACAAAGGTATGTAGGAGTGGGCAATGATTCAATACACACCGATTCTATTTGTTTCGATAGTTGGATTGAATTGAATCGAATCATACTGAATATATTTCAATTTGGTTCGATTTTATAAATTATCTTAAGCATAAAAAAGTGTATAAAATTAAACCAAATATGTCGATTCGATTTGATTCTGGACCAAATCGATCGGTGTTCATCCCTAAAGGTATAACAATACACAAAGTCAACCTAACCAGCTAATGGGACTAATAGATATCCACTCGAAAACTCGATAGATTAGAGGTATGCGTATACTTTGTTGACAGCTCCTAATCAAACTGCGTTAAACTATCACGAGAAAATGGAATTCCCATATTGCATGAGCCAAAAGAGTCACTACACGGTGTTATTTTTAGGGTCTTTAATTAAGAGGAGGAGTACAATTGGTAGGAAGTCCACGATACTAAAGATACTTAATCCGACTTGTACAAGAACCGATAGACTAGTACTTTTGCATTAAACCAACCAAGAAACACATCTATGTAGACCCATTGTTAAGAATAATTCTACCTAATGACCTAGTCATTATACTTGTAATTAACTAAACTCCACTCTAGCAAGAAGCCATGATTATATCTTCCTCAAGTTGATTCATATACAAAACACCAAAGATGACATGAGCTCATTCCCTCTACTTGACACCTTCTCATTGCCTCCATTACAAACCCTTTTGGTCCCCAATTTTAACATGGTCATCATTGACCATGCTTTGATTAAAGTTAAATAGAGATGATTAGGAATCTTAAATTTACATGATGAAGCCTTCATCTTTTTTGGAGGCTATTGCTTTGGCCACAAATGTTAAGTGTCCGACTTCCCAAACAAACTTATTATAATTATTAAGGTTTAGGAGGAGAGGGAAGTAATGACAATAGCAATACTAATATTCATCAATTATTATATGATGTTAAGGTTATCTTCTTCCAATCCATAGAGATCTATATTCATCAACATGTTTTCTATACATCACACAAAAAATGTTACATGAAAACACTACCAACTTGATAGATAATAGTTTGTAAGAGCTCATTGGCTCATACATGCTAATGTGTTAAGCAAATTGCATAGATGAATTAAATGTACAATGTGAAAGTCATGAGATTCAGATTGGAAAGAAAAGAACGATTATGTATCGATCTGATCAATCAAAATATCGAATTGGATTATTAGTACATTGTGTGTGCTCAATTGTATCGGTGAAGTGGATCGGCCTGTAAATTGATGACCTTAACTTTCAGGTTGACAGTACCTGTTATCGCTGGATCACTTTCTCTAATTTTCTTAAAAGATCCTATTTGATTGACATGGAAGAAGGTGGATTTTTGTAAGTTTCGGGATTCAAACTCGTTGTTGAAGGCTCCAAGGACCCCGAAAGAGCTCAAATCTTCCCCTGTACAAGGAAACTTATCGAATCCCGACAAGCTACATATTTATCTTTTCAACACTACATCTAGACTACCTCTCTATAGTACGTCTCTAGTTCTCTACCCAATCCTATAATTATATGTCCCGTACTTGACTTTGATCGCTACTCCTCGAGTAATTTTTTAGATGAAACAACAACAACCCGATTCCAACAAGACATTACTTACCTATGTTCATATGATATCAACATAGGTCCCCCATGTTTTTTACTTCCTTTTCTTAGGGATCAAGTATCAACCCTAGTCCCATAGTTTATCACATAATTTTCTTCAATGTGAAATGCTTACTGCTTAATTAGACAAATTTCTTAGTTCCCACGATGAAAACAATGCACATATATATATATATATATATATAGGTGTCCTTTTACAGAGAGTGTTTTTCCTAAGTACATCTACATAATGGAGAAAACAATTAAGACAAAATAATTAATTGGGTGGATATTTCAATGTAGGCTTTTTTTTGTTTTTCAGTTTGTTTATGTGTCTCAATTTGACTCCCATCTTTGTTCTTATCTGCCCTCTTTTTCATCTCTCTGTTTCACACCTAATTGTTTGCTTTGTTAGGTTTGTCTTTGTTAGCCAAACTCCATCAAACTCTCATTTCATTGACTAAAAAACAAAGTGTAAATGTTTCCCACTAACTACAGGGATCAGTTTATGAACAAATCATGAATTAGGGTTCCATCTTGATTGATTTTCCCGCCATATTAATGGATTTGTGAATGAATGTTGTATAGACTTTTAGACATATCATGTGGTGATGTTGCTTTTTCTGCCTCCTCCCCTTTTCTTTTGTCATACTTATTGTCCATGTATTTGCTTAAGAAGTTAAAATTTGTCTTTTCTTTTTAACACCTAGTTAATTTGGTTTCTCATAATATTTTGATGATTTATAATTGGGGTTTGACCAGTTGAGGTAAATCTTGTGATATCACATGATATGCTGGTAAGTTGTACAAGTTGAATCACGTATTGATAGCCAAGCTATTATACTTAATTATCCATATTATAACATCTTTATATAATTGTATTATTGCGTATTTATTATACATGTGATCGTTAGTCTTATGGATTTGCTCTCTCATATGTTTTCACAATCCCGGATTTATGTAAGTGAAGGGGGTAATGTGGTGACACAAGGCAGTAAATTATTTAATTTACTAGTGGATCACAACAACATTTGATTTGATTATCAACACAACAAAGTAGGGAAGAATAACACATTTTATTTTAATTTAAGTTAGAAGTTAAAAGGACAAAAATCAACATGATTTCTTCCCCAATTAGAAGATAAATTTGAGGGCATGTGCAAATCAATGATTGTGGTCAAGCCCATGCCCAAAAGTTATTCCATGCTCTTGCATTTCTTCTTTTTGGTTTAGAACAATATATTAATTTTTTATAATTTTTCCCCAAATAAGATATGCTCTTGTTGATCTTTGCCCCAAATCTTCCTCCCTTGAAAACTCTAGAGGGAATTAGAAAAAAATTCAATATATATTTCATGCAACATTTCAATAATTGTTACTTATGGATCTGAGGCAGGAAAAAAGAAGAGAGAAAAAAGAGAAATTTCTATCACTATAAGACATGTTCAATTATTTCTGCATTTGTCTGGAAACATTACACCTGCACTTCCCTTGTACTGGATTCAAACTGCAACATTCTGCTCTCAAGGGTGACATTTGAACCTTGCCTGTTGGATCATAGGAGGCATTTCTCTAAGGCTATGCTTAGAAATCGTCATGATTCGCATGTGTCACGGTACAGATATTCAGACACGAATAGTGTGGAGAAAGATGAAACCCTCAAGGTCTCTTCTTACAGACTCTAATTACTCAGGCAACAAAGTGACCAAGAAAAGCTAGGCTGCCAGCAAAATTTTGGTTGATCTGGTCTTTCACCGATTCCATGGCATAGCTGGGGTGATTCCTCAGTGGAGATAAGGGATTTGTTAAAGCAGCCATGGAAAGGATCCTGAATTCTCTGCAAGTCTTTGAGAAAAAAAGGTGGGATGAAAAGGCAAAGTTGTGGTCTTTCCAGCCATGGTCTGGATCTAAACAGGCTGCAAAGAAGGAAGCAAAGCAAAATAGGATTGATTCCCGAATGCAGGCAAAAGTAGCAAATGATCAAAACTAAATTCTGACAGAATGGAAAGGAACCATACTGACCAGTATTAATGCATAGTGAGCTACCAGATTGGAGGTAAGAATTCGATGCCTCTTCGATTTGCCCTGAGCTATGTATAAAGTTTCCGGTTAATCCAGGCTGGCTTTTCAGTACTTTACAAACCCGGCTCGTTCGGCTTTGCCCAAGACCAAGTCCATGTCTTCAGGGAACAAACAAAAGTTCTTTGCCACTGCAAATCCAGCCTGCATTCCGTCAACTGCTGCACTTACGATTCCACCTGCATACCCCGCTCCTTCACCAACAGGGTATAGCCCTTTTAATGATAGGCTCTCGTAGGACACGTCCCCACGAGGGATCTGTACTGGAGAGCTGGTTCTTGTCTAACAAGAAGGAAACGAGAGAGCCAATAGATCATAAATGTGAGTAACTAACCAACTGTGATGCCAAAATAAGAAGAAAGCCAGAGTGCAGTGAGAAAGATACCTCTACACCATGGAGAAGGGCTTCCTCCGAAATGAATCCTGGTAACTGTAAATGAAACACATAGTTCAGATTATTGATGAACTCAACTGCATAAGATTTGGAACACATCTGAAAGTGAAAAAGCACAGTGAAGATAAGTTGAACCTCTTGGTTGAACATTGAGATCGAACGCTTCAATGCTTGTGTAATATGAGAAGGAAACAACTCATGGAGATTGGCTTCCTTGACTCCTAACCGATAACTTGATGATGGTAAAGATGTTCCTGGACAACATGAGGCATACTCGAGTTAATGAACAATTGAAAGTCAAACATATAGCTTTTCATTTTCTTCCTCCTCCATGCACTTTAACTAGAAGTTCAAGCAAATTCCAAAAACACTTCCTCACAACTAGAAATAATTCCAACTCATTTTACAGTTCTACACAAAGTCTTAGAACAAAGAAACCAAGAGGGTACCAGATAACTTGTTGTCCAGAAAGTCGGTAACTCTCTGCACAGGCACCACAAAGTCTTGCTCTCCCATTAAAGCCGCTCTTCGCTCAAATTCCCTCTGAAAATCAGGACATTGTTATGAATTGAGATAATGATATTCATTGTTTTAAGATGGAACGTTCTAAACATACTAAAGGTACAAGGAATAGATTGTTTTATACCTGAAACTCAACTCCTGCAAGGGGTCCATGAAAGCTCAAGGTCTCGAAATCTTGTTTCGAAACATTAACGACAAGTGCAGCATTTGCCCACTTAGAAGCACGACGAGAAAATGACATACCATTGATGCAGAGTTCCTTAGGATTTGTGCTGGTAAGAACCACCTGCAACCACAATGTTTGCATGCTCAAACGACAAACTGATGTCTTTTAAGGCAATGTTGTTTTATACAACCAAAGCACACCTGTCCACCAGGGCACATGCAGAACGAATAGCAGCTGCGCTCCGAGGGTACTGAATTTGAGGAAATGTCGCCATTCTCTGTGCTGACAACTCCTGCAACCTTGTAATCAGCAACAGGTACTTTGCCACGTCCACTTTGAACCTCAGTGGCCAAGCTAGAATACTACATAAGAAGTGCAAAGTTTATTGCATAAGCTTGTCAGCAAACATATAAACTTTCAAAATGTGGTAACCAACAAATTAGTTCATCAGAAAATAATTTGCATCACGGACCTGTATGTTGTTGATTAGCACTTGAGGATGCTCAATCCGAAAACCAACCTGTTTAACCAAGCTGGTTACTCCTCAATGTGAAACAGTTTTGCAAATATCGATGATTTTGGATGGAAGTTCATGCACCAAAACAAGCACAAGTCACTTGCTTGAATAGCCAAATAAATCATTCACAAGTGGCTTCTCTTCCCTAGAGTCAAGATGATTGCTGGGTAATATACTATGTATTTTGTGCATTAATAACCGTCTGCAGATTCTTTTTACAAATTCCATAAAAATTGGAAAAAGGAAAGAGAATAGTGAACTTACTGCAAAATCTTTGGGAACTAGATCAACATTATGAGAAAGAAGCATCTGGTAGATATCCCTCGCAGAATGTCCCACAGCAAGAACCACTGCATCGCATCTAAATCTCTCTGGTGGCAACTGGTTTCGAGAATCAGAAAGTTCAACTCCCACGACACAATTGTTCTCTACTATTAGATCATCTACCCTAGTTCCAAACCTGACAGAAACCTTTTTTCACCATGGAAAGAAATGCACATTCAGAAAAATATGACCACAATAAAAAATCTAACAGGCACTTGTATAATTATATCCAGAAACTTACTCCAAGCTCAAGCAGATGTTGCCTAAAGTGTCGGAGCAATGGAACAAGCCGATCAGTTCCTAAATGGGGCTTCCCGTCGACTAATATGTTATTAGGAGCCCCAAAGTGAACCAGAGTTTTCATAGCCTGAGATAAAAGATAAAGAAACATGTGTGAGAGTCCATGCGATATGACCTAAAACATGTAAATATCCAGAGGAAGAGCTGTAATCCATTTCATAAGAGGAATATGTTTCTCACAGCTAAGACACTATCGCTGTTCCTTCCAATTCTCGTCACTAGCTTCCCATCACTCCAAGTACCTGCGCCACCCTGCCATTCTTAAGTCCTTAATCAACAGAACAATAGACTCCACCTGATATCATACGAACAAGCAAATTGTGCGCAAGAAAATGGCCAAACTAAGCAAGAACAAACCTCGCCAAAGCAAAAGTTGCTTTCAGATTCCAAGATCCTGCGAACGACCAAAGCACCAATGTCACGACCCCTTTGCTCAACGGGCTGACCTCTTTCCATTAAGGTAACATCTGCACCAAGCTCAGCAAGAACAAGAGAAGCAAACAAGCCAGAAGGACCGCCACCAACAACTGCAATTCTCGGCCTGTCTTTTCGACTTCCACACTTGACCAACCCCGAAGATCCATTACTGGAACCATTATCATGATCTCCACTTCCAGAAGATGCCTGTACCTCCTCTCCTTTTCTAGCATGCCTTATTATACTAATCAGGTCGCCCGTCACTCGTCCTTGAGTGATATGATCTATAAGTCCAACTCTCAAGGTTAAGTCGGATATGAAATCTTGAGTACGAGGCTCTAAATCGACAAGCTTACTGACATCCATGTCAACTGTGTAAACAAACTTCGGCTCTTTAAGAATCTGAAACAACAGCAGACCAAACATGAACCATCTCTAACTCTTGTCCCATCATTCTTTTTCATTTCGACAGTATCAGCAATCAAAACCTAATAGTAACAACTAGCAGAGGCAGAGTTAACACATTTCAAATCCCCAATTAAAAAACTGACCTTCCTTGCATCAAACGACTTCCTAATAACTGAAAACGCTTCTGCAGGCAGCATTGAAGCGACCTAGAAACAAAATGAGACGAAAACTTTTGTCAATCTTCATACCAATCGAGCTCACAGTTCATTCTCACCACAAGCTCCTCACGAGCCAAACAGAAGAACGCGAGATTTGGCTTTACCGGGAATTTGATGGCTTTAGCAATTTCTCGAAGCAACCCATCGGAGACACCAGTGAAGTCCTTCCCGGGATCGTCCTGAACAGGGACGGCGAGCTTCGAAAGCCGCCAGATACCCTCAAACTTGTTCTCAACTTCGCGGAGAGTGTCTTTGTGCTTCTGCTTCAGCTTCTTCTTCTCGGAAGGGTACCGCTGCTTCCCAGTCCGCTTCCTCGTGGCGGCGCAGAGTATTCGCGGCGCTTGGTAAATCCGTAAGCGACAAGGATTGGGAATGTTGAGATGGGTTCGAATTGGAAGAGGGCCGAGAGCGAGCGGAAGCGAGTTCGATTGAAGAAATGGCATGGCGGGAGAGGAAAGGAAGGGAAATGCAGAAAGTAAAGAACGGATTTTTTTCTCCACTTCTGAAAGCAGGGGATGGAAGTTTTGGAAGATAAGGGTATTTAGCTTAAATAGTCACTTAATTGTATATTTAATTCAAAATGGTCATCTTATATTTTGTTCAAATTTTAATTTTAGGGACTAAAATGTCACTGTGAAACAAATATGGTGTTTAAAATTCCCGCCTATTAACAACTTCCTGGGAAAACCCTTTTCTTCCTCTAGCCGCCAATAAGCAGTTAGTAAGATCGAAAGATGGCGGCGGCCGGAGCCGTGACGACGGCGGCGGCCAGTTACATTCCCCGAACCCGCGATTCGTTCCTCTATTTTCTCTCCAGAGCGGTTACTCTCTCTCAACTTACCCAGCTCCACGCGCAGCTCCTCCACCACGGCTTCCGAAGCGACATTGCTACAACGACCAAGCTCACTAACCGCCTCTTCGATTTCAGCGCCGTCCACCATGCTCGCTCTCTCTACTTCAGCTTCCCCGAACCCGACAGGTTTCTGTGCAACGTTCTCGTCAAAGGATTGGCGAGCAACGAGTCTCCGAGATCCGCGATTTCGGCGTTCAAACGTTTGAGGGAGGAAAAAAGTATCGATCTTGGACCTGATAACTTCACATACGCTTTCGTTATTCCGGCGGCGGCGAGTCTCGGGGATGTGAAGGTTGGATTATCGTTGCACGGGCAGGTGATAGTTGGTGGGTTTGGTTCGGATTTGTTTATTGGGTCTGCATTTATTGATTTTTACTTTAAACTTGGGCGAGATGATATGGCGAGGAAGGTGTTCGATGAATTGCCTGAGAGAGATGCAGTTCTGTGCAACACGATGGTATCAGGGTTGGGGAGGTGCTCTCGTTTTGAGGAGTCCATAGGGATTTTCAGGCGGATGGTTTCTGGTGATGGGCCTAAGGTTGACTGCACTACAGTGATATCAGTTCTACCTGCTGCTGCAGAGTTGCAGGATTTGAGATTGGGGATGGAGGTTCATTGTCTGGCAATAAAGTTTGGCTTTTATTCTCATGTCTCTGTACTTACTGGCCTGGTTTCTTTGTACTCAAAATGCGGGGATATTGGATCAGCAAAGCTGTTATTCGGGCAGATTGGTAGGAGAGATTTGATATCCTGTAATGCTATGATTGCAGGGTTTACTTGCAACGATGACATTGAGTCTTCATTGAAATTGTTTAGAGAATTGCTCCAGACAGGAGAGAAAGTTAATCCAAGCACTATAGTGGGATTGATTCCTGTCCATTCTCCATTTGGCCATTTGCTTCTTACTAATTGCATTCATGGTTTCAGCATCAAATCAGGCATGGTCTCCCGCCCGTCTGTTTCAACTGCACTGACCACAATCTATAGCAGATTAAACGAGATGGATTCTGCTCGAAGAACTTTCGACGAATCGTCAGATAAAACTTTAGCTTCTTGGAATGCAATGATATCAGGTTATGCGCAGAACGGTTTAACAGAAGCAGCAGTTTCTCTCTTCCAGGAGATGCAAATGTCTAACATCAGTCCCAACCCTGTCACTATCACAAGTATTCTCTCGGCTTGCGCCCAGCTTGGGGCATTGAGTCTCGGCCAGTGGGTTCATGGTTTGATTAAGAGCAACAAATTTGACTCCAACATCTATGTCTCAACTGCTCTAATCGACATGTATGCAAAGTGTGGCAGCATTGTGGAGGCTCGGAGGTTATTTGACTCGATCCCAAATAAAAACAATGTGACTTGGAACGCAATGATTTCTGGGTATGGCCTCCATGGACATGGGCAGGAAGCACTGAAGCTTTTCCATGAGATGGTGAGCTCTGGTACTCCATTAACCCGGATAACTTTCCTCTCCATACTATACGCCTGCAGTCATTCCGGCTTAGTGAAAGAAGGAGAAGAGATTTTCAAGTCAATGACACGTGACCATGGATTTGAACCGATATCAGAGCATTATGCTTGTGTGGTTGACATTCTCGGACGAGCTGGAAAGTTGAAGGAAGCTTTGGAATTCATAGAGGGGATTCCAGGGGACCCTGGAACTCCTATATGGTCAACATTGCTCGGTGCTTGCATGGTCCATAAAGATACTAATGTAGCTCGTATAGCTTCTGAGAAACTCTTTGAGTTGGATCCGGGAAATATGGGGTACTACGTTCTGATGTCAAATATATACTCATCCGATAAGAACTTCCCAGGAGCTGCATTTGTAAGACAAGTAGCTAAGAAGAGGAAGCTCTCTAAGACTCCAGGATGTACTCTGATTGAGATACATCAGAAACCTCATGTATTCAAGGCGGGTGACTGGTCTCATCCACAATCGAGAGCTATATATGCAGAGCTGGAGAGATTGAATGGGAAGATGAAGGAAGCAGGGTATCAGGCAGAGACTATGGCTTCATTGCATGATGTGGAGGAGGAAGAGAAGGAGTTGATGGTGAAGGTTCATAGTGAGAAGCTAGCCATTGCTTTTGGTCTAATATCCACTGAGCCTGGAACTGAGATAAGGATCTTCAAGAACCTCCGCATTTGTCTGGACTGCCATACTGCGTCAAAGTACATATCTAAGGTTAGTCAGAGAGTTATTGTGGCAAGGGATGCCAATCGATTCCATCGTTTCGAGGATGGTGTGTGTTCTTGTGGAGACTACTGGTGAAAGTTTGTTCAGCATGGGGGGAAAAGCCTGGACAGTGGCCTTTTTGGACTTTCCTGCGCTGCACTTGGCTTGATATTATTGAAGCTATTGGTTGTTGAGTTAATTTTCCAAGCTCTGGATCAGGTTTTAACTTCTATATCTATTGCCCAATTGAACTTACAAAAGCTTTATTTGTAATGGTGAAAGCTTTGCATAACACAGACTGTTATCACATTTCTGTACATTACTTGTCCCTGAGCCACAGGAACTGTGGGCTTGATTAGTATGTTATTGCTTTGGAAGAAGAGAAGAACTGATTTTGAGCAGTTGGCTCAAGGTGTAGAGATATTATCATGACAGCCACTTCAGTATCACTCTGACTTCAGGACAAACTAGGTACATGTTGTATTACTGCACAAAAATTTCTCACTATGGCTTTATTCCTTCAAGACAAAGTGAAGTGCTTGTAAGAAAAAATCTGGCACAAGTATCAAAAGGTTACAGAAAGAGAGACTTTTTCAGCAGTTGATTCCACATTTCTTGGTGTCAGGCCCCTTGGTCTTCATGACGAACGGATCAATCCTAACCCACAACAACGAGAAAATTGAAGCCAAGAGCACAGACCAGATGACAACAATGGTCGGAGTCCGATTCTGTCTTCCCATAAGACCTTTCAGGAAAGGATAGAGATGAACAATAACCCAGAAGGCAAAGAACAGCTTCCCAAACAGAGGCCCCCATGATTGGTATCCATTGTTTATGGCATCCGAGACTCCAGCAACAACTCCTACAAGGTTAATGATTAAGATGGTGGTTGGAGGTATGAGGAGGGTCGTCCATTTGAAGGCGTAAAGTTCTCCAAAGTCGTCGTCGTCAGTGGCTTTGGAGGTGACAGTGAAATTTGTATCAATACCGGCCAGAACTTTGAGGAGACCTTGCACAACAGCAAAGAGGTGAGCTGACACACCACCAATGACCCAGAATTGCTCGTTTCTCCACCATTCCTCAATGCTCACTCCACTCCACCGTAGTTCGAGAATACCCGTGGTAAAGATTGAGAGGAAGAGAGCTATGAAGAAGAGACTTGCAAAGGTGCTGATCTGAAATCCAAAGTTACGGTTTTAGTGGCTGAATAATCGTGTCAGTCTCTGTCAAGTTAAGCCATATATATCAATTGAGCTTGTGTTTTTTTATATTGAATTGTTGTTACCTCAGGCATGATGAATTTGTCTGTGAGCAGGCAGATGGCTGGAAGAGTACAGTAGGCCAGAAGTGGTAGCGAGGTGAAGGGATAAACAGTTGTGTTAACATATGCAAATCTCTCGAGCCACTTAAGGTTTCCGTCCTTGTAGCCATACAAGAGAGGACTATGACGACTGAAGAAGATTTCAACTGAACCAAGAGCCCATCGAAGCACTTGGTTCAACCGATCAGACAAATTGATGGGAGCTGAACCCTTGAATGCTGGCCTCTTTGGCATACAGTAGATGGACCTCCAGCCACGGCAATGCATCTTGAATCCAGTAAGAATATCTTCTGTAATTGAACCATAAATCCACCCAAGCTGCCAAGAGAAACAAAACAAGAAAGAATGTTAATGTGATGCTCACATAAGAGCAATGTAGCCTGTAGGAAGCAGGATATGGACATTACCTCTGTCCCCCATTCTGTTTTGTCTTCATATCCACAACTGATAACGTGGATGGCTTCTTTGAGCAAGGCTGCAGGGCTGGAGGAAGGAGGGACACCTCCTTCTTCCATTAAGGTTGAAGTTACAAAAATGGCTGATTGTCCAAATTTCTTCTCAAAGTTCATATGGGACATCAGCAGCTGTTTATCATCATCCACTCCTGAAAATGGGGAAAGAAACCACATCAGAACACAGATGAGAGAGATAGAAGCAATTCAAAACACCATCAGTAAAGATCCATTGGTGAACCTTCTAAGCTGGCTCCTTCTCCATTTGCACCAGGCTTCGCCAGCTTCTTCTTGCGACGTCCAAAGCATGGGCAGCAGTCACAGCTAACCATCTTTGGCCTCTTGGGGCCCTTTGGAGGATCATATCCATACAGAGCTTGCCTCCTGAACACACATCCTGTACCGACATAAACTGGGCCCTGAATCCCATCCAGTCCTTTCATGTTAATCTGCATAAGAAAAACACAGGTTTAGTTTTCATCCTTGCCATGATGTTATGAGAATGCTGGAAATGAAAAGGTTGCTGGGGATTTCTTACATCAAAGAAAACCGTGTTTCTGTTGGCATAACGATCATTTCTGTCAATGCCATCGAATCTCTGAGGAAACTGAACATAGCAAACTTTCTTTCCAGTTTGGATGTCCATCAAGAAACACATAGCTTCTCTCACAGCCTTGCTGTTGTTTATGTAATGATCACAGTCAAGATTCAGCATGAAAGGAGCATTGGTCAGCACAGCAGAGACTCGAACCTGAAAGTTTATATCACAAAGCTTAGAGAGGGCCATGCGATTAACCAGAAGAAATTAGAAGATCATCGTTCTACCATGGCATTCATGGCACCAGCTTTCTTGTGATGTGAAAACCCAGGCCTCTTCTCACGAGATACATAAACCAGGCGAGGTAGTTCATTTCCTTCAACATCATAGCCTCCACTATGACCAAGAAACACTTGGATCATGCCGGGATGATCCTTTGTGTTGTTTCCAGGCCATGGAGTTCCATCCTGCATGATCCAGCCTTCGGCAGGTACCTTCTGAGCTTTTGCTACTATTGCGTTGACCCTCACCTTGAACTCTTCGTATTCCCGCTGTCAAAAAGCATAGGGGGGAAAGATATTAGCAGCTTTACTTGAACAGTTCATGAAAGGCTGCAGAAAATGAATATCCTCCAAAGATCAGAACTTTTAGAAACCTTCATAGCTCGACGTTCCTTCACAAAATTAGGATGGACTTTGTCCTTCAGGTAATCAACCTTCAGGGAGAAGTAAAACTCAGGTGCTCTGGGCTCTATGCTGTGTCTCTTGCAGAATGGGACCCACTTGCGAGCGAACTCAGCTGTCTCGGACATGGCTTCAAATGAGCACATCGAAGCACCATCGTCAGAGAGGTAGCACGAGAGCTTTTCCACAGGGTAGTCCACAGCCAAGATTGACAACAGCGTGTTTGCCGTGACAAGTGGAGGTTCCTTCATTGGATCGACTGTACAGACGAATACGTCCACTGGAGCAAGCATGTTTGGTTCACCTTCCCTCTCGTACCTGTGAAGGGAAATCTGTGAGTACTAGAATGCATGTATATGACATATGTGAATCCAGTTAATCAGTTGCTTGTAAGAATACATTATTGTTTGGCCTTATAAAAAAAACATTATTGTTCGGAATTCATTAGTGAATTCAATATATTTCCATTTGAGGTGGTTTTCATTTTACAGCAACTATAACTGGAGAGGGGAGTTAAGATTTAAAATGCAATCTTGTTGTATTTGATAGACACCATCCTATTAGAAATGCATTGTTTCCCAGAAACCTTCATTCATTTCAAGGAAAGTTTTATGCGGAAAAAGAGGAGTTTCAGTATCAAATGCATGCGTTCTCAAAATATATCATATGACGGCCCCTTAGAATCTTGTGAATTGATCATCAACTTTTTCCTACCTGAGGGACAGGCGGTCAAGATAGGTCTCTCGATCAATAGGGAACCACTTGGGGAACTGATCCAGAATCCACGAAAAGGCAAACCAGATCTCACAGACGATGGAAGTCAACCAAAGGCCAATGGCATCATGAACAGGGTTAAGAATTCGATAGCGAAGGAAGAAGGCCAAGATGACCAGACGAGCCACGATGATCATTCTGTAAGGGTTGATCTTGCTCGAAGCAATCGGTACTTTCCTTGAAAGTGGCTGCCTTGCTTCATCGACCCTGCATTTATCAGCCATGGACTACTTTTGAGCTTCAAATATGACATAGATTGTTGAAAAAATTGAATGTAAATTTATCTATATTTACATGGATGCATCTATATCATCTTCTTGTTCAGGTCCCAAGTTCCCCTGCTGCAACTTCCAGTCGTCCATTCTGTCTTTCCATCCTCCTTCCTTCTTCTCATCCCATCTTGCACTCCCTGTTTATTGTTCTTGCAGGTTTTTATAAGAAATCCTACCGCTACGGTTTATAGCAGAATGTTGTTTGGGAATATGAAGAGCTTTTTGCTTACCAGGTTCTGAAACAGGATATGGGTGGATTCTCTTGTGGAGTGAAGAAGCCATCTGATCACCATATGCTCCAACTGGGAACTCCCCGCTCACCTGGCCATCAACCAACAGAAGAATTCACTATCATTGCAACTTAGAACCAGCAAATGGCCAGTCAAATGAGTTTCCTTGGGTTTATTTACCGGTCTTGATCTGATGCCTGTTATCACAGGTGGGAACTGGCTGTTTTCCTCGTCATCGTGGCCTCTTCCATACGTCATCTTGCCATGAAGCATTGCCTCAGTAAGATGCTTGGTCCTCTCTTGCTCATCTTCAATATTGAACTCGTGTTCAATATCGTCGACATCTTCTTCATCCTCGTCTCCCGGGACTCTGGCGCTCCCTACATAAGACACAAATAATCTCAGAAGAACAGCTTACATACAGCAACTCCTTGGACGTAAGTACACGAACAGAAGCACGTAATTCTCGTGTTTTATATGATCACTCTCTTTATTAATCTCGTTCTTAAGCAGTCTATGCATTTCCAGAATTCTAATCGTGCAGCAATCATATTCTGCAGTTTGACTTACCTCTGAGGCGCTTGTAGCGAGTCTTGCACTGAGGACAGTTCTGAGTGCCTTCCCTTCGTTCATACTCATAGCAAGGCCTGCAGACAGGGAACCCACATTCGTCGCAGGCAACGAACAAGTCTCCTTCGACGGTAACCCCAATCTGGTCGCCACATATCTCACAAAATTGTCCATCCAGGTTCTTCAGTGGCTTAATCTACAAAATGGGAACCACAACTACATGAAGAACAAACCGAAAAGAATCAAGCTTCCCAGTGACCCAACTGAGTAAAGTTTCAATCTTTGTTTACCTCTTCGTGGCCATGGATGACGACGAGCTCGTTTCGGTTGTGGGAGCCTGCCACCAGTCCAGCATTGGCTTCCATGGCGACTTCAAGGGCGAGCCAGGGAAGTGTGTGGAATGGGAGATGAAGATTGCAAGGAGGAATGGATGTTATCAGAGGGTTTCTTTAAGGCGTGAAAGGGATGTGGGGAATTCCAGCTCCTCACCTAATGTTGGATGAGTTTCTTCAGTTGGTTGCAGAGTCGCCATTGCCGTCAAGTTAAGCTTCCGCTGTTTTCCTTTTTCCTTTCTCTTTTTCGCGCCAACTAACATTCGGTTCCTCTCTTACCCTCATTCTATTTTACTGCTAAGCGTCTTTCACACAACGGCTTACGGCTCCTTTATTCCAGTCGCATATTACAAGTGTTGGTAGAATTCAGCTTCAGCTACGGTGAGTGTCACTGTCAACCAAATGCTGCTTCTTTTTTGTGAGAAATTTGTTAGCCGAAGTAAAGGTGAATCTCGAAACTCTAGATCGAGGAAACAAAGGTTTTACCAACAGAGTTGAAATGGTTGCTTTCCAGGCTGTGGAGCAGTATTGTCAAGAAAAACCCAACGTGGATCTAACTGGGAAACCGAAAGTGTGAGAGGCAATATTAACTGGAGATGGAGCAACTTCAAAGCCAAGTCAGTGGCTCCCAAACTCTCAACTCAGAAAGTCATTTCGTTGGTTGAGTGAGTTGGAGTCTCCCCATCCAGATGGATCATCTTCTCCTACTCTTACAGTGACTAAACTATCACGTTTCGCAGATGTAACGATAGTTCGAGGAGGTGTTCGAAGAAGTGCATTGTATAGTTTCTCGCGCGGTTTTTCAAATTACATCACCTAACAACGTGCAGAACAAATTGGCCGACATACTTTCAAATACGCCGAACCAAACGCTCATTAACAAAGCGTATATGGTATACCCGACGAGTCACAACTCACAAGCCTATGTTGGCAGTTGGCACCCTGTTCTAACTTCTAACCCAAGGCATTTAACATGAGCAGATTTTGATGGAGAAAGATTAAAATTGGGCCATAGGCATGTGAGATAGATGGTACACAGAGTACATTGGTACATTTTCAGAGTCCTATCACTACGAATCAAAGGAAGGGAGAATGTCACCACTGTACCATTTTTTCTTAATGAACATATTGCATCACGAAAAACCTTGATGAAACCTCAGCTGTCAGCCATGGAAACCACCATCTGCCCAGCAACCCACCACCAAGATACTTTATAAGGAGGGAAGCTTCGACAGCCTCTCTTTTTCTCTGGGAAGTTATGCACTTGCATTCACCAAGTTGATCCGAATTGTGCTATGGTACAGTAGCTGTACAGTTGCTGAGTTTTCTACACCCAGCATATGGATTCCAAGACACCTTTTAGCCTCTGCTTCATAGATAAAAACTCTTCCTTCTTGTTAACTTACACGGCCGGCACTTCATTTACAGCAGATGGCTTATCTTTCTTCTTGGGAGGTTCCTGACCTTTTTGTTGAATAGCCTTATTTGGAACCAAAGTAATGAATATGTTTCTATCCCTCAAATTCTTGCTCTCCTCGGTTGCCAGCTGCAAACCGAAAAGACAGTCGTATTAGGGAAATGGATAACAGAAACGATGCAGCATTGCAAGAAATATAGAATTGAAGTAGAAAAGGAGAACTGAATACCTCCCCAACATCATTCTGGAAACGTCTGAGAAGCTCGATGGCAATGTTTCTGAACTCATTTTCACGACCTTTCAAATTTACGATCACCTTAACCTGAAAGGAGGGAAGTTTAAAGCACAGGAAACAGTAAGAAATCATGCACATGAGAATAGAATGAATGGGTGAGAATACAACAAACACAATGAGGACCTTATCACCATCTTGCAAAAACTTTCTAGCCGCTTTCAGCCGTACACCGTAATCGTGTTGATCGATGCTATAACTGTTTAGAAAGTTCATAAAAGTGATAAATCAACACCTCCACTTTGCAGTTTGAACCAACAAATGCAGGTCATTTGAAGTACCCAAAGTTGCTAACATGCTACAGCTTGCAAAAGTAGGCATTGATGATTCAAAGAACAGATCTCAATAGCAACATACCCCATCTTAAGCTCCTTCAGATCCATTCGACTCGCTGCAATTACCAGGGAAGGTACACAATTCGGTCAGAAATTTAAGATCAAACCCATGCCAAATTTCAGCCAAATATCTTATCAGAATAGAGATTCACCTGCACTTTTCTTCTGCTGATCTTTCTTCTTCTTTTGTTGTTCATATCTATATTTGCTGGAGACAAACAGAAGAGTATTATTTAATTCAGTTCCTGTACCGATTCACCAAATGACTTGTTATGGTCGAGAAGTTTGAACGTACAGCATTCTCAACCCCCTCCCTCCTACAAAGCTAACATCTTTATCTTTTCCATACAACTTTCAATGTGCACTCTAACATTTTCGTCATTAAACTACTTTGACAATAAGGAAACAATCCCTACCCACAGAACAATATTGAAGGTATGAAACTTCATCATAGCAACGACGAATCCTGACAAAACCCTCTAACTTATATTGAAATTTCTCCCTCTCAACCAAAAATGTTGAGTACTACGAAGATGCACTGTTACTAACTGAAGTCCAAAGTGGCTCTAAATTCTCAAACACAACTAACAGCTTGATGAACCTATAATTCCATTCTCAATGACACCAAATTAGCATTTCGTTTCAGTCATCAAATGAACAAAAAAACGAAAGAGTACACACTTGTAATCCATGATTCTGAGGACCGGAGGATCTGCTTCTGGAGACAGCACAACCTATAACCACCACCACCACCCACACCACCAAGAATGATCAAAATCAAGAACGGTATTGAATATAATGAGGAAAAAGGCAGCTTCTTTTCTTCTAAATCAGAACATACCAAATCAAGCTCAGCTTCTTCAGCCATCCGAATAGCTTCACTTTTCGATACCACCCCAACCTACACATATTCATTAACACCAACTAACTCTTACATAAATCTATTCAAACAACTTCCTTTCTATGGAAAATGCAATTCCCTGCAATTCCAGCAAATGAACTTACAACAAAATCAAATGATCAACAAACAAAAAACTAACCATATTTTGCTTCTGGTCGATGAGCCTCACAGTAGCAGACCTGTCACAAACACAAAACACAGTCTTACATTCACATAACCCTTCGCACATTCAGTACACGAACAACCTAAGAAACCCCACTTCAAATTGACAAACCAATTACCGAACTGCAGAAATGTCAAGAGCCTGTTCATCATCAGGCTCGCTCTGCCGCGAACGATTGCCTCCGCCTCCTCCCCCGCCGCCGTAACGGGCAGTGACCACGGCGGAGCCAGGGAATGTCCTGGGAGAGGAGATTAGTGACTCTGCTCGGCACAGAGGGGAGCAATGGAACCTGAGGCCGAAGAGCTTGGAGTCGAGGGAAGACAAGGGAGTGGCCGATTTCCCGGCGGTAGGGAGGGGCGTGAAAGGAAATCTGCCCGTGCTGGTAATTCCAGCCATGGCTACCACGGCGGCGGAGTTTTTTTTTCGACCGGCGAGACTGGCGGATGAGCAGCGACCGAATTTTCTTATCCACGATTTTGATGATCCGTCTGAGTGTAACAGCAGCGAGCGAGGGAAATTTCCTGATGGTGACTGCGGGCTGGGCTTCTTTCCTATTTTGCGGGCCCATTCGTTCGGCTACTTCATATAGAAGCCCATTGTTTTCTGGCCCATGTGATTACGTGAAGTGGTAAATAGTTGGTTATGGAGTGACTCTATTCCAATAGGTAGTGATCAAATTCCTGACCTCATAGCTAAAAAAAAGGAAGTGATCAACCATCGTATAATTATTCACGAGTGTTGAAAATGAGTTGTATTTGTCATCTTCTAAGGATCATACGTGATCCCAATATGGGTGAACTTTTAGTTGAACATCGTTTTGTGCTTAAATTAGGTTATGATTTAGCAGACGGGTGAAAAATGAATTGTGTTAGTTAAGTATTGCGTCGTATGTGTATCATAAACTGAATTAGTTATATACGTAAATCGTAATGGATTCGTGTCAAATTTTTGAAAATTCAACTCAACAAACCGTGTAAAAATCTCTCATGTTCATACGAGATTCGAGTGTGTTAACTTTTGAGTCGTATGGACATTCATACTTGGGCCTACTCGTGGCTAATGAAGCCACTACTGCTGTCAGTTTGTTGTTTTTCGTCTTCGTGTTTTCTTTCTGTCAACACATAACAATAGGTTGACATGAGATGTTGGCTAGTACGGAGTGGTCGAGGAGCACCGTAGGGTATATACAGTACATATAAAGTACGAACGACTCAAGTTATGGCTCATTATTCATAGCATATCGATTGAATTGTGAATTTGACTCAATTTACAATGTTTTATTGATTCAAATCTCGTCGACGAATAACTTATACATAGTCCAAAATGTTTTAAAGTTTGAAGACATTTTTGTGTTATGTTTTGTCGTTAAATCAACTTTTGAATGTAAATATTGATGGATTTCGAAATATCACTTAAGGTAGGTGAGATTTCGTAATTCAATTTCAATATTGTCATTTTTTTAAGAATCCATAGACATTAGGTGGTTAATCCCAACTTAACACGATATTTGATATTTTTCCCTTTCAAGGTAAAGTATATCAATATCCAACAATACAAGATAGATTCAAGCTGTGTATACCATAACAAAATTTTGCTTAACTATTTATCTTATTTGGGCATTTTGAAAAGATAATGATATATTTCTATAAACACGGAGTAATATGTTAGCCATCAAGCTTATGACGCTTTGGGAGCATAAACTTCTCCAACACCAATGAAGGTTATAAGAAGAGATGGTTGAAGGTAATACAATTGAAGCAACGATGCTAGCTATTTTTCTTTCCTAGTGATAGCCCTACGTGATTGAGTTGTCACTTGTAAGGCCAATGAATTTCTTAACACCCCTCCCATCACTAAGTTTCTCGTCATGGTGCAACTAGAGTTGTTCGTATAATAACAATACAGTCTCTACCATACCCATCGTCGGTTCGTTAACTAGCCAACTTCATATATGATCCCTTACATAGTGAAGGTGATCAGGGTTTCCTACCCCAGTATGTGATGTGCATGATTTCCTTTTGTTCGTTAGTTGAATCGAAAGCAAAGATCTGAACTTTCCATCATACACGCGACATGTAAGCCATGCAAAAGCACGCTTAGCTAAGCATAAACATATGACACAATAAAACTTGTAATTAATATGAATGAAACTCATCGCAAAAAAAGAGTAAACATAACGTTATTACATATTTATTACCATCATATATTTTAGCAATGCACAATTTTATTGGCGTACAAAATTCATCCACGACCACCTAGGACTTGGAACTTGGAAGTAAGAAAAAAAATCACCTCCCAAATCCAAATCCGAGGTGAAAATGTGAAACCAAATCAAAGTCGGAAAGGGCAAAGAAAAACCAGAAGAGAAACAAAGCTTCTCTCTTTTAAGAAGGGTTTGGGCCCTTTTTATCTCCACCGGCCTCCCTCTCTCATAAGCTCGCATTCTTCCCTCTCTTCGCCGCAGAAGAGAGAGAAAACCAACCCCACGAACTACAGAACAAGCGAAGAGCGGAAAGCCTCTTCCCCCCTATCCCGAACCCAATCGCAACGAAATCTAGTTTGTCAGAGAAATCTTCGCTTTGATTCCACCTGGTTCAGCTCCAGCTGAATCGAACGGAGCGAACGGGAATAAAAAAGAGGGTGTGTGCGTTTTTCCTTTCATCAGACGACGGAGATTCAATCGAGGTATGCAGCAAGGTGATCAGACGGTGTTGAGCTTGAGGCCTGGTGGTGGTCGTGGAAGCAGCAGACTCTTCAACCAGTCTTCTTCTTCTCTGATTCCTGGCAGCAACAGCAATTCATCTGGAGCCGCCGCCACCGCTATTTCCTTCGGCGATCTCTCGCTCCTTCGTCCTCATGGCGGCGCCTCTGCCCTAAAGGTTCAGTCTTTGGCCTTGCCCGTGTTTGGATCTGGAGCCCCTTTTGCTGTTTCCGTTCGAATGGATTGCTCCTGTGATTTCGATTGGTTATACGAACTGTATTGGATCTGGAATTGCTTTTTCTCTTCTCCTGTCTTATTTTTGTGTGTTGTTCTCTTGGGAGAATCGATTAATCTGGCTAGAACGAATTGCGTAGGATTTTTGGGCTACTGGGCTTGTGTGCATTCATGTCTGTGGATGAAAAGTTGTGTTCTTGGATGTAATTTATGATGTTTGCGTTGGATTCTGCAGGGAATTGAATCCAACCGAGTACTTTAATGTAGGGGCTTCAAGGGAAGCGGGAGTTGTTTTTAGTTTTTTTAATCACTGGTGTTGTTACCTTAGGTGGCTATTAGGATTTGCAGTTCTAAGCCAATGGCAGCTGCTTGCAAAGTACTGCTCTGGCAACTCGAGCTGGTGCTTTATTATGTAGGCTTTTAGGGGAGAGGAAGTTAAGACTTAGTGGAATGTAGTTGTTAGTGTAGCATGTAATTGAATCAAACTGAGTAGTTTGATGTAAGGGTTTCAGAGAGAGGGAGGATTGTGTTGGGGGTTTAATGCAGGCAAAGGCTACCTGAACTAGTGCTTTATTTAGGCGTCTGGTGGGTGGAAGGTTAGACTTGTATTTTTTAGTGGAATGTAGTTTTTTCTTCTTCTTCTGAATGTTGTGTGTCATTGACTCAGTTTTTTTCTGTCGGACCGAACTTATTAGTTAAATTTGTAAGGTTTTCAATGAGAGGGATAATTGTAGAGAGTTTTACATCCTCAGATGTCGACCTTAGGTAGCATTTAGGGATCTGCAGTTTGCAGGCCAAAGGTAACTGCAGTTTGGTGTTTAGTAATTTTAGGCATTCATGTTTGTAATGCTTGTTTTTACTTGTCAAGATAGTCTGAATTCATCTATGGTTGGTGCAAGTTATTGACTTTGCTCCTTGTTGTTCAGGCTGGTGACTCACGCTTCGAGGCCCGTGAGAGGGTGAAGTACACCAGGGACCAGCTTCTGCAGCTAAGGGAGGTATATATATATCTTTGTTCACTTGGTTCTCCCCTTTTCTGCTGTCTTCAGTTTATAGGTTCTTGGTTTTATTGTGGCTGGATATATGTTCTTGTTCCTAATTGATTCTGGTAATCGATATGTGAAATATACTTTTTACCTATAGGCTATTGTTACAATCCCGGAGGAGCTTCTGAAAATCAAACGGGAAATTGAAACTGAGCTTTTCGGTGAAGATCAAAGCTGGACTCGTGCAGCAGAAAGTAATGTAAGTCCTTTACCTCTTATCTTACTAGTCAGGATGACACTAAAAAGCTTGAAAAATATCAGAGGTTTTCCAAGCATATGACTGTTTCTTCATTATGTTCCTTTTTTGTGTATCCAGCCCTCACCAACTCAGCCACCCCAGAATCGCTATTCTGAGCCAGACAATCGTGACTGGCGAACCCGTACCACCACCCCAATTCCTGGTCCTACTCCTGTGGAAGAGAGGTCCTGGGACTCACTTAAAGACAGAGACTTCGTACCTCGGAATGACTCCAGGCCACTTGATGGAAACCAATTCAATCGTCAGGATCAGCCCAATTCCCAATTTGTCCGCCCAAATCAATCGGTAATTTTGTTTGTGTACTTGTATTAGCTTCTTTATTTTTTCCAGTTCTTGTATACACGCATAAGATAGCACATAGATTCTTTGCTCCAAGGATAACGAAATCATGACTTTCTGAGATTTATTGACAGACATTGATATTCACTCTTTTCACCTAGTGTTAGATGATCTAAGATGTTCTCCTCGAAACTGTCTGATTTGTTAATTCAAGTTCTTCACTCCAGTTTCCTCGATGTTTCATGTATCATTTCCATATCAATTGGTTTTGACTTTCTTACTTGTTTTGTTGACCAGGGTGGTCCTACTCCCGCCTTAGTCAAGGCCGAGGTACCATGGTCAGCTAGGCGAGGCACCCTTTCTGATAAAGATCGTGTCTTGAAGACCGTCAAAGGGTAACTGTTCTCCCCCAGATCTTATTCTCGTTGTTACTCTGCTTATGCTGTAGGGTTGACTTTCTGAGCACGATGCGTTAGGTTTCCTCAACCTGTCCTGGGGTAGGTTTCTCTGTTTCTGAGTAGTAGGTTGTGCCCTGACCCGTAAATAGGACAGGGCAGCATGCATAGCACATGTGTCTCTCCCCAATCCTGCCCCGCCCTCCCTCTTCCTAATTTTATATTTCCGACTTCTTTCTTTTCTTTATTTTCCCTTTCAGCAACCGATACATGGTATCAGGAATACCCGCCCTCGATAGTTCCGATCTATTAGTCTATGTGGTTTTCGGGTTACTGATTCATATTTGCTGTTGCAGTATTCTCAACAAACTTACCCCAGAAAAGTTCGACCTTCTCAAAGGCCAACTCATCGACTCAGGCATCACATCAGCCGATATCCTGAAGGTGTGTGTGTTCCTCCAGAGTTCTTCACCGTGAAATGTCAAAAAGTTGTTTCACTTTTTATTTATCAATGTGACCTTCCTTTGATGCAGGGGGTGATCTCTCTCATATTCGAAAAAGCCGTGCTGGAGCCCACATTCTGCCCCATGTACGCGCTGCTATGCTCCGATCTCAATGAAAAGCTTCCTCCATTTCCCTCTGATGAGCCCGGTGGCAAAGAAATAACCTTCAAGAGAGTCCTCTTGAACAACTGCCAAGAGGCATTCGAGGGCGCTGATAAGCTGAGGCAAGAAGTGAGGGAAATGACAGCTCCTGATCAAGAGCTAGAGCGCAAGGATAAGGAAAGGATGGTGAAGCTTCGTACGCTTGGAAATATTCGCTTGATCGGTGAGCTTTTGAAGCAGAAGATGGTCCCTGAGAAGATTGTTCATCACATTGTTCAGGTTAGTATTCATTCTCTTAAGCTTTTTCTTTAGCCAAGTTGGAAATGATTTTACACGTTTTGCCATTTGCTTATTCTGTTTCTCATTGGTTGATGCAGGAGCTTCTGGGCCCTGACAGCAAAGTCTGCCCGGAAGAGGAAAACGTTGAAGCGATCTGCCAGTTCTTCAACACTATCGGGAAGCAGCTCGATGAGAGCCCTAAATCACGGCGGATTAACGACGTGTACATGAAACGCTTGAAAGAGCTGTCGTCGAATTCTCAGTTGGCTGCTCGTTTGAGGTTCATGGTTAAGGATGTTCTCGATCTCCGATCCAACAACTGGGTTCCCAGGCGTGAGGAGGTAAACTTTGATTTTCTACTCTCAATTTTTGCCCATTGGTGCCCCCCCTTCCAAATCTTTTTGCCCTGATCATTGGATCCTCATCTCCCCAGGTGAAAGCTAAAACCATCACCGAGATCCATTCAGAGGCTGAGAAGAATCTAGGGTTGCGTCCAGGGAGCATGAGAAACATAAGCCGTGGAGGCGGAGGCGGAGGCGGAGGTGGAGGCATCATCTCTCCGGGGTCCGGCCCTAGTGGGCCTGGTGGCTTCCCCATTAACCGACCCGGGACAGGAGGCATGATGCCTGGAATGCCTGGAGCAAGGAGAATGCCTGGTATGCCTGGGATTGACGCCAATAACTGGGAGATGGCGAGAACCAGATCCATGCCAAGGGGTGAACCCTCGAATGCTCAGCCTCGAACTGTTCAACCATCCCAGATGTTCAATAAGTCGACTTCTATGAACACCAAATTCTTACCTCAAGGCAGCGGTGGATTCATCAGCGGCAAAAGCAGCGCCCTCCTCCAAGGACTTGGTGGGCCTTCTTCTGCCACTGAGAAGCCAGCATTCACCGAGAAGCCAGCTGTTGCTCCTGCTGCGCCTGCTGTCACTCCTGCTCCTGTATCATCAGCTGGAAAAATGACCATGAACATCGAAGAGCTGAGGAAAAAGACTGTCTCGATCCTGAAGGAGTACTTCAGCATCCGACTCCTCGATGAAGCCTTGCAGTGCGTCGAGGAGCTCAACTCCCCCGGCTACCACTGTGAATTCGTCAAGGAAGCCATAGCCCTCGGCCTAGAAGAGAACCCTCCCTGCGTGGAACCCACATTCAAGCTCCTCGAGTATCTCTCATCCAAGAAGGTGCTCGCGAGTCGTGACATCTCCTCCGGATGCATGCTCTACGCGACAATGCTGGACGACATCGGGATTGACCTGCCAAGAGCGCCACCCAACTTTGGGGATATCGTAGGGAAGCTCATCTTGGCCGGGGTTCTGGACTTCAAGGCCGTGCACGATATGCTGAAGAAGATGGAGGATGACATGTACCAGAAGCTGGTGCTCGAGGCAGCGGTTAGGACCGTGAAATCGAGCAACCAAGGTATACTGGACTCACAATCCGCGGATGTCGAGGCTTGCCAGAGTTTGTTTTAGTGATGATGATTATGAATGGTGGAAGAACTGGTTCTGTTTTTGTGGCTCAGTCTGGAGAAAACACTACAAACCTTTTTTTCTTCTTATTTCCTTTTTCTTCTTTTGCTGTGAGGCAAGCAAAAAAAGAACCTTTTTGTACTATTTTTCATAAAGCGGGTGAAGTCTCTCTCTTTTGAAGAACAGGTCAGAAGTTTTCCTTCTAATTTTTGATAATTTTGCAATTGTTTTTAGTTGTATATTTTTGATAATTTGGTCATAATGTCATATGGGATATTTGTTAAGGAATTTGATGGTTCCGTTTTTGGTGCTACAAGGAACCTTGTTTGTAACTAATATAATAATTTAGGCGTATCATATTTTACTAGCAATGGTATTAATTCGTGGTTAAAAATGATCACTACCGTAATCGAATCATGGTTCAATCGGCACCACAGATAACCGGTTTGTGGCGACCGATATAAACTATTCTTATGTAGAGTGTATCGTACCAGTTGTCCCTAATTAGGATTGTTAATGATTCGAGCTGAGTCGAGCGTTGTTATGGTTCTGGCTCGGCTCGTTAAAATAATTCTTAGCTCGAGGTGAGTTTTAATAGGCAAGTTCGAGCTCGGCTCATTTGCAAAAATCTAAGTTCGACTTGAGTTGGCCCACCAAATAAACTTATCGAGCAAAAATCGTGTTTAGCAGATAAAATGTCGATTGTACCGCAATCTCAAGCGTGAACTTGGCTCGCAGGACACCAACAACAAACACTTAAATGCTTTTGAACTTGCTCACGAGCCTATCAAGCTGGTTCGACCTTGGCTCGTTTACAAACGAGCTTGTTCGCGAGTCATCTCAATTAAATACAAGTTGAGTGTTGAACGAGTTTTTCTCAAATTGGATGTCGAACCGTTCGTGAGCGATTTGATTCATTAACAACCCTATTCCTAGGCGGCTTTTTGTGGTCCGATTGTGGATTTGTGGTATAGTAGGAATTCACAAACCATATGCCAAACCCTACTCCAAGGCGGGCTATTTCTTCTTTGTAGATGGGCCCACCATTCTTTGTTCATGGACTATTTGAAACAGAAAAAAAGCCGGCCCAACATTTCCTCTAGCCCAGCCTTCATTTAGCTAGGGGGGAGAGGCGAAGAAAGTAAAACAAAAACATGGAGACGAACAACAATGGCGTTTCGAAAGGCAGAGAGTTCCCGCCTGATTTTCGAACCTACCAGAGAATGGCCGCGAGCGAGCCGACGGCGAACCGACCGTCGAGCGAGGAACAACTGAAGCTCGCCGTAGCGATCTCTCTTCTCCAGTCGAAGCTCCTTCATAAAAAACCTCCTCCGCCGCAGCCGGATGCTTCTTCTGGATCTGACGCCCTTCGCTGGAAGCGTAAGGTAAACTCTCTCGGATGGATTGAGCCGATCAAATTTCTGGTTCCCTGAAGATTGTTTCAGTTCAATTGAGCCGAATTTTCCGTTTGATTGCTGGTGGTGATGGTGGACTCTGTGGTTTTGAATTTTGATTAGGCGAAGGATCGGAAGCAGGAGATTGTTCGATTGAGAGAGGATCTCAAGGAAGCGGAAGGTTTTATTTTTTCCGATCTCCTTCTTCTTCTTCCTGGAGAGGAAATTCCAGCTTGAGAATTCCTGAATAGAGAATCTCTTCCTTTTTTTGGGTACTTTTTTAGACGCTTCTTCTCAGTGCGATCTGTTTCCCCAAACCGCCGTTTGCAAGTGCTACTTCTTTGACGATGTGGGAAAATTACGCTTCGAGGGCGCCGGAGACGGATCCGTTTCTAGATTCGACGATGTAATCCGTCGCCGGTTCTTCAGACAAGGTCGATTTCCTCACTGCCTAATAGTTCATACACTTATAGACCTCTCGTCATCTTGTTGTCATGTGCTCATATGGGTGCTGTTCGCTCCTGCTGCAGTGAGGATGAAGCAAAGGCGGCGAAATAGAGACGATCCGAGTCTGAGATTGCGCTTTACAGGTACCATCCTTGCTTTCCAATCGGTCGAATTGAAAGCCACCGCCATATTCGTGGTTGCGGATTGTGGGATTTTTGGAATGTTTGTTGGAGGGTTTTGTTCCTGATTGCAGAATTGAGCAGTGAAAATGAAGTGGATCAGCTTAGGGCTTCCGTTGATTTCCTTGTGGAGCTCTGCGATGGCACTGCTTCTCCTGTAGGAACACTTTTGCTTATAGCTTGATATGAACTTGTTCATGGGTTTCATCTCTCAGTGCACATGCTATCTCTGAAATTTGCAGATGGAGGAGGCCAATTTCGCCAACTGGTCTCACCAGGCTGTTGACTCCATTCTAGGTAAATGGTACCTCTTGTTTGCTAGAAATTCATCTTAGATCTTGAGAAAGAGCATCTCGAACCGCTTATGATCGTTCTTGTGTATGTAGAGTCGCTTAGGAAGACATTGCCAGTGGGGGAGAACATGGAAGTTGTTGAAGGGATTGTTACTAGCCTAATAGTCCGTTTGCTGAGAAGGATCTGTTGCCCTGCACATCGAGATGGTAACCTCTTCTTGGCTTTCGTTTCTGGGTTCCAACTCAATCTTATTAACGACCTTGATTTCTCCATGTTCTGCATCTTTGGATCGCCCATTTTCTTATCCTATATTCCAGACTCCAATTGCGTAGCCATTGATCACCGGCCTCGAGTCCAGCACTTGCTGCGAAAGCTGGGAGGTGAACCCTTCATTGGACAACGCACACTTCTTTCAGTTTGTGAAAGGATATCCACAACAGCTGAGAACTTGCTCTGCATCGATCCCTTCGACGATACATTCCCAAACATTCACCAGTCTCTATTCATTATGTACACTCCATTCCACTATCCTTCAACCATTTACCCAATTTCTGCTGCTCTTTCTTCATTGCTCGAAAGAACCGGCATTGCTATCACAATGTAACAACTCTCTTGTGTTTGTGATAGGATCGAGCTGGTTGAGTTTCTGATATCAGATCACTTGCAAGCCTGGTCAACCATTGAAGGATTTGATCATGGTACAGTACATTACCCCGACCCTAATGCTTCCAATTTCGACGAATTGAGAATGAACTTGTAATGCCATTGATGCAGGGCTAATGGAAGGATGGGTGACATCCTTTCTCCATGCCAGGAAAACACTGCAGCTTCTGGAGTGCAGACATGGGCTTTATGTTCTCTACATGGATCGAGTCGCCAACGAACTGGCGAAGCAAGTGTGTCGAGTTTCGCCGTTCCAGAGGCTCAACCAGCAGCTCCTCCACGATCTGTTCAACTAGCCTGGAAAGCTGCTCTGCTCTGCCATCCACATGTAAAAAAGTGTAAAGACGTGGAGGAAGCCATGAAGTGTGTGTAGGGCTGACTGAACCAACTCTTCGACACCATAAAGCAAGCTGGTAAGTAAAGAACAATATTCTGGCCTTATAGATCATTGCCGTCCAATTAAACTATATGTTTCTTCTGTATTGTCTACTGTTCCACTCAAAGTAGCAGATTCTTTTCTGTTGGCTCTGGAAAGCAAAAGAGCATGCATGTGATTGATTTGTCAAACAAAAAATTTCATTTTGCAGTTCTCTCTACAGAGTCAAAACCGAACTTTAACAAAACAACAACAAAAAGGTGGTAAAAAGTAACGAACCACCACACAAAAATGAGCCTGTTTAAGATTGAAGGATATGAAATATGAACATCTAGTTTGGTCGCAGACAGGAATATCAATTATTATTGTTTACGTAATGACGTGGAATCAGATTCGTTGTCTCTCATTTGCTTGCACGTAAATAACAAATTAATCAGGAACCATGAAAAAAGGTTGCCAGTTATTAGTTCAGATTCCTTTTTTTTCTTTTACACAGTTGAAGTGAAATGAAACCAACCAATGACGATGCATGTATGGCCATTAAGGATTCGCCTTTATTACACAGTTGAATTATACCCATAACCGAAAGCTGGCCAAATTCGTGATTTCGTGATACGGTATCGGACCACGAAAACTCGTTTATCGTTATATAAATATGTGTGAACGAGAGACAGAAAATTTGTAAATTAGTTGAACTCATGATTCTATGATACTTCGTCATATCACAGTTGGATCATGAAAATTTGTCTATCGCCTTTTAAATTCGATACGATGCACACAAAAATATAAGAAAAATGGGTATCTATTGCTACGTGGATGCCACATTAACATTTGAAATATATTATCTTTTTTTATTGTAATTATTTTAATAGTGATATCCTATATGTATATTACCTGCTACCACTTATTATAGCGAATTGGAAAAATCGACGATACAAGAAAGTGAAGAACACACTCATTTACGTGGTTCACCAATACAATGAGTGTTAGCTAATCCACGAGCGAAGAGAATCAGTTTCACTATACTTGAGAAAACATAGATTACTGAGCAATTGAGAAATATACATAGTACTTCTTCAAACGACGTAATCCTATTCTAATCTGGTAAAGAATAACGTTATAGACCAAACTCGAAACGAAAACCCAAACGTATATAAACTCATAGTTTCCGTCAATGACATATAGTCTGATTCAACTCATATGAACAACAACACCATTATTATTCCGCTAAAGATAAAATACCATCACACCAACCTATCTAATACAATCTCCGATATGATTTCACACAACTATTCTTTTCTAACATGGATTACTTTTGGGCCACATGTAAATGTGTGTTGGCGATGACAAGATACGTCGCCAACCCGACCACTTAACCTTTGTTAACTTTTCGGCTTCTTTGTCTTTCAACGGTGGATTAGTATTACTTAATTGTCAAATCCAAATCAGAATCTTAAGATTGCTTGCTAATTAACCCTTTTATTATCATCCCAAGTGACTTTTACAAAGCTTATATATAGAGTAATTAACGACTTCTTTGGCATCATAGATCTCTCAATTATATTCGATTAATCTCCAATTCCCAAGAACCAAGCTAGCTAGGAGGCAATCATGGTGATCAGTAGACCAGTTCCAAAGCTTCTCTTCTTCATCACCATTATTGTTTGCCTCTCATTGGCACTTTGTGCTTCTCATGAGGATCATCAAAGTCATTATTCCTCTTCTCACCATCATCTTCAAGTAACCACCAAGGGTAAGTAAGTAAGTAATTAATTAAGTTCAACTAATTGCATATTAGTCTCATCTCGACGAGATGTCAAGCTATCGTTACACGTTATTCAAAATCGATCGATTTTTTTGGAAACTTCTCAACCTTCGTACATGGTTCAGTAACATAACATAGTGTTTGTACGTCAGCTCGGACAAATACACACCTCATTATACACCGGTTTGATAATCCGCTCGTTTGTTGCCCTTTTTGTTCACAAAAGCGTCCTAATGTCTCCTAATAAGGTAGTGAGATGGATGAATCGTTGCAGCATATTGATGATAGGTTGCTCCATTCCATTTTTTTTGCCACTAGAAACTGCGTAAGGGATTTCTTTGCTTTTAGCAACCACTCGTCGCTATGAATCCGTAGGTTTTCGTAACGGCCGTAAAACTGTCGCTATATATATTATTCACTTTTAGCTACATATATTGTTTGTAGAATGTTTATGTCTTACTTATTATTATGTTTTGAGAAATTTTGTTAGATGAGGTGGAGATGAGAGAGCAAGTAGAAGTGGTGGATGGTGACGAAAGGATTAGCGACGTCGTGGAAAGACGCGCGAAGGGCTCATACGGCGGCGGAGATCTCCTCCGGCCACGGGCCGGCGGCAAGAAGAACGCGGCGCCGGCTTCCTCCATGATGGCAGCTTCTTGCCTCTCGTCGCTGGCCGGACGGCTTGCCGTTGCAGTTGTCATGTGGATCTTCTACGTGGCCTTCTAATTAAGTTCTAATTGTAGCCCATAACTTGGGGTTTGAAAGTGTGTTAGGTGTATAGAATTTGGAATTGTCTTCCAAATTAAATACATGTTGATTAGTTATAACTTATAAGTTTGTATGGAGGAAAGTATAGCAATGAAAACTGAATAGGTAGAATGAACGACGGATTGGTCTAACGGTTTTAACGCTGGTTTTTCGTGTGAAGGTATTAAGTTTGAATTTTATGGTGGACTTTCTTTTTTACTCGTAAATCCGCCTTCATTAGTGTCTTAAAAGAGAAAGGTGTGAATATGTTACTTTAATAGTTTAATTTCCCTTTGGATCTATGTATACCCCTTGATTACAAGTAACGATTGTAGCAATATAATTGTCAAATAAACATTTATTGATGATCTTTGGTTGATTTTATCGTGAAAGACACCCTAGTTGGATATGTTTTTTTTTTATTTCACTATGTTCTTAAAGTATCCTAGTTCAAAATATTTTCAATATAAATGTATGTCTTGATAAGACTTATAGAACACGAATTTAATTTGACCCTTTTTCATAAGGAATTATGATCCTTCACTGAATCAAAGCAAGAATGAGCTAAAGTGTACGACTTGGACGCCTCAATTAAGGACGAAGGAGGAAGAGAAACTAATAAGTTTGCACGTTATTCACCTTAAAATTAGGATCTGTAAGTTCAAAATTTGACAACACAACCATCCAACCAACTCGTCAAGTTTCTTAAGTTTGTTGTTGGCCAATATGAATTAATCTTTTCCTCCCATTTGGGAACATATTAGATCATAAAAAAAAATATATATATATTGAATTTACCGTGTGCCTAAATCAAAATTTATCAAACAAATCATGTACCAAATCAACAATGCTATGGATCATGAATGGCTTTGAGAAATGCCTCTCACTGCCCACTCATTTGGAAAATCAAATGATCCACGGCCCCTCCTTGGGTTATTTCTGCCCGGGCAGATTGCAGACTGGCCCACAATATCTGGGCCTTAAAGTGTGTGTTGATACTTGATAGGCCCATACAAACCCAATACTAACGAACCCCGCATTCTCGTTTTTAATGTGGGCATGCATGCAATTTTTTTTTGGGTAAAATTAGTGACGTTGGTAGAAATCTAAATTACGAGATATTAGATGAATAAAGTTCAATAGATTTGAACTTCAGTACTCGAACAAGAAAATGAGGCCAAAATATCGCCGAATATAGTATTATTATCTCGATTTGTTATGAAATTTACGCGCGTGTACTTTTTAGCTACAATCGAGAAGATAAGAAAGGACACCATACAGGCAGCCCGACCACCGCTAGTACCCATCAACTCCATGTACGTACATACGTTAATTAATGTTACTTACCGATTAGTTTCTTTTGCGACAAGGAAATCATCCTCTTGTTGTAGGGCTCTCGAAGATGATAAACAACATAGCTCTCACACAGGGACTCATGGAGATACTCGCTCGATACGTCCTCGACATTACACAGTCCATCAGACACACACAATCCAATCACCACGAGACCCCGACAAATAACACGATTCGAGAAACAAAAATCGCTCGACACACGAGAACAGACCCGGCCCGTACCAACCCTCCTTGTTATCTGAAAATGGGCCCAACCCTAGCTAGCTAAGCTCGGTGGCTGTCATTGATTGTACTACAGTTGGGTTCCTTTTAGAAAGGAAAGGTTGTGGTGCGTATTGGGCTATGTCGTTCTAGGGTTCTAGTTCTTGTTCTTGCCATTATTACTAAAAAGAGAGAGCTACTGTGAATAAAGGTGACAACTTTAAGCTTTAAGCATTTTGTTTTGTCTGTGCATACAGGCTACCAGCAGCTGGAAATTTGATTCAGGACCTCTGACAAGTGATAAGAAGCAGCTGCTAGCCCATTGAGAGCCAATGTGACAAACTTCCAGGAATCTGCTTTTTTTGCTGTTGCATTGGGGAGTACAAAAGCAGAGCAATAATAAGCTCGACTGACTGATTTTTCAGGATGGTGGTGGTGGTCGTCGTTCTGAGGACTGATATCCATAACTCTTTTTAGCGACGGAAGTGGTTATGTGGACATATTGTCGCATTCACACACCATGGGAAACTGGGGAGGAAAGAGTTTTTAGCAACGAAGATGTAATAATGACCACCAGGTAGTCTCTCGGGCATGGGTTGCAAAAAGGCTCAATATTTGGATATTTTCCAAAACCCCCCGATTTATCATGGGTTAAATCCTATTTGAGTACCTTTATTTTTGGAACAGACTCATAACAAACATTTTATGGGTTTCAATTAAATTCATATTATTGGTTATACAAAAGAAAATGAATATATGAATCCAAGGCAGTTTTTGTGCTATTTTTATTATAAAACAAACAAAAAGGCGTGGAAACCCAACATTAAAGGTATAGTTGGATCTAAATTGGACCCATGTCTTCTATTCAGAAAAAAAAAAATAATAATTGGACTCGTGCCATTGGATACTCAAAAGAAAATGGAATACCCGATTCCAAGGCATTTTTTGAATTATTTTTTTTTGTTATGAAACAACCAGAAAGATGGAAAAGACCAATATACTAAAGGTGCAATTGGATTGAAGGCCGTTGATATGGTCGATATTATCTTTTTTATGTACGTTCATCTGGATCCAAATAAACCCGTTGAAATCTGATCCAAACGAGGTCACCCAAATTAGACTTAATTCATAACCAACTCAAGCTCAAAATTATTAAAAGCCCATTTAAATCCCTTTGAATGTGACCCAATACATGAGTCATGAAAATTGCCATGCCTATCCAGGGGATAGACAGCATTTATCACCCCAGCTAGGAAGTTTGCTGGGCTCCTATTTCAATAACCTTGACCGGCGAAGTTCAATCTCAATCACGCATGTGAGCCAACGTATGCAATTGAAT